GAGTTAACAAAGCAGGAAACGGGAGGTTATTAAGTGGCAGATGGGTTGCAGTATAACATCAGATAACTCTATCTTGTGAGTGAATATCACTAGTCATTGCTGTGTAGGGATAACATGACCATAGTGTGGTCAGTGTCCCTAGTTGTGTGTCAGTGCTGACCACCAAGACCACAATATATCTCACACCACAATACACCTAACACCAATGTTCACGAATGGTGTTTCAAAGTAACAGGACACTGGGTCCTGTAAGCTTCAGATGTCTGTCTGACCCATTGAAAATTCACAGGATCCACAGAATAAAATTAAATGCACATTTCAGATTTAACATTTCTTATAATTGGCATTGAAATTATCAACAAACATAAGATTTATAAACAGCAAACAAGTGTCACATGTCACATAAAACAACTTCAGTCAAAGTCATTGTGAAATATACAGTCAGACACTGGGGCCGGTGGGTTGTAGACTTCTATCGGACCGTTGGCGAATCTGCCGGATTTGTCAGAGGGTCAGACGCTCTTCGTGAACACTGTAACACCCCAATGACAATATACCAATAACCCACACTGCAATTCACCTTCCACACATCAGTGAGTTTAGTTTTACGCCTTTTCGCAATATTCCAGCAATATCACGGCGTGGACATATGATCAGACACTACACACACACACCACACAACCCTCTGACATTACCACACTCTCTCAAGATCTTACACCACCCACCATCGCATCAGCTCACCCACCAAACCCACCCACTTGAACTATTTCCCTACAAACTATCTATGAACCTCACAGCCGTCCACACAAACTGAACCACCCATGCTCCCTACCACATCATACCCTTCAAGCTTCAGCCACAGAGCAGTTCAGTCTCCAAATGGCAAGTCCAGCACCTGGTGGTGCTTAATCTCCCAATGTATATCAGCATGTATATTGGCATGTATCCTGAAGATGAGGAGCGGTGGGGTAGCCTTGTGGTTAAAGCGTTGACTCGTCATGCTGAAGACCCGGGTTCGATTTCCCACATGGGTACAATGTGTGAAGCCCATTTCTTGTGTGCCACACTGTGATATTGCTTTAATATTGCTACAAGCAGCGTAAAACTACTCACTCACTCACTCACTCACTCACTCACTCACTCACTCACTCACTCACTCACTCACTCACTCACTCACTCACTCACTCACTCACTCACTCACTCACTCACTCACTCACTCACTCACTCACTCCTGAAGATGAACTGTGGTCTGTCTCACAATCCCTGAACCACATTATTTTATGCAATGTGAAAGCTCTAAGTGAAGCAAGTCTAGCTTGTTCTGAATCTCTAACACACTGGGGCTCCTTTTAAATTTAATTCCATCAAGTGATTTGTTTCTATTAAAATTTTATGCATATTCAGAGACCAAGTGTTAAGCTGCCCCTTGCTTTTTCCCTTGTAATCAGAATCAGGGATGAAGTTGCTGTCTTAGGCTAGGCGGTGAAACCATGTGTTAAACTCCAGGGACTTTCATAATCCAGAATATGTGTCGTTCTTCCTTGTAATCTACAGTCAAGGGAGGAAGATTGAGGTGATGAAATCTTGTTTTATACCCTAGGGAATAAGTGTGTTATTTACCGCTGTAGATTTGGTGCTGTGCCAGCCCCCACACTGTAGATGTATACAGGTATTGAGCTGGCATCACGCCTAGGATTACATTCTAGACCGGGGAACACAGAAATTAGGCCTGTGTAGGCTGTGCCTCTTGAGTCCATCACGGACCTATATAACTGTTCTTTGAGACAGGAAGATGTATCATGGTTCTGGTGTTGCTGGTAGTGTATAAATGAATACTGAATGAGTTGATGGGACGTTTCAGCTTCTTTATGCTTTCAGTTCATCAATTTGTTTTGTTTTTCTAGCAAGTGATCAATTACTGGGTTGGGCAAGGTTATATTGCTGATATTACATATACATCGGTCTGTGTCAAACTACCGGTAGGTAAATGTCTGAGACCTACATCACTTCAGCCTTTCCTCCGAACCCGTGTTGGTCCGGGTTAGAATATCGGCCTTCTGTAACCCATGCTTGTCGTAAGAGGTGACTAACGGGATCGGGTGGTCAGGCTCACTGACTTGGTTGACACATGTCATTGGTTCCCAATTGCGCAGATCGATGCTCATGCTGTTGATTACTTGATTGTCTGGTCCAGTCTGGTTTACAGACAGATATCTGATTATAAAACTTCACTCACTCCCCTCAGACTACGCCATTGGAAGTGCATTAAAAGCTGTGTGAGCTGGACAATTGCTGAGTTGACCGCGTTTTCTTATCCCAATTGCATAGATCGCGTCTGGTCAGACGTTAAACTCACTCACCATCACTCACTCACTCATTTATTTATTCATAAAAAAAGGTTTTTCACAATTTCATCAGATTTTAGTGATTTATTTGGATGATTACCAGCTGAGCTGACGAGATCAAACAGAATTTAGAAGTCTCAAGGTTCAGACTGCAGTGAAGAGTCAACAAGTCTGAAAGTCAACAATTGATTATTGTATTACAGTCCTTTGATATTAAAAACATGATAGCATATGTTTGATTGTTCTGCTCACGTAATGTTACAATAGCAATGCTGTGACGTTGTCCTATGGGATTATGGAAGTAGAATATTGCCAAACATTGATACGTACATGTGATGATTCAATCCAACATCATTTAGTCGGATCATCTCGACAGGAAATTACCTCTGGCCAAACTGCATTGTAGGGTCTCCTTCATTTGCGGAAAAACAAAATTGCCTACATTCCGAGATCCTTGTGAAAAGGTTAAAGTGCTGACAAGACACTATCCAGGAAGTGTGGCCTCCTCGATAACCTGATTTAAGTGGCATCAAGCCAAACTTTAGGGTCGTTAATAATTAAGTAAGACTCTAGGGTATGCAGTTCTTCTCATGCTTAGATGTTCCCTCATTACAGCGTTACTTTTATGGATAAAGTTACACATTTCTGTAGTTTGCTGACAACCGATGGAATTGTTACAAAAAGAACTCATTTGAATTTTATTGGTGAGTTTGTGTTATCAGAGGGCTTGCAAAATGGTGTCCTCTTGACTTCTGATTCCTGTAGTTTCTTGAATGCTATCTGTATGTTCAGTAAAAGCATGGGGTGTCAGTGCTTGTCTTGAGCTGTACACAGTAATACTCCATAATAACCAAGTAGGGGCCAGACAGTCCAGGGGGTGATGTTATGAGCAACAGTCCATGCTGCCTGGGTGTTATGGTGGCTATGTGACAACGTCGTCAAGTGTGACCATGTGATCCATTTTGTCAGCTCTTGTGACAAGTGTAGGTTTCTGGCTGCCTAACCTTGATTTCCCACAGGGTTTCACGTTGGTGTCACCTCTGTTGCAATAAGAGAAACCCATGAGGACGCTGTGTTAGATTTGCTTTCTAGAAGTCTATGTTGGTTGGTTACGCTGTACACTCCGCTCCACTCCACTCCACCACTCCACCCACGCTTTCCACGCCAACGCCACCCCACGCCATGCCATGCCTTAACACCAAACACCACACACCTCACCTCACCTAACCACACCACACCTCACCTCACCTCACCTCACCTCACCTCACACACTACACCACCACACACCACCACTCACCTCACCTCACCACCCTCACCTCACCACACCACACCACACCACACCACACCCTACATCACACCACACCTAACCACCACCCTCACCTCCACCTCACCTCACACCACACCTCACCTCACACCTCACACCTCACCTCACCTCACTGCACCTCACCTCACACCTCACCTCACCTCACCTCACCACACACCACCTCACACCACCCACCCCACCCCACCCCACACTCATACAAAATGAAAGGTAGTCCTAATGTTTAACTTAGTAAACAAATAAGTTATTTTACTTAAGTTTTAGTATTACAAGACATGTAAGAGGCTATGTATGCAACTATTAACAGATGTAAAATATATATTTATGGATCAGCATGACATATCCACAAAGACCAATTGGCTCTATGCATGAAAACGCCTCACTCCACTGTAATGCTATTAGCATATTTGGACAGTAAGGTACACTTCTCCCCCACCAATCTCAGACTCATCACTGACAACAAAAAGTAATAACTGAAATGAACAGTAAATAGACCTGTAAGGAGGATCATTTTCATGCATCTTGTTGCCTAGCAACATATTGTAATGTTCCTGTGTCATGAATGGCATAACTCTAGTGGAATGGTTATGTTTACTTGATCCCAACTTGAGTGAAACTTTGTAAATTTAATTATCCATAATGGCTGAGCCTGGCAAAACATTACTGAGTTGGGTGTACAGGGAGTTTGTTGTTGTCAGTGTGACCTGAACATTGACCTGTCTTTGATGAGGCCTGAAGCGGCACCATGATGTGTACATGTGTTATAGCGGCTAGGATGGTCAATGTTATATTGCTCTTGAGGCCATTCTGGTCCGTTCCAGTCAGTGTTCCATGTTGATGTTCTTGTGGTAGATGCTCAAAGTCTCTACCATACAGTAGTGCCTCTGTGGTCTTGTGGATAGAGATCCTGCCTGCACAAGCGAAAGCTGGTGGTTCAATTCCCCAGGCATGTCATAAGTTGGCATAAACTAAATGAAACACGGACTGGTCATTTTAAAGTTGAGCTGCCAACATTCATAGTCTTATTGGTGTAATAAGGATTTGTAGTGGTCACATTTGTGTAGTCTGTCTCACAGTCCCTGAACCATATTATTTTCCCTACTGCCTAGCCCTCCCTGCAGTGCTTTAGCCCTCAATGAAGCAAGTCTCGATTTCCCCTGAATCTTTGGTCTCCCTGGGGCTCCTTTTCAATTTAAATGGGCTTGTTTGTTCCTATCAAAATTATGTATATTCAGAGACTAAGCATTAGTCTAACGTTTGTGTTGATGAGGTGTTTCTGCTGAACTGGGAATGTTACCATGAGTGTTACCTTGTGTTGTCACTTGTTGTTGCAGCCGCTGGTCAAGTTCAAGAGCCACCTGTACTTCGAAGAAAAGGACTATGTGACAGAGGCAGAGAAGTTGCTCAAGGAGTCGACCGACAGTGAGGTACACCATCCACAGACTGCACAGTAGACACCATCCATAGGCTGCACAGTAGACACCATCCATAGGCTGCACAGTAGACACCATCCATAGGCTGCACTGTAGACACCATCCATAGACTGCACTGTAGACACCATCCATAGACTGCACAGTAGACACCATCCATAGACTGCACAGTAGACACCATCCATAGTAGTAGACACCATCCATAGGTAGACTGCACAGTAGACACCATCCATAGACTGCACAGTAGACACCATCCATAGACTGCACAGTAGACACCATCCATAGGCTGCACTGTAGACACCATCCATAGACTGCACTGTAGACACCATCCATAGACTGCACAGTAGACACCATCCATAGGCTGCACAGTAGACACCATCCATAGACTGCACAGTAGACACCATCCATAGACTGCACAGTAGACACCATCCATAGGCTGCACAGTAGACAGTCCAGGCTGCACAGTAGACACCATCCATAGGCTGCACAGTAGACACCATCCATAGGCTGCACAGTAGACACCATCCATAGACTGCACAGTAGACACCATCCATAGACTGCACAGTAGACACCATCCATAGGCTGCACTGTAGACACCATCCATAGGCTGCACAGTAGACACCATCCATAGGCTGCACTGTAGACACCATCCATAGACTGCACAGTAGACACCATCCATAGGCTGCACTCAACAATGAATTAAACGATTGTTTTCAGATGTGGGTAATGTGTTCTTTGTTTATAAGAAACGTGCAGTGCAAGCTTTCATACAGGTATTGTAATTTTGTCAAGAATAATAATTATTACTTGTTGCACACCTGAAGTTGAAACTCATGGTATTAGTGAGCCTTGCTCACATTGTATGGCTTGTTTTCTAATCGACCTAATCAGACTGTGTTGTTTCCAGATAATCATGTACAAGAATGGGAAATCTCAAGGCATTGCATTCACCGACATATTTGAAGGAGTGTACTATCCTGCAGTCTCAGTATTTAAAAACGCTACGGTAAGACCTGTGTAATAAATACGGTAAGACCCGTGTAATAAATTGTATTTGAACAGACCAGTTATTTTTGTTCTTTACAGATTTATGTGCTTTCAGGTTAATCAGCAAAATATTCAGTTAACATAAATATCTCATAGTATTTCATGACTGTCAGTTTGAAAGCTTCAGGCCGCTTTTCCCAAATACATCCTCACTCACCAGTCATTCACTCTGTGTTATTCTTTCAGGTGAAAGTCAATTTTGGTCCCAAGTTCAAGTACCCACCGAAAGATATCATGTTCCGACCTGTAAGTATTACGAAACTGACTTAACTTTCTTCACTCCCTAATCAAAAATTGTATTTCGACTCATTGATTCAAGATCTGATGCATGTTTGCTTTTGTTGCTATTTTTATCAGCAATATTCCAGCTCTATGATGACAGTCTGTAAACAATAGAGTCTGGACCAGACAACCCAGTGATTGACATAATGAGCATTGAGCCACATAGTTAGCACACCTTGACATGCATCAGCCAAGTCAGCGGGCCAGATCACCTGATCCTGTTAGTCACATCTTACATAGAGGATACTAAACGACCTTCCGTGTAATACCAATTTTATCAAACGAGTTAATGATTTGGTATCAAACGAGTGAATGCAAGTTTGATACTAAATCTTTCACAAGTTTAATAAAAATGGTATTTCACGGAAGCGTGTTTTGTATTCTGTTCATTACTCTAGAAACATACTCCCCAGGGAGTTGAGATTGATAATACGATGTGCCATTCAGATTGACATCCAATGATCAAGGGAAAAATACCAGCGCCTTGAGCATGCACTAGTTGCCTGGATATGTGCGCTATATAAATATCCTATAATAATCGAAACATAAATTGATAGAAACTGCCTACAGTGTGATGACTCTCATATCAATTTTTAGCAAGTCAAGCAATGTCTAATACCATTGCGACAGAGGCATTAGCATTGTGACGTCATAACTGTAACCATTATGACGTCATATGTCTAGCGGTATTACATTAGTGTAAAATTGCCGTAAAAATATTACACTGCAGTATCTTCCATGGGCGAGCCCGCCATATAGCTGGAATATTGCTCAGTGCGGCGTAAAACTAAACTCACTCACTCCATGGGCAAGTAATAAAACAAATATCTAGGTTGATGAAGACGAGTGATAGGCGTAAATACCAATACATGTTGATGCGTGAAGGATATTTTACGCTTGATTTACACCAATGATCCATAACAAATATCATATAATGGTGACATGCAAGCTAATGTTGTAACACACCACACTATTCCAGCAGGTGGCCTGTAAATATTGCTACCTGGCCAGGCACATCTGGTTGTGGGCATGTCACACAATCAATGATACCAGACGTAGTTCCCACCTATACTGGTACCTGTCATCCTAAAGGATTCTACAGGGTTTTGTTCCACAATATGATCACAGATTATATAGGTTATCATAAGCCTCTCTGAAAGTATGGGACCTTAGCAGGGGTGGAAATAACTTTAAAATTGTTAGTGTACTCCGGTACAGTGGCACATGTAAAATCACTTGCCCTGATAATTTTTCCACTATACCGGCCGTTTTCTTGTTGATTTTTTAAATAAACAACATAATTAACATTGGAATGTCAACTGGACACTTGTACAGTGTGATATACAAATTTGCTTGCCCGACAGAAAAAAACACTGGACTCGGGCGTCGGGCAATGGGTTATTTCCACACCCAGCTTAGGGTTAAGATCTCTTTGTAGACTGGTAATGAGGATGATTTTATGTGTGCTTCCTATGCTGACCCTGTTGATATTATCCATTGGAATTCTGGGTTGAATTTTCCTCCAACAACCTGTTTGTTTGTTTGCTCAATGCTGCCCGAAAAATGCTCAAGGCAGTCTGTAAATATACGAGTATGGACCAGACAATCCTGTGATTGACATCATGAGCATCAATCTACACAATTAGGATATGATGACTTGCATCAACCAAGTCAGCGAGCCTGACCACCAGATCCTGGTAGTTGCTTCTTAGGACAAGCATGGGTTCCTGAAGACCAGTTCTAACCCAGATCTTCACGGTTTCCAACGACCTGTACTGTAACAGCAACAACCAAATGAATTGTATGGTCCAACTCAATGATTCGGTTGATTGTGGGTCACCATACCCACATGACTTTATTAGTTGCTCATTTGATCAATCACTGGATTGTCTAGTCCAGACTTGATTATTTATACCATTAGTTTGAATATTTTTTAGAGTGGTATTAAATAAACTGGTGATATAAGTTACCTCCCCTGTTGCCAGGTGTCAGAGGCTGCCCAGCAGGCTGTGGTGGACTACACTCTCTCGGACCTCATCTATCATATAGAGAATGAGGGCAAGCTGCCCGAGTTCTAATCTTTAGGAGGCCACAATGTGCAGACCTAGGAGAAGTGAAGACAGAAAGATTTGTCTGCTCTTGAGGACCGTGCAGTGTTCACACCTGAGCGTCTTCCTGGTGCCTCACAGTGCATGACCTCACAGGACATTACATCACCAGACAGAACTGTAAAGTGAGGAAGAGTTATCCCCCCTGACTTGAAGGGAGAGTTGTTCCCCTTGACTTGAAGCCAGGGAACCCTCTTCAGCACTGACAGTTACTTGTTGGACTGGACATTCAACACATGCTTTAAGCCTGTACAAAATGGAGGACGGTTTATCTCGAGATTGCTGCAACATCTGCTGATGTGGAACTGACCTTTCGTCTCAATTCGCAGTATTAGCTTGTGTCACTAGTGCTGTGTTGTGAGGAAGGTGGCTTTACTAACCCGTGTAGTTCTGTGTGCACTCTCTAAACCAGCCACTATCCCTTCTACCATGTCGTCCGCTAGACGAATGCTATTAAAAGGACTATTCATTAAGTCTCAGCTACTAGAATTTAATCTAAGATTTGTTTTCCGTATTTTGTTTACCTATTTAAATAAAAGAACAGAAACTGACAAAGCCTGACAAGTAATTTGCAATATATAGTTGGGAGAAAACATTTGTGTAGCCATTTTCTTATGATGTCTGAGATCTGTTTATTTTGGCTCTCTGCAAAAATATATGTCGTAAAACTCTAGTTAGGATGTTCCAACATGTGCACAGTTATCCTCCAGGATAGGCTACATGTGTAGTTACATCGTACATGTAAGTGTATGTGATAGTATATGAAAAAGTTGATTAGGAAGGATATTTTCTGTAATCAAATTTGATGTAAGTTGTGCGTTGATGTGAGTGTACCAAGTTGTGATTGCTCGTCAGTTGTTTTACAGAATAATTGGTTAACTCTGAGAAGGAACCAGTCTTGATATTGTTGTTTTGAATGTGTCATTGCATTTGTGTTATAGCATTGTTCAGTGAATCATGTCCATGATTATTGTCTTTTTTTTAGAACTTTTACATGAAACAATTCAGTGTTGATGTCCATGTTAAAGATTCATGCCAATGTCCTATGAATAAATACTGAAACAGCGATGTCCTATGAATAAAAACTGAAAGAGCGATGTCCTATCAATAAATACTGAAACAGCGATGTCCTATCAATAAATACTGAAACAGCGATTTCAGGAAATACGTCACAGGGTTTTACCATGACTTACAAAAGCGGGAGTCCCCATCAATGTATTTTACGTGTCCTTGTCAGTAATACAAGGGTCCTGTAAACTATTGAAGTGGTGTGGTACAGTGTATGAAATAAGACAAAAATCCAGCCAGACATCAGGATGTATAGAACATCTAACATTTTTACCAGACCATCGGGCTGGCTAGCTGTATATTTAGACCGTCAGTCAGAAATCTAGCCCGTCTCGGGCGGTCAGACGGGCCTTATTTCATACACTGGTGGTGTAGTGTAAATCATGATAATGACTTCATAGCCTGGAATGAATCAGTGGTCATGTGGACAGTCACATGACTGATGGGTGAAATACCAGACTACTCTCGATGTGCTGTAACTTCGCTCTCTCAATTTTTGTATGTCTCTCCGGATGCAGTATTTTGGGTTTCCTAAATCTATTCTCTACATATGTAGATGCATATTTGTGCATGGTGTAAAACACTGACTGCAACCCAAGACTGACCTCCAGTCCATTTATTTGTCTAGACAGATTGTACTAGAGTGAGTGAGTGAGTGAGTTTAGTTTTACACCACACTCAGCAATATTCCAGCTATATGGCGGCGGTCTGTAAATAATTGAGTCTGGACCAGGCAATGCAGTGATCAACAGCATCGATCTGCGCAATTGGGAACAGATGACATGTGTCAACCAAGTCAGCGAGCCTGACCACCCGATACCATTAGTCACCTCTTACGACAAGCATGGGTTGGACGATCAATATTCTAACCCGGACCTTCACGGGTGATTGTACTAGATGTTAGATGATGACACTTTCGTAACCCTGCCTGACGTTCGGCAAAGGGACTGCTTGCCTCAGAGGCATGGTATCATGAGCCTGGATTAGTAAAGTGAATGAGAGAGAATGGTTCTACACTGTTTTTAGCAATATTCCTGCAATATCTTCCAGAAATGGCCTTCACACTCTACCCATGAGAGGAATCCTGGCCTTTGGTGTAATGAATGAACACATTAACCACCAGGCCACCCTACTGCCATGGAAAGTTCAAACAGACCGGATAGATACACATACAGAGTTACAACCAATAACAGATAATAGTATGTTGCAAAATGAACCTCATTTGTCCACATGTAGCATGTGTGGGAATGATATTTCCTGCTGAACAATATCAAGGCAGCCTGTGAGGAACCCAATGAGTGGCTGCTGTTATTTATAGTTTAATACCTCACTCCAAAATACCCACAAGATGATGACAGTCTGTAAATAATCAAATCCATTGATTGATATTCAGAGGAAAGATCCATGTTGACAGGATACATTGACACTATCAACCCAATCCAGAGTCTGATCGTGTGATCCAGTAAACGGACTTTTACCCCAAGCAACGGCTGCTGGGAACTTACTTGAACCAGGAATCTCAAGGGGACTGGTTTGGTAGGCAAGCACCCAATAACACCCGAATCAGTCGTTCCCCCAGCAACCATCTGATCGGCACAACTGATGAATCAAGTATTCACAATTCTGGGTAGAAACAAGGCAAAGATAGATCATCCACATGAGACTTTAATCAATGCACAGAAATGCTCTGCTTCAAAGGAAAAATGGACAAAAAGAAGGCAAAGTCGATGGTAAAACTGCATAACAGAAAACAATGCATTGAGTATTTGGCTGAACCACTCCTGGAACATCGAACAATCACATCTCACGACCAGCATCTATCGCGGCCACAATGATACATTTAGTCTTGCATTCACAACTACAACACAAACCAGGACTTATGATTCGACTTCCAGCTGAATAAAATACATGTATACCATTAAGAGAGATGTGTATTCCTAATCAGTGACCCCTGTAGAGTGATAAAATGACCCTACAATTTAGTAATCTAATGATGAAATGACCAACCTCATCACAGAGAGCAAAGCCAGGGAAATGCTATAACCTCTATGAGCTACTTTGCATTTAAGAACCTAACTTGAAGATGGACGCCAGTGTTATTTCCCTTCTGTGAATACTTTTTGAGTTGGTATTTTTATGCAATGACAGTGACCTAAGACAAAAATAGGGCTTCCAACTAGTTCATATTGTTGAGATTAGTTCACACTGTCGGACACATTCGTTAGTGGTTTTTATTGTCACACATAGTTTGGACCCCTTTGGTGAGGCTTGAGAGTCAAGCCTGTACACAAACAACAAAGACACTGCCACAAACTGCAGATGAACGGCAGTCACCAATAGGTGACATCCATTTGTTCACTTTCACCCTGTCAGCACTTGCAATCATCATTACATCATCCCATTTGCCACAACTTGAGCACACGATGTCATCCATCACAGACTTGGCCTTCCGCTCGGCCTGCATCAGAGATGAGGTTTCAGTGAGTCTCTATCGTGTACTATGACTCCTCGGTGTATACTTTCTTCAGCTCTCCCACTAGACTTGACAGTGTAGGGTTTCCACCATGTTCCTCAATCAGTTCCAGGGCTCTGAAACATAGACGAGATGAAGATTAGAAACCATTGCCTGAAACATGGTGGACAGTTTCTGAAACATCAAGGACAGAGACTGAAAAGCAGGGACAGTGATTGAAACATGGAGGGCATTCAAATGCCGAGGACAGTGTCTGGCAACAGGGTAGGTTACTTATGTAACCCGTTTGTTTCTGACTGAAACATGGAGGACCATCATGGAGAACACTGAAACACAAAGTACAGTGACTGATATACGAGGACAGAGACTGAAATATTGACTAAAGCTACTCGAACAAGGTGGGCAGTGTGAAAAGTGGAGGACATTCAAACATGGAGGAAAGTGACGGAATTCTGAATGGCAGTTGTTTGATTGGCATTCCAGAAATTGGCGAGTCAAAAATGAAGCATACAACTTTACGGATGACAACTTCTTGTTTATTGCACAGAGCGTTGTTTCAATGTAGATGGCAGTGACTGAAATCTGAAGGACAATGACTGAAACACGGACCACAATGACTGAAACACGGACCACAGTGACTGAAACACGGACCACAGTGACTGAAACACGGACCACAATGACTGAAACACGGACCACAATGACTGAACACGGACCACAGTGACTGAAACACGGACCACAGTGACTGAAACACGGACCACAATGACTGAAACACGGACCACAATGACTGAAACCACGGACCACAATGACTGAAACACGGACCACAGTGACTGAAACACGGACCACAATGACTGAAACACGGACCACAATGACTGAAACACGGACCACAGTGACTGAAACACAGGACCACAGTGACTGAAACATGGAGGACCACAGTGACTGAAACATGGAGGAGGTGAGGACGACCACAGTGACTGAAACATCTGAAGGACAATGACTGAAACACGGACCACAGTGACTGACTGAAACACGGACCACAGTGACTGAAACATGGAGGAGGTGACTGAAACACGGACCACAGTGACTGAAACATGGAGGAGGTGACTGAAACACGGACCACAGTGACTGAAATCTGAAGGACAATGACTGAAACACGGACCACAGTGACTGAAACATGGAGGAGGTGACTGAAACACGGACCACAGTGACTGAAACACGGAGGACAATGACTGAAACACTGGACCACAGTGACTGAAACATGGAGGAGGTGACTGAAACACGGACCACAGTGACTGAAACACGGAGGACAATGACTGAAACACGGACCACAGTGACTGAAACACGGACCACAATGACTGAACCTCGGACCACAGTGACTGAAACACAGACCACAGTGACTGAAATCTGAAGGACAATGACTGAAACACGGACCACAGTGACTGAAATCTGAAGGACAATGACTGAAACACGGACCACAGTGACTGAAACATGGAGGAGGACTGAAATCTGAAGGACAATGACTGAAACACGGACCACAATGACTGAAACATGGAGGACAATGACTGAAACACGGACCACAGTGACTGAAACATGGAGGAGAGTGATTGAAACATGGAGGACATAGATTTGAAAGACAATATGTTAGATGACCACACACTAACCTCTGCTCCAGGCTGACCAGCGTCTGTTTAGTGTAGTCGAAGGACCCGATCTTCATCATGTAGTCCACACAGTACTTCTTCAAGTCATTGTCTGTTGTTCTTTGTCGTAAAATGTCTTGTATGAATTAAGGTCAATTGTTGGTTACTTTCGGAAGCAAAGTTATACGTGTCACAGCTCGAAGTAAAAATATACAATACAAATGACCTCTACTCACCAGACACTGGGTCTCATATATCCTCTACTAATCCAGACTTGCACCTTCACCTCACTGATCTCCATCCCACACAGACCTTCCCTCTGCCTCCCCACCCATAGACATCCCCCACATTCCTCACTGACCAGATGCCACCCCACACCATTCACTGACCAAATCCTTCCCCACACACCTCACAGACCCCCTCCCTCCCAACACACTGTACTGACATGCCCCACCCTCCCAACATCCTCACAGACTACCCCTCAGACCAAAACACTCCCCACCCCACCCCACCTCCACATTGCTGGGACAAGGATACTGATGATCTGGTTGTTGTCCGGGCTGGACCTGATGGCATGGATGAGAGGGAAGGAGAACTTGCCCTCTGTCAGGTCTTCACAGTAGCTCTTGTTGGCTTCATACTGAAACAGGGCACAGCAGGCGAGTTGGGTCTCATGCTGACACACACCATAACGTATCACTTTCAGTTCATAGAGATATAGCGGAAGGTCGCGGGTTCGATCCCCGACCGCGTCATACCAAAAGACGTTAAAATATGGTACTTGTTGGTCCCTGCCTGGCGCTCGGCATTAATGGGTACAACAAGGACTGGTCGGCTCGGAGTCAGTATAATGTGTCTGAGTGGGGTATTCATGCTTCACTGCGGCATGGTATCTCAGTGGGCTAGCACTATAAAACCAGCTTCAGTCTGGGCTAGTACAAGCAGCCGCACCTACACATACACATGCATGCACGTCGTCATATGAGTGAAATATTCTCCAGCGCGACGTTAAACCCAATTTCACCTCACCTCATAGAGACATAACAGATCAAATTAGAGGCAGGCAAACATTTAACAGATCCATCTCACATCCCAGATGTACAGAAATATATGGTAACACATGAAAGTGATACACAGAGGTTGTAGAGGAAACTCTGAAATTTGTCTGTTAAATCTGATCCATCCTGTCCTGGAAGGCCTCAGTTCTCTCAAAGGACTTCAAGTATCTCATCTTCCCTTTTTTTAATACACATATTGACATCATTTGTTGTTTCAAACTGAGTGTTAACACGAACATTTATTCATTTATTCAGTGATTCAATGATTCACTGAACAGCATCTCTACTGCCTCGGGCATTAACTCTGCGTCTACTTCATTGTAGCATACAACATCCTGACGTGGTGAAAATGATAGCACAACACACTTCAGTGACACACACATGCAGTGTACAGTGCCAATGTTACTTTCACTGTCTCACCTCTTTAGAAGATAAGTTGGCGTAGTCGTCTCGGATCTGGAAGTATAATCCTAGCACATCTAACAAAGGTTTAAAGTCACTGAAACATAAAAGAAACACTTTTCATACATCATATACAATAAAAACAAGTTTAGAGCTGGAAACTTGTTCTGATGATGTGAAAAACAGAATTAAAACACTTAGTTCTTATTTGACCAGAAATGAGAAAAAACATTTATTGTCAGTTTCAATATGAATAAATTATTTAAAAGACTACATTGTATAATTAAAACCTGATAAAAAAAATCTCTTAGAGGATCATAAGAGGAAATTATCATTTCTGTCGGTGACTACTAAAATTAAAATCAGGGAAAAACACTACCCCTCACAAAAACATGGTCTGGCTTCACTAGTCTATAAGGTAATCATGGCTATGTATACAGTAGGTGGGTTTAGGAGATATACAGATACCTCTATGCTAGACATTGCTGAAGCCAACCATCTCCTTATGAATTACCTCCCCTTCACTACCTTGACTGCTGTGCCACTACACCAGCCATGTGTGTGTGTGAGTGAGTGAGTTTAGTTTTATGCCGCTTTTAGCAATATTCCATCAATATCAGAGTAGGGGACACCAGAAATGGGCTTCACACATTGTACCCTTGTGGGAAACAGGACCCGGTCTTTGGTGTGACAAGGGAACACTTTAACCACTTACCTACCCAGCTATGTGTACCTACCTTTTGTTGTCACTAAATAGTTGCATAAGTCGAACTGCTAGACCAAACAATCCACCGGTCTCTGAAACACATTCAACCAAATTAAGATGGTCAACAGGAAAACTGTTTCAGTCACAGTTAAGTTTGTTGTGCTTCTGTTGCAGTGAGGGTGAGGTTGTTACATAGCTTTTAGCAAATATTCCAGCAATATCACAGCAGGAGACACCAGAAAGGGGCTTCACACATTGTACCCATCTGGGGGATCAAACCTGGGCCTTTGGCATGATGAGCCAAGACTTTGACCACTCAGCTATGCCACTACTACTTCTTCTGCTGGAAACAGCTGACAGTAATATTCAATCACTGGGCAAACTGACTGAATATACCCTCAACCACAGCATCAAAACACTGCCTTATTGTTTCCAACAGTAATATTGCATTGCATGTGCATATACCCTCAACCAAGGTGAGAAATACTGCCTTATTGTTTCCAAACTGAAGATGCTAAAGTATAAAGACACTTACAAAGATGTTCAGCAAGCTTATCATTTGCCATAATTTTGCATCAAGAATATGCATTCTGCAACTTTCATACATTACACCACTAAAATGCATCTATGACAACTTACAAGCTGTTGCTATGACAACACTAATATTATGAGCCTTTCAATCAGTGATACCAAGTTTATATACCTGACAATTTGCCATATTATTCATCACCCCTAGTGATGTTCAATATAATCAAGGAAACATTAGTGATACTGTCATTGAAAACAATGGCTGTTTGTGTAAAAATGAAAAAAAAACAAAGTCGAGAAATGTTGACAATATGATCTGCAGCAGGACCAAGACACAGATGCAGTACTGACTGGGTGTAAGTAAGAATCTACAAAAGACATGCATATAATGGGGGAAATACTGACTGCGTATAACCATGGTCTTGTAATCCTCCTCTGTTGGACAAAGCACTGTGTCTCTCCAGTAGATGTCCATCCCCTGCCCACGATGAAGCTCCAGCAGCTGTTCTGTAACCATGGTAACATCCAAGACAAACACATCATGATGAACTAAGAAGACATATTTAACAGTACCTCACTCACTCACTCAGAATGGTCCACACGTTTGTTGAGTGAGTGATTCAAACCTTTTGTTAGATATTTCTGTTTGTTGTAAGAACTGGATGAAATGAGGATCAGACGGTCAAACTCTATGACATAGTTCAATGTATGTCGAAATATGAATTATCGTTAACAGTGTCACTTTGGATAGAAGTGGCATGTACAAGTGATATCAGCTGCCTAGCAACATGGATAGAAAACATATTTTCCTGTGATGAAACATGCAAAATTGTTTGTATGCAGATCTGAATTTTAAATTTCAAGATGCCTTTTGTAACATTCTTGTTGTAGAGCTTGATGATCCTAGATAATACTTAACGCAATATGGCATAACTTCTGCCTGTGAACTGACCTGTAAATACTGTATTGACCTCTGGATGTCCGAGACTGTGGAGTTTGGACAGCGCTAGGAAGTACACATAGTTGGCTGTGTTGATTGTCTGTGGTATTCCGTATATACTGTGAGCCACTGCAAAGTTCAAACATATCGCCAGAGCTATGAATACATCACACTTGCTTCCATACCATTAACGGCTTTCTAATCATCGACATTGATAATTTACATTAAATATGAAAATCTACATTTAATTCTCAATTTATAATTTACCTGCATTAAAATATAAACATCAAACATTTATTTCAGGCATGAGTAGTCGTGATTGGGAATTGGGAGTTATCTCCCTTTATCTGCTGCCCCTAAGATTCCATAACATTAAGATCATGTAAACAACTGTGCAGCAAGATGCTTTCCTAAAGAAGATATGGAGAGTGCAGTGAAGAAGCTAGCAAGTATTGCTGGATGACATTGTGTACTATTTACATATTTCGTAAATCACCATCTACTCAGCAATTACAGATGAACAGGTTTTCAAACTGACTCATGTTTATTTCACTTCCATGATTATTACTACAGAATGTGTGCTGTGTATAGATTATACACACACATTTATATAGAATGGCATTTCTTGTGAACATTTTTTAGTAATTCAGACTTTTTCATGATTTGTTGTTAATATATCACACTGGAATCGCTGTAAATTTTAAACTAAATAAAGTAGTCCGGTGCAATTTGGGTTAAATGAAACGACTATATATAAACACTGATACTATTTAATATAAGTATAGAATATACCATAATTTGGGGCCTTTTCATGTTTACAGATAATCCTGTGGGTGTTTTTAATTTCTCAAAACTGGAATTGTCTTCAATAACATGATTGTAAAACAATGATTTTTCTTTCAACACCTGTCTGTGATTGTATAACCAAGTACACTCACCTGGTATTCCTCTCCTCAACTTGGAATTATCTTCAATATCGTCTATTCTGTAAACAACAAACCAGCCTTAGCTTACAAGGAGGGAAAGTCATGATCTCATACCTATGCTTCAGTCATCTTAAGTTTGAAGCCTTCATAATAGAGGTAAGGTTCTTGAAAAGATGAAAATACTGCCTCCTACAAGTGCTGACAAGAGTTGTATGCAACCTTCACTGTAGGCCCCACAGACCTGTACAAATAAATTGTGTCATATACCGCAGCATGGTTAGATTTAAACTGTTTGGTTGTCATTTTAAAAGCTTGTGGGTAACCATGGTAACAGTAAAAGCAAGTTATTTTATAGGTGAATTATTGTACACTGACCATTTTGGTCATCTTCTGTGCTATGGCCCTGGGTGCCGTTCCACTAACCGATCTTATCTAAGATCAATCTTAGCAAGTTTCGCCAATTTTACAATCGTCTTAACTAAATGTTACAGCCGTTTCACAAACCGATCTTAGGCCGATCGTAGCCCATCCCGATCTTATGATCTGATCCAAACTTAGATCGAGACTCTTTCGTGAGAGAGATAGAGAAATGCGAGGCACGAGTTATCTCCCTTTGCATAGTCTAAGCGTAAATGTGGAGAAAAAACCTCGAGCAAATTATTAGGGTAGTGAGCACCTTGGTTTCAGGGTCAAGTGCAAGTTTGAACGGTGGGTTTCAGGCATAATATGTGGCTGAACCTTGTCGATCAGAATAAACAAGGCGTGGCGAGGCATCCTCTATAAGCACATCATCTGATAACGTATCTAGAATATGTCAGTGGTCTTGAAAAACATGTGGCCTGCCTTCAGAATCCACCACTAAAAAAGCGCTCGTGAAATCAAACATATTTGTATCTTGTTGTTTCAGAACATTGTTCACTTCACGACCCTCCCCTATTCTTAACCATCTAATTGCAATATTGTTGTACAAATGTATTACATCGACTCCCTCTGTGTTCCCATAACAACAGTGGTCAGACTGGCCTCACATTTGTAAAGCTTCAGTGCAGTGTTTGTTTACATCACAGAATTAACAAATTCATTTCATGGGGAATTTTAGGGGACGCTCACGGTGAAATGCTTGCTCATCTTCTTCACACAGAATATGAAAGCCACCATTTTGGTTTCTCTACAATTGATTTTAGCAATCCTAAGTTGGTCATGAGCAACTTAGACTTTGGATCTTAACTTTACGATTGACTCCGATAAGATTGGTTAGTGGAACAGTATGCCGATCGTAACGTCACACTAAGATTGGGATTTTAGGGGTTTACAATTGACATAGAGCTAAGATCGATTAGTGGAACGGCACCCTGATAGAGATCTATGTGCCCTGACTACACTGGTTTACTACTGTGCCCTGACCACACACAGGATCTATTCTGCCCTGACCACGCTGGTGAGCACTTACAGTAGACTGGCATTGTGCAGCATCTGTATGACTTCTCCAATCTGCAGAAGCTTGTCTTCTGGGATCTTCAGCCAGTAGTTGAGGGCCTGAAACATGACGGGCACTGAGACACCTGACTTTCATAGAGTTGTGTTGTATGGGACACCAACATTTCCCTGCTGTACATACTGTACTGCTTTACATAATGTACTCAAGATTAGTCATGGAAATGATGAAACAGTTTGTACAACGGCTGCTGTATGCGAATTAGAGACACGTGTATGACACTTTAGAGATACATGTATGACAGATAAGACACAAATGTATGACAAATGAGAGACAAGTGTACAATGGGTAAGAGAGACCAGCGTACAATGGATGAAACAAGAGTATGATTTTGGGGAAACAAATGTATGACATATAAGAAACAAGTGTATGATATATGACAAACAAGTGTATTGTATATGACAAACAAGTGTATGATGTATTACAAACAAGTGTATGATATATGACAAACAAGTGTATTGAACATGAGAAACAAGTGTATTGAGTGAGTGACTGAGTTTAGTTTTACGCCGCTTCTAGCAATATTCCAGCAATATCATGGCGGGTGGTACCAGAAATGGGCTTCACACATTGTACCCACATGGAGAATCAAACCCAGGTGTTCGGCATGACGAGCAAACGCTTTAACCACTAGGCTACCCCACCACCCCACAAGTGTATTGAATATGAGAAACAAGTGTATGATTCATTAGAGACAAAAGTCAGAAGAGATAAAAGTGTATGATGAATGAGAATGACAGATAAGAGACAAGTGTTTGATAGATTTGACACAAGAGAATGACAGACTAGAGACAAGAGTATGATCATGATGCTATTTCATCTGTTTGTTTGTTTGATGCAGCAGGTCAGTAATGGTCAAGAGTAACATGGATTAGGTGATGCCACTTAAGGGGCTTGTTTACTAACAGCAGCCAGCTTGGTCCTGATCTTCTTGCCTGGAATCTGGCAGATGTAATCATATGGTTCAAGGAGTACCTGGTGAGGAAATATAAAAAACAGGCTCATGTTAACTTCATTATATTTCTGAGCAAGTTGGTGAGTCATGGAATTAAATCCCACAAAACTACTTCTCATGGAAGAGCACTGTATTAGTTGTTACCAGGTTTGGCTCTGACTGACTTGCAGACATTCAAGATGTCAGATCGTGAATTACAGTCTCCCAGAAACCCAAAAGCATTACAGCAGCATGTTTATGCACATTTATATATTAAAAAACAACATAACGAGTCACTTTTGATAGTTATGGGAGACTATTAAAAAACATGAAAAATATGCATAAAAACATGCCAGTCTTAGGCGATCGCTTCTACTCACTTTAACAATGGATGCATGTTTCAATTGGTGATCAAAGTACTATTGAGGACATTTTGATATATATTAATATAGATGCACTGTGATGTACTGTAGTTATCCAACATATGTTTGTTTGCTCTGATCGTTACCATAATTACCAAGATTACTACTTCAAATGTTCTATTGCCTCAACATTATCATGATCAGGGGTTCAATTTTTTTCAAAAGCCACTTGCCACAGGGCAAGTGCTTTAAGAAAGTAACCTGTCCTGACTAATTTTCCACTTGCCCTGATTTTATGACATAATTATGATGATGTAATTATGAAAGAAAAAATCAACATGGTATTTGATGATAATGTTCACTAGACTATTTATTGAAAAGTGATAAATAGTAAAGAAAGATAACTCTACTTTATTATCATTGCGAAATTTAATAGCTACATTTTGAGCAGATATGAAATTAAATCAAAGTTTATTTGCAGTTTGAAACCATAAGTGGAAATTATCTAGTAGCCCACGGACAAGTAAGATACCATTATTTGATTGCCCGAAATGAAAACTGACTTGTCCCGGGCGTCGGGCGATGGGATTTTTGAACCCCTGCATGATTACAGCACAAGTATACAACACATTTTGAATGTACAATAATGATATTGAGAAGAAAGGTCTTAAGTACAGACAGACTACATGCAATGTCACAAGACTAATTTCACCCGTGTATCACAGTGTGTAAACATGAAACTGATAAAACATTAATGAATCGGGCTTGCATAATTATTCTATTATTTGATAGAACATTCAAACAACAACAACAAAATATTTGTCTGAAACTAGACCTGACCATATTCAAACAGTCTACTGTTCATTCCATACACTGCATTCGTTAAAACTGTTTGTTAGGTTTACATAATACAATATATATACTGCATTGTATTCTAAGGAATGTTCACCAAGTTCATGTTCACTATTACCCATCACCAGGGCTCCAGATAATTTTTCAACATCAGGAGTACGTACTCCTTATTTGTTCAATATTGAGTACTGGAAAACCTTAAGTGTACATTTAGAGTACTGAATGGAAGCTAATGGACTATCAGTAATCTTGTGTTTCGTTTCATATATGCACCACAACATTGCTACTCTTGTGTAAACAGGTCAATAAACAATAAAACAATACTTTTTTTCAGATAAATACGTCTGTAAGTGATTCTAAGACCGTACACCTTTGCTTTGGTGCGTATCTGCTACGTTTTCTAAATTATTTCCTACCGTATCGTGCATATTTTTTATCCGTACATACGCCGATACGGCCCTTATCTGGAGCCCTGCCCCTCACCATGAGGATTTACATTTGTTTTCTCAGCTCCCTGAGAAATATACAGCCCTAGCTGTGTGCAAGCTGCTGCTATTATTATTATTACTGTCTCATGTAATCAGGCACCCTTTCCCTGCTAGGAGACATATTATAAAATGAGTCACTTGTCCTACTTTTAATTCATCTGAGACATCATCTCCACCCTCATTCTGCCACCACAGTTGTTTTAATTCATCTGATTGTGACCAGTGCATTGGGATATTTGAAAGAAGTGACATTTTGTAAAAAAGTGAAAAAAACCCACAACAACCAAAGACAGAAACTTTCTAGCTCTTCTTTTCAGACAAAAAGTGCATCTTGATATAGTGATAGATAAATATTTCCAAGCAAACACTTCCCCCCCCAACCGCCTCCCCAATTTCAGATATTCATTATTATAGAACATATGTAATTTACAAATCTCATTGCCATGACGATGATGATTGCCTAATAGTAATACAAATGAAAACAAAGACAAAGTAAGTGACTTTCAAGTCAAAGGACACTAACAAGAAACAAAATATACTGTGACTGACATACTGATATGCTAGTCTAACAATACAATGAGAGATTGGATATTTTGGTCTACAGGCTGAAGATAATGAATATTTGACATTATTCTGGTAATCATTAAATATTCAAAATATGTCTACTAATTAAAGAATTCACTTTAACAATGTTGATGTGATTATATCAAAACATATGCAATATGATCAACAGAAAGTCTGCATATGTCCCTCCAAAACATCACAACATGAAACAACCATGCAACATAGTCCATGCAGTGGGAATTTCTCCACAGAAGAGGACAACTCATTCAATCTACCCCACCTTCTCAATTACCTCATCTGTGAAACTCGTCTGTAATTGGCCAGCATTCATTTTTTTGGAATCTGGAATATATAAACATACATCATTATCATGAACATGAAGCCTAACTAGAATCTAGATAACAGTAACAAGTACTGCCTCCAGGTAGTAATAGTAATAATAATAGTAATAGTCCACTTATATGGCGGTCATATCCAGGCACATTGCCTGCTCACGGCGCTACATACATTACTATCCCCGGTCATAGGACACTATCACACTTTCCGATACTTTTTCAACTCCCTGGGGAGCATACAGCCATGCTGCCTGTTACACTCACATTGCCAGCACATCCTCACAGGTCCCCATTTACAGCTGGGTGAACAGAGACAATGTGGATCTAAGTATCTTGTCCAAGGATACTACGCAAATGTGCCCACCTCGGACCCGAACTGAGGTGCCTCCACCGGGGATCGAACCCGGGCCTTCAGCATAATAGGCAGACGCCTTACCACTGCACTACTGCGCTCTAGTACATAGAACAGGAACCCTATAGGTGGTATACAGTACACTTAAAATAGTATTGATAAATAAATCAACTTTTGACATTAACTTACAGATGTGTGGAGTAAAATCGATAAATTACAAAACTAATTTCGTTATAATATAAATAGTATCAGAGAAGAATGAATATATTACTGTTAGTTGTCCGTTGGTTGTCTTGCATCTCCAATGTATGAAGACCTACAGCAGAGATCGATCAACCCACAAGTTTGTATCGCGCAATAATACACGCCCAGTGACAGCCGAGGTTATATATGCTAGTCGGTAATGAGATGTGCAACAGTTATACTGAGCATCTAAGTCATCGAGCTACCACCCGGAAACGTTTTTGTCATTCATTTCACGTGTTTCCTGTTTACTACATATGCAGAGTGAAGATAAATGTTTTCGCACCCATATACAATTCATGAACAACAAATAGAGATATTCAAGGAAAGATATTTGAAACTACTTCATACGGATTTTACTACATTAAAGTACCATGTTGTTCTCTTGATTTTGTGGCTAAGGAAATTCGAAAACACTAATGTGTGAAAATCGTAGACTCCTTACAGCGACATAGGTGTCAAACTGAACCACGTCATCGTAACGCGCTGTAAGGAGTTTGTTGTCTGACAGGCGCTTGAGACGGAAAATTAAGAATGAGTTAACCGGTTAGAAGGCTACCAGTCAGTTAACTGACGGTGAGTTGGGCGAGCTAATATAGATCCCAACGTCCCAATGCATTCGATGTCAGTATGAATTCTACCGCGTAAGATCTCGCCAAGGAATCGGATACCAAAGCGAAGCAAGGTCCGTCGGGGTCAGCTGATCACTCTAGACCACGAAGTGTGCGACTTCTACTAAATTGTCCCTTTTTTAACTTGGCGAGTTTGTAATTGAAATATATGACCTCAAAAATATTTCAGATGGCTGTAATCTACTGTTATCTGCTGTAATCTAGTAGTGTTCAAATTCAAAACTTGACTGGCGTCTCAACATGTGATGCTTATAGATGCCTATCATAGTATCACTGGACTTCATTGTCCATTTAGATTATTGACATATTTTGTGAATATATTTAACAGTAACAACAACAAGTGGAGTGTCACCCAACACTCTTTGCTAGCCTACCAATGTCTTTCTGTCACATAACAAAATTATGTTGATGTATATTTACATAAGCATTTATCATAAATTATCAATAATAACTATAAAAGATGATTGTCACATTTAAGAAATAGATTATTCATAGCGTGAAGTATTGTCATGAGTGAAGTTTACTGGACACTGTCTTATAGCGCTATCAACATCTTGCTATATTGGCTTATGTTTTGAGCCCCTGTACTTTCAAGTGCGGAGATCCCCTTTTCGATCCTTTGGGTAAGCCACAAAAATCTCACCCTTTCCCAGTGTAATAATCCAGTTATCATGATTAGCCTAATCGTTTATTATTTTTATCACATTTCACTGCAATACATGTCATTAAAAATGTTGTGTTGCTTGATTAGCAGCTCGCTTTCATGGACAATGGTAGCTTACAGTCCGTTTGAGTCAGAAGCGGACCGATGAATTGCAAATTTGATCATTGTACAAAATTGCCACATAAATATAAATAGTACACATGTTGATCATTTACTAATACCCAACAGTTTTCTTATATTTGAAAATTTTCGGACTCCACCAAAAAAGTTCTTTAAGAAACTATCATCATTGAAGCGCTAAAAGTTGTTATCTGTCACGGCTGGGTGAAACCGCAGAAAGCGGAACAGCCACTATCTCGTCATGCACGGGATACACATGCATGATGAAAAATGAGGTTGAATGCTGACGCGAAACAGTTGATGATTAAAGTGTACGATTTTTCCGTGCTGAAGCGAAAGGGGCAAACCAATTTATGCCATTAATAAATTCCGTGGCGGGCAGCAAAAGCTTTAGGAGTATCAGCAAGGGTACTGGCAAATGTTCTGGAACACAAACATTGTGAGGGTGATCGCGAAGCAGGTAGGGTCGTGTCAAAATCACACAAATTAAAACATTTGGACCATTTTCAAAAGAACCTTGTAAGGCAGTCTGTCAACAAGCTCTATTCTGAAAACAAATACATGTCGCTGAAATTTTTTAAAAGCATTTGAAGCAAGAACACAACCTCAGAGTATCAAAGTACACTCTCTGGGCACTCTTACACCCTTTAGGGTATCGTTATAAGAAAATTTTGGGAGAGAATAGGTCAGTACTCTGTGAGCGCACCCTGATATCGTTAAGCTTGAGAAATAATTTTCTCAGGGTTATAAAGAAGAAGCGAGGAAGGGTTCGAGCCAGTGTACTTGGACGAGACCTGGGTCAATGCCTGCTCGCACACTGCCAGCAGTCAGTGGGTACCCGATGGGGGTGATAAGGGTCACGTGAAAGCTGCCTCTAGGGAAAGGAGAGAGACTAATCATTCTCCATGCTGGTTGCTCCAGCAAAGGCTTTCTCCCAGGCTGCAACTTGGTATTCAGGGCAAAGTCCACAGATAACAGAGACTACCATTCCCAGATGAATGGTGCGGTTTTCCCTCGATTGGGTTCAAAACAAGTTGGTAGCAGCTCTACCAGAGAAGTCTTTTATCGTAATGGACAATGCCCCATACCACGGCGTGCAGGACCCTGACAGTAAAGCCCGACATCGAACAGTCGAAAAGGTGATATGATATCATGGCTTGACAAATTTCAGATCGCCGCGGCCTTCAAAGGCAACGAAGCCTCAGTTATATGAGATCATAAAACCCCACAAAGGTGAACCTTTCTACAAAGTTGACATTTACATATAAAGTTAGGGTCCTAATATTCTGCGTCTTCCACCCTATCACTGTGACCCTAACCCCATTGAAATGATATGGGGTATTGTCAAAGGAGATGTTGCCAGATCAAACACAACTTTTAGATTACGTGACGTAGAGGTTTTGGTTAAGGACTCCCCTTAACAAAATCATGACTGAAACTTGGCAACACTGTGTCAACAAGGTAGCTAACGTCATTGAACAAGGTTACTGGTCTCGGGATGGCTTACAACAGGCAACTGTGGCACCACTTGTCATCCCTTTAAGTCGTGACTATGACACTATGACAGACTAGGAACCGACAGGTCCCCGCCATGACTGACTGTTCCGTTTCTGCGGTTTCACCCGCCAAGCGACAGATAACAACTTTTCGTCTTCAATAATGATAGTTTCTTAAAGAACTTTTTGGTGGAGTCCGAAAATTTTCAAATATAAGAAAGCTGTTGGGTATTAGTAAATGATAAACAAGTGTACTACTATTTATATTTATGTGGCAATTTTGTACAATGATCAAATTTGCAATTCATCGGTCTGTTTCTGACTCAAACGGACTGTAGATGTAACTTTGAGAAAAGATGAATTAGAGGTTGCGATGTCATGAATGTGCATGCATGCTAATGACTGGTTAAACCAGCACATGTAATGTAACATATGACGGCAGTGGGGTCCAGTGGCAGCATGTTTGTCTAGTATTGTTTTAATTTTCAAGTGATTATTGGATGAAATTCAGAATAATCTCCAATTGATGCTCATGCTGTTGATCACTGGATTGTCTGGCTTAGACACGGTTATTTGCAGATCGCTTCCACCGTACCTGGATATTGCTGAGTGCGGCGTTAAACAACCAACCAATCAACAGAATAATCATAATATGTCAGATTTTAGATCCAACACCAACTGTAAGGGATGGATTTAAATCCTACGTTTGCCCCATAAAATGTACATAAAATTCTATCAGTCACTATCATCATTGCATGTACTGTTGTAGGCCAGTTCAGAATGGCAGCAGCTGGTGGAGGTGTGACGATCCTCAGTCTACCCTGGGAGCATGTCATCTGTCGACACCTCTTCCCCTACCTGTCTGTCAAGGAAGTCTTTCAACTCCGTGTCATCTCCACTCAGTTCCGCGATCTTGTAGACACCTTCTTCAGAACGACCTTCACCCTTGACCTAAGTCGAGTGGCTGCACGAGTCACAGCCGAAGCCTTCGTTCTCATGTCACACAACAATCTATGTTTGAAGAAACTCACGCTACGCAACTCCAAAGATTGGCTATCAGATGCCATCCTGAAATCTGTGCTACTTAATAATCCCAACTTACTGAAGGTAGATTTAACGAACTGTTCCAACTTGACGAACCTATGTGTGAATGTGTTAGCTGTGAACTGTCACGAGCTGCAGGTGCTTGTGCTGACGAGACTGCCACTGGGTGAGCAAGGAGGCTCTGACAGGGTTGCTGGTCAACTGTCGGGAGCTAGAACACGTGGATCTGACTGGATGCTGGAACTTGGATGATGAGGTCATCAGTCAACTCATTGTGTATGGTAAAAAGTAAGTCCATTGTCACATCTCTTTCAGGAATATAATGGAAGGTGGGGTAGCCTAGTGGTTAAAGCAGGGCTCTGGATAATTTTTCAACATCAGGAGTACGTACTGGATATTTTTACAACATAAGAGTACTGGATAAACTTAAGAGTACATTTTGAGTACTGAATGGAATTTAATGGCGTATCAGTAATCTTGTGTTTCGTTTCATATATGCACCACAACATTGCTACTCTTGTGTAAACAGGTCAATAAACAATAAAACAACACTCTTTCAGATAAATACGTCTGTAAATGATTCCAAGACCGTACAGCATTGCTGTGGTGTGTATGTGCTACGTTTTCTACTGTATCGTGCATATTTGTTATCCGTTCATACGCCGATACGGCCCTTATCTGGAGCCCTGTTAAAGTGTTCGCTTGTCAAGCTGAAGACCCAGGTTCGATTCCCCACATGGGTACAATGTGTGAAACACATTTCTGGTGTACCCTGCCATGATTTCGTTAAAAGCAGCGTAAGACTTAACTCGCTCACTCATTCTTTTTCAGGAATATAATTTTTAGAATGTGCTAAAGGGGCAGTGGGCTAGCCTAATGTTTTAAGAGTTTTCTCATCACAACAAAGACCCAGGTTTGATTCCTCACTTGAGTACATGAAGCCCATTTCTGGTGTTCCTTGCCATTATATTTGCCATTTATGGAATTTTTCAAACCAAACTAATAATTAAAATCACTTTTTACTATTTTAAACTCATTTGATTTTTTATCTTGTCAGATTTATTAAAACAGTGATGAATTAATGTTACTGTTAGGTTGGTGGATCTATAAACCAGTAAATTAAGAAACTCTTGTCTAAGAAGTTTTTGAAAGGAATTTAGAAGTTTGACAAACATGAATACATGACACATTTTATGGATAACAACTTTTTTTTCATTCCTTATACAATACTGGTGTCCCTCCATCGTGATATTGCTGGAATATTGCTAAAACGGCATAAAACCAAACTCACTCACTCACTCCATAAAATGATGTTTCAGAGCTAATTCTTGTTCCTTCATCAGGTGAATGCTGAGTCACTTCAAAGAGTGTAAACATATATATACAGTCAAGTCTCGTTCAGTCTTAGTGAACTTAGGCTCAGTATTATTCGTTACACTGTTAAACTGAGTCTAACAAACCCAAGTAGAAGGTCGCGTCAGCTAATCTCATAATCCCACAACAGGAAGTCAAGTCTATTTATAGCTTGCCGAGGGAGCAGCTGTTCTGCCGTTTTATTGTTTAGACCCATGTTTAAATCCAATCATTGATGAAGATTTCATAAATGTTTAATGAAAATATGAAGTGGTTTTGAAAACAATGAATACTCCTCAAGAATGCGTGATCGAAACAAGAAGCTTGATTGGCTGACAAGACTGTCAACAAAATGCCTGCTTTCCCGCACATGTTCGCTTCAAGAAAACATTTTGTATTTGTGAAAGGCTCAGTTCTCATCGAATTCACGAACAAGGTTGGAAATAATAGATTTATTAATACTTGTTACATCTACTCTAAGAGCTATAGGTGTTCTATTCTGATTTCTGCATCCACAAGTCCACATGTAGATCACACACAAATATCTTGACGTACGTATTGTTTTGCTATAAAACGTGTACCCGTGAAGATCCGGGTTAGAATATTGATCTTCAGTAACCCATGCTTGTCGTAAGAGACAACTAACGGGATCGGAGGGTCAGTCTCGCTGACTTGGTTGACACATGTCATTGTCAGCATATCCCAATTGCGTAGATAGATCTTCATGCCGTTGATCACTGGATTGTCTGGTTCAGACTCGATTATTTACAGACTGTTGCCATATAACTGGAATATTGCTGAGTGCAGCGTAAACGTAAACTCACTCACTCAGTCTTATCAAGAAAGAACCGCCTCCGTGGTGTAGTGGTTAGAGCGTCCGCCCGGAGAGCGGAAGGTCGCGGGTTTGATCCCCAACCGCGTCATACCAAAAGACGTTAAAATATGGTACTTGTCCCTGCCTGGCGCTCGGCATTAATGGGTACAACAAGGACTGATCGGCTCGGAGTCAGTATAATGTGTCTGAGTGGGGTATTCATGCTTCACTGCAGCATGGTAGGTATCTCAGTGGTCTAGCACTATAAAACCAGCTTCAGTCTGGGCTAGTACAAGCAGCCGCACATACACATACACACGCATGCACGTCGTCATATGAGCGAAATATTCTCAAGTACGACGTCAAACCCAATTTCACCTCACCTCACCTTATCAAGAAAGTGTAATCCCAAGTATAACATCTGGTGTGTACACAAAATTGCGTGCAGAAATTGGTTACAAGAACTAAATCTCGAACTTACATTTGTTTTGTGGAGTTTGGTATATGAGCTTTCCGTCAGAACAAAAGGTTATAGTATACTTGCAACGTTATGAACATGCTATAATCATGAAGTTGACAGAAGTCCATTGGTCAATGACGTGCAGTGAAAATGACATGACAGTCAATTTCAATATCATCAGAAAAAGATTGTTCGTTTTATTACTGCAAAAAGTTTTAGGTGTATCCAGTATCTATTTTAATATTAAATTCCCTGGATGCTCAGGAAATGATGTAATACATTGTACACCTTTGTTGTGTTTCTCATTGTGTTCATTTTTCACATACTCGGCGGATAAAGCCAATTTAACAAATTGCTACGCCATCTGGTGGCCAGATTTCACTGTTCATTTTTATCATTTGTTAGTCTCATGAATCGATACTTCAGATATATTATTTTTCGATGAAAATGAATTAATGGCTTCCTTGTCGTGCTGGTTAATGTATATTTGACGACTTGTTTAACACCTCCTAAAAAAGTCCTATTTAATCATGTCAATAAAAATGTCCAAAAGAATCGGGAAAATCAATTATGCCAACTTGAATAAATTACTCTAATGTAGAGGAGGATTAATCAATTCATTTTCCGAAGCCATTAAGGATTAAGTATTATTTTACACAGATTTTACACAGTGCATTGTGAGTGATTGTGAAGATATTCATGAGCTTGTGTGTGTAGAGTGAGTGATTGGATGAATGAGAGAAAGAGAGAGAATGTTGTAATATCTGTGTAATATTATCTATAGTTGTATGCATGTATGCTTTTAGTACTACTACAGCATGGAATCGTGCTCCAAATGAGAAGGTTATACTACAGTAAGGATATTGCACAATATTATTAAACATGATTGTGAATTTTAAAGCAACTCTTGTAAGCATAAAACTGAACATTGCAAAAACATGATATAACAATGTACAAGCTGGTGTGAAACAAGGAGTAGCAGATTGAGCCACTTAAATGCATGATCAAATTAATAAGTGGAGATCATAATATCATGTTCCAAATTCAAGAACCGGAAATGATTTAAATCTTTTTCTGAATTTTGTGTAATGATCAGTGTGTAACAATGGTGGTTGTCAACTGTTTATTACCAATTTCATCTCAGTTATTGACATGATTATCAGTCATACCTATTTTGACGGCAACCTGTTCTTCAATCACAGAAATAAATTAACTCACAAAGTACACACTTTTATCTAATATTAAATTTGAAACAAAATCCTCCTAATTATTTAGAACTTATGTCAGATATTCATATTTTCACAAACAAAATTGAGGAAACTCTAAACACATTGGTAGAACTTAGAAGTGATGTCTTCCTTTAAATTGTTTTTCGATTTCTATGATTTAATTTTTTGCATTGACGATGTGCTTGTCAATACCAGCATTATGTGCACTTTATTGTAGATTTCTTTTAAATGTCATTTTTCTTTATTAATGTACATCATGTCAAACTGGAGGGGTAGCTTGGTGTTAGAGTGTTTACTCGTCATGCTGAAGACCCGGATTCGACTCCAGACATGGGTACAATGTGTGAAGCTCATTTCTGGTGTCTTCCCTCCTTGATATTGCTGGAATATTGCTAAAAGCGGCCTAAATCCATGCACACTCACTGACTCAGCAATCTATTTTTAAACATGATAAATGAATCATAAGACTGAGATTGATTTGTAAAATATTGTCCTGCTTCAATGTACTCTTCTTGTTAATCGGTCAGATGATAGTGTGTTACGACTGAAGCCAATAGTTTATCAGAGATTGACACTTTGTGAAGATTTCCAAAATTAAAACAATGGAATAGACTCCTTTGAACCTTTTCCTGTGATGGGTATAAACATGAATAAATAACAAACAGCAGATAAGTTTGAGTTCAGGGTATTCACTGACATGTACCATATTGACAATTAATAGACTATTCCTGATTTGTATTATTTTGTTATTTTGTAATTTATCATTCTCATTTGTAAACAAATGGACTGCAGACATAAATATAGTACGTGGTTGTTGGCATCAGTAATTACTTCTGTGGGGTTGAGGAAGGCGGGTCATCCAGGCGACACTCTAGATGTGTCACACTTAAAGGAGAATACGAACGAAAACAAAACTTTTGATATATTGTAAAGGATTTTCTAAAAGTAAAAGTCACATTCCGTGATTAAAATTGAACAAAAGGTTTGTAAAATAGCAATAAGAACACAAAAACGTACTCGTATTTCCGCCAATTACGGAAACACCCGACAGTTAATGAGCAGAGGGGGTATCACGTGACATGACGTCATATGTGCCTGTTGCTGATGGCTTCTTCTTTGATTTTACCTCACAACTTAACAGTGTTCATGGATTCTGAAGCAGTAAAAGATGTTCCTGATGTCATTTCTGAAATGGATGTTAGACCATATCAATACGATCCAATTTTACATCTTGCAAGACAATCTTCCACTGAAGATGAAGAAGAAGAATCAAGCGAAACGAAGGCACCGCTTGAGGTCAAAATAAATTTAAAAATAGACCATATCATTTAACAAGATTACTATTTGTCAGCAAAATGTCATACAGTTCCAGCCAGCAAACTCACCCCTATAAATATATGACCAGTCACAAAGAATTATTTAAAAAAAAAATGTGATTACAGTTCATTTTGTGTCAAATGGGTGACTGTAGGGTGTCTGGGATTTAAAACAAAATAATTGTGCTTCAGATGAGGGAAAATATAAATTATCTGCTTCAAAAATTACACTGGAATTATTTTGTTGAAAAAATAGGATCCTAGTTCTCATTAATAGCATTATCAAGTATCGATACAAGATCCCAGCCTGGTCGAGCAGCAGAGATAATATTCCGTGGCCTTGATAAGTTATTCCCGAAAACTGGTGAATTATAAAATACTATTCAGGACAGCGTATGTTTCCCCATTGTTTGGTTATGGAAATAGTTATGGTACTTTCGATCATAGCCTTCGAATGACATCTTGTCAGCCCGATGAGAATACAGAACAACTTTCACGGCACACACTACTGACAAATAGCGAGTCTAATGCCAATGTGCGTAATTGGACAAAATGGAAAATGTTGAAAGCAACAAGTACATCATGATTTGCTGTTGTATTCGCAATGTTTCGAGTAGACTGCATCATTTAGGGCTCCAAACCGAAAAAGAACTTATAGCCAAACGTTTTCAAGCTCATGTGAAATCTCTTGCTGATTTTGATAATACATATCTCATGTGACCAGTCGAACTGCCCCAGCTACAAAATGCCCCAGCAAATTTGGTCATTAATTCTTATTTGTTCAAATTTATTTATAATGATTGAATATATGCCGTAAATGCATAGTTTTTGTCAACTTATTATGATATTATGTTCTTCATATAAAAGTTATTAGGAAGTAATATTTCTGATAAATGTTTCATTAGTAAACTCATAACTATGTATATACTTATATATGAAGAACATAATATCAAAGTTGACAAAACTATGCATTTATGGCCTATATTTATTCATTTTAAATAAAATGGGGCATTTTGACTACCCCACTGGGGCAATTTGACCAAATTTGCTGGGTCATTTTGTAGCGGGGGCAATTCGACTGGCAATCGGACTTGATTTAATTTATGTTCAAAATACCACTGACAGTAAGTTGTTACAGGGAATGATGGAGTATAAATGAATCTTGTGGGTACTTTTTCCTTCTTCAGCCTAGCTTTGGGATTTCCATACCCCGTGCGTGCATGTCTCTTTCATATGCGTCCGACTCCGAATGATCAGCGCATTTCTCTTGCTGAAATCTGTCATTTCACTTGGAAAACGAAAGAAATGGTGGTTCTTTTCCATGTTCGATGATGCCGTGCACCCCCAGGCAACGCAATACACCATCGTACCATTTAAAAAAACGACAGAAACAACACTATTTGTACTACTGTAGCGCTTGGTCTTTGGCAATATGGCGGACTCCAGGCACATTTGACGTCACGAGCGGGAAGGTCATGTGGGTTCCAGCGAAATATGCATAATGGCAGAAGCTGAGATTTACAGAAACTGTTTTCGCGATTAAGACATAATTATACATAATTTTTAATTGAAAATTTGGGAATATGTTTCTGATGACTTTATCTTTCACCCAGCAAATTCTTGCAATTGACTCATATTCTCCTTTAAAGATGTTAAAGGACTTTTAAAAAGGTTAAACACTACCAGGTGATACAAGCTGTATGATGAAATATTACCGTTTTTAAGTGAATTTTGTGAATATTATATATACCAAGGGGTTCATCAAGAGTGAAATAAACAATGTGAAGTGACCTTTTTAAAAATCCTTTAATACATGCTTTAAAGGGATAGAAATAGGCTCTGGTCGACTTGAGGTCAGTATACCTGATCTGGGTGTCTATGTTAAAGTATGCATATCAAGGGACTGGCACAGTAAAACCAGCACAAGTCTGGACTTGTATACGTAGATGTATTAGTAAACAGCCACATTAAACCCTGTTGATTTCACTGTCAGAGGTTAAGTTACTTAGCCCCCATACCACTTAACCCAACTTAAGACTAACACTTAGTTTCTGAAAATATATCAGAACCAATTTATTCTGTTTAAATTGGAAAGGAGCCCCAATGAGAATATGAGGAAATCTAGACTTGCTTCATTAAGGACATTGCATTGCAGAAATAGCTGCCTGGACAGAAGGGAAAATAATGTGATTCAGACACTTTTAGAGAGATCCCCCATAGTCAGTATCTCACAGACTTGCATAGATTACGTTATTTCATCACCAAGAAATACAAATGGTTGCTATCGTGTAGTCATGGGAACAGTGACACACGTCTGTTCACAGTAGGCTAATAAAATGAGGACATTATAAATCATAAAACTCATGTATTTCTCAGAGCAATGTGTTTTTAGGGACTTTTTATAATTTGTGGCTGGTGTGTATGTGCGTGCATTTGGTGATGATTTGGGGTGTGGAGTGTGGTGGAGGGTGTTGTCACCCATTTTGTTCTGGGGAGGTGTGGAGAGGTCATCAATTTTGTACACAGGTACTAGGGGGGTGTCACTGATTTTGTACATGACATGCAGGGGATGGGGGAGGGTGTCACTTACTTTGTAGATAAATTTTAGGGGGGTCATTCGCATTGTACATGCTTCTCGATAAAAATCAGAATCACCCCCCCCCCACACACCACGGCAAACCTTTGTTGTATGGACTGTGAGTAACCTTGACAATTTGTATTCAGGATCCGCTACCTGTCTGTGTCGAAGATCTATGGTTTGACAGACACAGCTATATCTGTGATATCCCATAACAGCCCACGCCTGCAGCATCTGAACATCCATGGCTGTTGGCGGGTCACCAACGACTCCATCAGGTAGGCTTCAGTTAGGGTGTGCAGCTTAAACTTACATCATCAAGACGCTACTTCTGACGAATAGAATTGAACTTCAGTAACCCATGCTTGTCGTAAGATGTGACTAACGTGATGGGGTGGTCAGGCTTGCTGACTTGGTTGACACTTCATCGCATCCCAATTGAGTAGATAGATGCTCATGCTGTTGATCACTGCATTGTCTGGTCCAAACTCGATTATTTACACTCTGCCGCCATATTGCTGAGTGTGGCGTAAAACTGAACTAACTTCTAATGAAGGGGCAAGAAGTAGCAGTGTAATATTGTTACAAACACTACTGAAGTGATGTCAATGAAAGGATTAATGTCTTCATATTCTTCATCTTATAAGTGCCTATCTAAGACTTGATAAATATCAGTTTATAGCCATGAATAGCTGCAAAATTGCTGATGTGGCACAAAACAGTATTCACTCCCAAAACCGTGACAGTGTATACAAAACTGTCAAGTATTGATGAAGTACAGTGGAAGCTGTCAAAACCGTGACAGTGTATACAAAACTGTCAAGTATTGATGAAGTACAGTGGAAGCTGTCAAAACCGTGACAGTGTATACAAAACTGTCAAGTATTGATGAAGTACAGTGGAAGCTGTCAAAACCGTGACAGTGTATACAAAACTGTCAAGTATTGATGAAGTACAGTGGAAGCTGTCAAAACCGGCAGTTGTCCAATCCGACAAGTTGTCAACACTGGCATAAAATCTCAGTCCCGTCCATGTATGCAATTATCATCATTTAAAAGCTCTGCAATCCGGCAGCTGTCAATTCCGGATCTCCGCATGAAATGAGCCACCCGAATATGGGTTTATACTGTAATCAGTGCTGTCTATTCCGGTGCGTGGCGAGGATTCGGCTGGATGTGTATTGTCACCAATTAATCCTGCGTTGAAACTACATGGTTGCCGACAAAGACAATTTAATCTTAGTTCAGCATGGGTATACTTGTACATGTAACTGGTGAGTTGACATGTTTTATTGTGATACAACAATGTATATGAGAGTGACAAAACTGGTTCACTTCTACTTGGAAGTAACCGTGTCATCTGCACAATCCGGCACGCTGTCTAAACCGGATTATTTCTTTAGTCCCGATGAGTGCCGGTTTAGACAGATTCCACTGTATAGTGTATAACAAAAATAACATTCAAGTATTGATGAAGTATAGTGTATAACCACAATAACATTCAAGTATTGATGAAGTATAGTCTATAACCACAATAACATTCAAGTATTGATGAAGTATTGTGTATAACTACAATAACATTCTGTACTGCAGGTTGCTGGGTGAGTTCTGTATGGGGCTGAAGGCTATAGAGATCAAAGACTGTCGAGGAGTGAATGAGATCAGCCTGGCACGACTCCGAGCACGCGGTATCAAGATGGATGTGCCCCCACCTCCACAGGCACAGACTCTCAGCTATCTACATCGAAATATCCACAACCTTAATGTACAGATTTGAAGTCCTCTGTGTCTTGGAGACACTGTTGTCTGTGTATCTCCATAGCATAACACTGGAACTTATTCAATATTGACATTGATGGACATTCCAAGTGTTAATATCTTCCACCAAAGTACACACATCTTCCATCATGTAAATCACATATCACTAATACATGCAGTATGTTATATATACTTCCAATCAAAGGTTTAGACTCACTAGTGTAAATATAGACACTTACGTCAGGGAAATGTTCTAAACTAAATTTTGCCAAATATTCCATACTGTTGAAAGGTACTTTTTACACATGAACTGATGTGTTGTAAAACAAATTCGTAACGTTGAAAAGATTATTGTCATGAGTTCAATAAATGATAAAAATCAGTGAAAATGAGTGAATTCATAACCAAACTTTACACCAAAACGCAGCTGTTCACATGCATGATATTTGCACATGCTTTTCAATAATTTGATGCATGATTCTCGTGCAAATCATCTGCATAAGGTTTTCAGTTGGTTCCCCCAAGTTAGTGGAGAAATCAATCTTCGATGAAACCATATATATATACATAACATATAGTGAGTGTTTTAAGTGAGTCTTTTGATGGGAAGTATAGTTTTCAGACTTCTAACCACCGAACTTGTCTAAATGGTGTTATAGAAAAGAAATGCACTTTAATGGATTTTGTTTAAGATTTTCACTCATTATATTTCAGTGGTATGCCAGCATCAAATTGGATGTAAAATATCTGGTGATTCTTTTGCTGGGTAACATAATTCTCTTATCTTTCAAAAATGTAAAACATGGTTGATTGAACCGACAAACTAAAGGAGTGCCACCATATTTGACTGGTGCTGGTAAAAATGAAAGCGTGACAGTTCAGTCTTTGTTGTATTGTTTTGAAAGAGAACTGGTTGTTTACAAATCTATGGAAACCCTGCTATGCTATAATTTGTTCTATGAATGCTGTTCATATACAGGAAGTTGTATGTTGCCTAAAGGTTGTGAATCATCTACCATCTTACAGCATCATCTTAGTATATATTGTACTTCCTCATTTTAGCAAATTCATTTTCTTAAATTTTAGTTTTCAAACTTGTTATTTTATGAATAGTGTTTTGGCATGTTTGGATACTGCAGTTACAGAAATGAGAGCTACTTGTGTAGAGGAGAATTGTCATTAGCTGAGCATATGCTTCTTGTGCTATGCATGTATCTTCTTATACTATGGACAGGTCTTTTGGTCCGATAAACTCTTGTAAGTTTATGAAAATGAAGACTACAAAATGTTTATGGAATATGTTTTTAATCAAGTGAATGAACCAGACTTTGTCCCTAACAGCAGATTTGCTGTATGTTCTGGGCATATTGACCCAAGAAAATCTGTAAAGGAAATTACATTTGTAATTGTAATATGGTCTGGTTAAAGTTTATTGTAACCCTGATTAATTTTGTAATTATTGTGATGATAATTTTGATCATGATGATGACAATGAGTGGTGGTGATGACAATGACTGGTGGTGATGACAATGAGTGATGACTGGTGGTGATGACAATGAGTGATGACTGGTGGTGATGATGGTGACAATGAGTGGTGACTGGTGGTGATGATGACAATGAGTGATGAGTGGTGGTGATGACAATGAGTGATGAGTGGTGGTGATAATGAATGTGATCGCTGATGTTAAGGAGGGTGCAGTGTGTTGTCAGTATGTGTATTAAGTCTAGGGGAGTCTGTCCCTAGTGCAAGTTAAGAGGTGACTTAATTTGGGATCCACTGGGATTCCATGTTATAATTGGTCCCAGTGAACCTAACCTGGTTGTAAGAGGCGCCTTTATTGATCGGTAGGTCCGACTCAGGGCTGAGGTTGCTGTCCTGTCAGTGTACCCTGATGGCTGGATTGTTGTTGGCAATATGAAGTACCGGATTGCCTGGTCCACTCAATAATATCTTCTTGTTTTCTTATAGATGTATGTGCATCTGTTTTAGGTATTTTGTTGTACATCTGTTGAAAGAAGTCGTGATGCGACTGTGAATGTTTTTTGTCCTGTTAGAACTTGTCAGTTTTAATTATTTTGGTGGCCAAAAAAACAACATAAAAGATGATAATTATTTGTTGTATTAGTTGTCAGTTTACACTTCCCTAGACTTGCTATGCAGGAACAAAAATAGGGTACCGAGACCCATCCTTTCCTGGAATTACTAAAGGGAGATAAGTATTGGAACCTATTCTTTTCTGGAATTACTAAAGGGAGATAAGTATTGGATCCTATTCTTTTCTGGAATTCATATAGGGAGATAAGTACTGGATCCTATTCTTTTCTGGAATTACTAAAGGGAGATAAGTATTGGATCCTATTCTTTTCTAGAATTACTAAAGGGAGATAAGTACTGGAACCTATTCTTTTCTGAAATTCATATAGGGAGATACTGGGATACTGGGGACAACTTCTCCAGGGTACGTGTGGTACTGGGGATGCCTCGTGCCTCTAAACCCACTGGGATGAAGTCAGAGAATGTCTTCTGCCTCAGAATTTAATTAGGGTGACAAGCACAGGGTACTTGAGATGTTTCCTGCCTTTGGATCCAGTTCAGGCAACAACCATTAGAAACTGTAGGTGAGGAATGTTGTTTGTGGTTGGATGAAGATATCAATGTTTCAGTTGTTCTTCTTGTTTTGTCCACCTGATTTTTAAAAGATGTGAGTCTTCATTTACAAAGTCACCTATGCCGTTACTGTTTGCAACATGGCATCAATATGAATAATTCTGGTACAGCAGAGAATGGAAAACTGCCATTTGTGTTGATGATGTGCATGAACAAATGTTAATGTCACTATCAAACGTGGATATTGTTTATGAATGAGTGAGTTTGTCAAGATTTGTCAGAATACCTGGCTATGGAAGAAAACAGTTTTGTGACAATACTTTGATTCATATCCAGTTGTGAGTGTTAGAATTTCTTTCATTTACCTTCATATAAAATTATCATTGAATTGTGTATCACAGCTTTCACTGTTTATCACATGTAGCATAATGAGAAAGGAACTACTCACAACAAGTGAGAGTACACCATTTTTACTTTTATTTCTTTGTAAGGACAGACCAATTTTATTTCTTGTTTTGCGTATTTTTGTCCTCAGAAAACCTGAGGAGGCAGGAGGGAAAAAAAATAAAAAATAAAAATAACTACTAGTAGTCAAAATAATTTTCCTTTTAAATACTAAAAGTATTTTATTTTTGGCAATTTATGAAGTATATATGGGGCAAAAATGAATTAAATTTTATATATTTTTTTGTAAGTTTACATTTTTGGCATGTTTACATGAGGATTTTATTTTTTGACCGGGGAAAATTAACTTATATTTTCTATCTTATTCTTGAAAAAATACGACCTGTGGATCCGTAAAACAAGAAATATAATTGGTCTGGCCTAATTATTTAGTTAATTTACCATGGCTAAGAAAAAAATCTGGTGTTCTTTGACTTCTTATGAATAATATCCTCTCTCAAAACATCATAATCATAACAATTACTCATAGAAAGTTTTAATGGAAGGCAAGTCTTAAAATTTCTATTTCAACTTTGCCAAAGACATGATGCACCTCGAATGTGTCACTATGAATGAAATATTATATTTTATTCTATTTTTAAACTTTGAGGCTTTATATATTTTTCTTTATTTCTTCCAAAAGATTGAGGACATTTGTGTTTAGACTTAAAGGTCCAAGATCTCTTTTATTTTAGTGTCCCGGTATGGCTGAAATACTGCCAATGTGACTTAAAATCTTAACTCATTCATTTTCACTTTGGGCTTTCCTCCTTCATAAAGCTAACTCACTCACTCACATTGTTGTTGAACTTATATTGTAGCTACAGTCTTTCCTTGCAATGTCTGGTGGTATATTTATTGGTGATAAAGAATGTTTATAATCTGGTTCTTACATTTTTTTTATCATCAAGAACTCTCACTAGGAGCAGTGAGACAGCTTAGTGGATAAGTTTTATGCTCTTTACTCAAAGATCTGGGTTTGATTCCCCACATGAGTACATTATGCGGTCGGGGGACATCAGAAATGGGCGTCACACATTGTGCCCATGTGGGGAATCAAACCTGGGTCTTCGACGCGTCAAGTCAACGCTTTAACCACAAGGCTACCCCACCGCCCCAGGTGCGAGGGACATATTTGAGGTACAATTTGGGAACAACAGTGTCCAAAAGGACACCAGACAACAGCTACAAATTAAATGTTAATACTCAAGTAATCACATCAGATAGTATTCTTACAATAAATATTATTGTATTATTCCCTTGATCATGTTGATTTGAGAGAACACAATCATATACTGGTATATGCTTTTTCTATCAGTCTACATCAACCTGGTACATATCACTGTCTCATTATCATCCATAACACCAGAAATAATTCTGTAGATGAGGTGTATGTTCAGTGAGAGGGGGAATCTTCACAAACGTCTGGAGCACTATCTAGCCCATCACTCTGGTGTCAAATGCAAAAGCTTAACTTCATCATGTCACATCAGCTCTGATGAAGTGTCACATATATTATGCATTCAAACCCTGGATGTCATATATATTCATCAATGTCAGCCTGCTTGATGAGCATATATAGATGGAAAATTTCATCATCACTTCAGCCCATGCTTCAGCCCATGATGCTGCAAAATCTTCATGATTATGAAGATGATGATCTTTTTCAGAATCTACCAAATCTTCATCACTTCACCCTGGATGTCATATATATGATGGCAAATCTTCATCACTTGAGTTATTCTTGTCATCCAGGAACACATCAGGATCTAGCAAGTGAGAGCGTCGTGGTCTCTTGTACTTGCCGCAGTCTTTGCTGAGAGTATTTACAGAACATTCTGATAATACAAAGTTTTCTGTGAGGAGCATCTTCTGACCGATCCCTGCATCAGCAGCCTCCGCACCAGCGACGTTGTTGTCATTCACAGGGACATCTGGTGGAGTCAGAACTTCCACACTCCGTCCTGAACTGTCCAGACCCTGCCCTGAAACACATCACCATATTACCAACAGATGGAACAACCTGGATGGGAGATGGAAAGGCTGAGTGAGTGATGTGTTTGCTACTTGGAGCAACACTTCTGTCACTTCCTAATGAGTGAGTTGGGTTTTAATCCTGCACTGAATGATATTGCAGATATATGACAGCATGTCAGCTTGCCTCTGGGACCAAACTCACCATAGCAAATTTGTGCCCCGCCACATGATAGCAAGGAAAACTGGCTGCACTTCTATATACCATAGGTGGTATTGGTATTACACATTCTCAGTGAACTATAGATTCAAGTACTTTTGTTAGGTTGAGTCCCATCTGAGATCCAAACCCACACTCTCAGAATCAGGCACCAAATCCAGCACTCAAAAGGGGGGAGGGGGGGGGAAGGAAGAGAATAAAGAGAAATCCTTCTCACCCACCTGACAGAGACATGGGGGGACTGTCCTCCTCCTCCTTGCCTCTCTTCCTCTTCCTACTCCTCCTCTTCTTCTTTCCCTGTCCCATGCTGTCCTTGTCCTGCCCCTCCTGAGAGGACCCGGTTAGTGTCTGACTCTGTCTCTCCTCCACCAATGCTGCCAGCTCCACTGAAGCTGTGGAAGATGTCTGCAGACCTCCAGGATGAGCTGCAGACAGAGGAATGTCTACCATCATGCATTTTAACACACATGGGACCACATTAATGTTCCGTATCCAGTCCTATTGACAAATATCATGACCTTTATGCAATATTTACATGACATACTGACTTGAGACACGCACTAGGATCACTACACAATTCCACACACATCAGTTTATTTGCTGCTGCTGTTTCAGGTATAATTTCAGTGATATTCAATTCTGAAATCTTTTTAACAATGCCATAATATTGTTAATTTTATCCCAACATGGACAGACAGATTTTCTGGTGATGAAAATGATAGGTAAATGGACAACAAAGGTATAAAAGGTACATGGACTATAATCAAGGTGAGAAGTGTTGTATACCTCTACAGAGCTGTATGACCCGAGACCACAGTTTGTTGCGAGACAGGTTCTTCTGGTGGCCCACAATCAACAGGTGATGTCTGGCACGTGTCAGTGCCACATTGGCTCTCCTGACAACAAACACACAGTCACTCTAAACAACACTGAACACAATTACATGTATCCTTGCTAACCCATGTGGAAGTTATCATCAGTTAAAGGATGATGATGATGATGATGTAACTTTGATGTAACTTTGAATCTATCAAATCCACACCATAAAGCATGCTAAAAGGTTGGTTGGTTGGTTGGTTGGCTTTGGTTGGCTGGTTGTTGTTTAATGCCACACTCAGCAATATTCCAGCTATTATGTGGCGGTGGTCTGTAAATAATTGAATGTGGACCAGACAATCCTGTGATCAACAGCATGAGCATCAATCTACGCATTTGGGATGCGACCAAGTCAGCGAGCCTGACCAGCCAATCCAATCAGTCACCTCTTATGACAAGCATGGGTTACTGAAGACCAATTCTAACCCGGATCTTCACGGGTTACATGCCAAATATTAGCAACACTATTCCACTGCTTTATTCTTAAAGAAGAGTCGTTTGTGTGTTTGTTGCTTGTTGCACATATTATGTCCATATCATAATGGTCAATAAATAATCCAGTCTGGATCCTGTGAATGACATCATGAGCCTCAAGGAATACAATTGGTATATGATAAAATGCATAAACCAAATCAGCCAGCCTCACTGTCCAGTCTTGTTGGTCTCTTCTCAGAGAAACATGGGTTACAGAAGTTTAAATTCTAACCTGGATCTATGTACATTCATGCTGTGTTTATGAAAAATATATGATCATGTTGAAATAGCCATACTTGTCACTGTCTATGAAGCCAATGTTGTTGGTGCGGACACATGAGAGGATGATGACGTCCTTCTCTGCGCCCTGGAAGGCATCCACTGTGGACACCTGGACACACTTGAGCTCCTTGTTGACGGCAGGGCTGGGAGACACAAACACAGCTATCAGTAAATACATGGTGTATTTCTGCTATCTCAGTACTGTGAAATTGTGGTTAAAGCATTGGTTGTCATGCCTGGGTTTAAATCCCCACATAGGTACAATGTGTGAAACCCCTCTCTAGATAAACTAGTGATTGATAATATCAAGACATTGGGTACAATGACGTACAATCTACCAAGGCCAAGAGCCAGGGGCCCTATCCACAAAGCATTCATAGCATTACATCATTTGTAAGCCCATGATATAGCTTACGACTTACAATAGGTCGTGACGTTATGAATGCTTTGTAGATTGGGGCACTGATTATCTATTTACGCAGATGCCATCCCCAAATTACCCATACTTGCAGTGTATGAAACATAGCCTGTCCCACTCTCCTTGACGGTCTATTTTTGTGAAGGACGGTCTATGAAATAAGCAAGGCTGTCCTTTGGTCGGGGACATATTAAAAAAAATAAACTTAACTTGGTTTGAACTTCATCTTATTTATTATATTAACATTGTTTTAGTTTTTGGGACTGGCTGTGTTTGTTCAGGACTGGTCACTTTTGTGGACATCAAGTCCTTGGACAGGCCATATTTCAAAACTATTTTATACACTGAGATTTGGAATAATCAGCCTCTAAATTTAGTACCTTAAAAAACAAATGAAAAAGATATTCATTATCATGACAAGCAGCATATGACTAAATGCTTTTGAAATATTCATCTTTTGCATGGTATTTCTCTCCCAAACACCTCACAATCTGTAAACCTTCCTATCACATGCTACAGCATTCTCTTCCCACAGAGGTTACTCCTGTCATATCTTCCTACGTAACCTCTGTTCTAATACGGCCCTTTCATGGTGTGAGCGTTCAAGACTCGTGATTGGAGGCAATCAGATTTAGTTGTGCAATCAGCGACGTTGTTTCAAAAGTGATCATTCGCAAGGCCTCGGTAATTTCCGTATGCTTCGAGAAAACTAAACCTCTTCCCCTGCGCGATGCGCAAACGTTTCTTCTAGACAGAACTCAGTCATGTTATGGCGGATCAGTGGCGTCTCCATCGCCCTCGTTGACAACGGACAAGCTAGCCATTAAACGTCTTGTGTGTAACATCAACACAAGTCCCCGGCAGATGGGGGATATTTGTGGCCCCACATTTGCTTGTTTTAGTCAAGTTGAATCTAAGTCGATGTAACACGTGTTCTGATTGGATAGAAAGAAGAGAGATAATTCGTGTTGCGATCTTTTGCCGCTAGGGGATTTTACGAGAACCGGGAAATATGGCCGTATTAGAACAGAGGTTCGTAGGAAGATATGACAAGTAACCTCTGTGGGAAGAGAATGATGCTACAGCAATTAGCTATTAGTTGCTATCTCTTCATTTATTCGTCCCTACAACAAGAATATGTTCTGCAGACTGAGTTTAACTGAATCCCCAAGGCAATGAAATAGAATTACTTGTCTGTGTGTAGACTTGTGATGATCTTGTACATCTGAGCCTTGTACAGCGTGATGACCCCGATACTCCCAGCCTCCACCCCCACCATCACCAGGGCGTGGATCAGGAGCACCACCAGCCTTGCCTCACTCTCGTTGTAGTAGCTCCCCGAGCCGTCAGTCACTTCCTGCCCTCCCGCCTCATCATAGAAACACAGGGTTGGGAAAACAGGCTTGAAGAAGAGGAGAAACATGTCTTTAAAGTCTAGGGACACTATGAAAGTGAAAACAATTATTTTTATTATGTCTTTCTATATCTTGTCCATTATTTGTCTTATTTATCATGTTTTTGTCACTCTTTGTCAGCTGTAGCAGGAAGGACAAAAGTATTGATTGTCATAGGTGTTAATCACTTATAGATCATCCGAAACCATGATCCTGGTAGGATGAAGGGAGACAACTCTATGACTACTATGTTACTAGTGCCCATTGAATATTCACCAAAAAAAATCATGTGTTAACCACTAAATGGGCAAGGTGTTAACCAATGAAGAATCATAATGAGGATGACACTGGGATCCTAAACCATGATCCTGGTACCGTAAAGGGAGATGACCCCTGACTACTGGGCCACTAGTACTTCCTGAATATTTACACCAACATAAAAAACACATAATATCATACCTATACCTTTCCATGGAGTAAAATATCTGCCACAATGATTCGAAGATGACAAATGTAATTTCATGATACACATTCTGTAATGATACTTCTCGTGACCAGATCATATGGACTCACAGAGAGAGGCTGTCTGCAGTCCTCTGCCACTCCATCACACAGCTGACCACTGTAGAACAAGGTGTTGGCGATGTCACTGATGCGTGGGTGACAGCGGTACTGAGTCCGCAGCTGCACCCGGACAGTAGTCCTGGAGAGAATGGTTGGTCATGTGAGTGAGAGAGTAATAGTGGTGGTCCGATTAATTGAAAGAATCGAAGATTGGTCGCAGTGACTTAACGACCAAGCAATCGATCATGTTTTCTCATAATCGAACACAAACAATTCTGGAACACTTTTAGCATTAACAATATTTTTCACAAGGTTGGTTTTGTCAGTTACATTTCATAAGCACTAAAAGCTTGTTCCAAGTCATGATTTAATTTATCTTAAAGACACCAGGAAAGATGTTCCTAAGATACCGGTACTAGTCATCCTTTCAAGATGTGAAAATTGCAAAAAAAACACCAAAGAACTACATGTTTTTTTCTTCATGTTTTTGTGCATTAACAAAAATAACCAGGAAACATTTATAAATGACGCTAACCAATTATTTTCGATGATTGATCGGTTGTAATGGAGCAATCATCAATTATGAGATTTTAACCAATTCCCAACACTAGTGAGTAAGTTAAGTTTTACGCCGCTTTCAGCAATATTCCGGCAATATCACAGCGGGGGGACACCAGAAATGGGCTTCACACATTGTACCCATGTCGGGAATCGAACCCGGGTCTTCGGCATGACGAGCGAACGCTTTAACCACTAGGCTACCCAACCGCCCCCTTGGTCATGTGAAGTATAAGGGATGTAGGTCACATAGTCCTAACGCCATGGTGTAAGCATAGGTAAGAATCTACATAAGGCAAGTTATTCTTAAAGAAGTACTATGTTCGATGGTCTATCTGTTGTAATGAAACTGACCCGTGAAGATCAGGGGTAGAATAGGTCTTCAGCAACCCATGCTTGCCACAAAAGGCAACTATGCTTGTCGTAAGAGGCGACTAACGGGATCGGGTAGTCAGGCTCGCTGACTTTGTTGACACGTCATCTGTTCCCAGTTGCGCAGATCGATGCTCATGCTGTTGATCACTGGATTGTCTTTACAGACCGCCGCCATATAGCTGGAATATTGCTGAGTGTGGCGTAAAACTAAACTCACTCACTCACTGTAATGAAACTACCTGAGTAACAAGAGTAACAATTAGCTATCGGAATGGTATGCATCATAAAACGTGAAGAGACATATAAGCTAGTTTCGATAAACTTGAATCCAATTGGCTCAAGCTCTCCTTTGACTATGGGGTGCGGTGGGGTAGCCTAGTGGTACAATGTGTAAAGCCACTTTCTGGTGTCCCTTGCTAAAGCGGTGTAGAACCATACTCACTCACTCTGTGACTATGTTGTACACATAGATAATATAAAATAGAATACATAGCTTCAGTTTCATAAAGGCACAACAGCTGAGTACTAAAAAGGATACGATTAAATCATACAGTTTCATATTAAGTCAAAATATGTAAGGCAAGAGGCATTATTTATGTATTCCTGCTACCTACCAACTTCATTAACCTGTCAAACAGAGTCTGTTCCAAGCCATCACTGTGGGCTGCCTCAGAGCCTTGTATAGTCGGGTCCAATTGCTGCACAGATAAGTGAATTATTTCTTAATCACACCTTTTTTCTATATGTAAATCAAACAATAAAAAGACAAAATTGTTAGCTCGGTATATGAATTGTTCTTATTTCATACTTAATCTGTCAAAACGTACAGTAAACTATGGTTATAAAAAACTACATTGAGTTTGTATTAACCATAGTGTCCAGGTACTGAAAAATCAGTGGAAAGCTGCGGAGGCTGAGTGGGTTAGATGGCAGACTTTGTGTGCTGGCAATTGGGTGCCTGACTGAGAGTGTGGGTTCGAATTCCAGATGGGACTCGACTCAACAAAATCACTAGAATCTGTACTTTACTGAGAATGTGTAATCCCAAACATAACATATATAAGCATAGGTTACTGTAAGTGAGTGAGTTTTGACAGCATTTGTAGCAGTATTTCAGAGTCACATTCTCAGTGTTCCAGGGTATTATCTGTTTACTTGTTTAGATAAATACCCTGATCCATGTGACAAGAGAGCATCATTTTGGAAGTGATGTCACTGCCTCTATTACCCGGTAAGTCTGTATTTCAGATATTCAGCAGAGTAGTTTGAACAGGATGGCACAAACTAGGCTCACAGTGAGTGAGTGAGTGTAGTTTTGTCGCACTCAGCAATATTCCAGCTATATGGCGGTGGTCTGTAAATAATCGAGTCTGGTCCAGACAATCTAGTGATCAACAGCATCAGCATCGATCGATCATCGTATTGACATGTATCAACCAAGTCAGTAAGCTTGATCATCCAATCCCGTTAGACGCCTCTTACGACAAGCACGGGTTAGTGAAGACCAATTCAAACCTGGATCTTCACGGGTTAGCTCACAGTGAAGATTTGGGTGTAGGGTATGTACATCAGGATTTAGATATACCGGGTAACATACTGGATGATGTAGGATGGCGGCAGCGACCATACCTTGGGGTCTCCCACCAGCACCAGCTTCTCAGCTGAACCGGGCTATCGGCAGCAGCGATGACGGCTCTGTCATCTGGCTGCACTCATCAAGCACCACAAACTAAAACCAAACATAAACATAAGTATGTTATAGCAATGGCTATGTAATTTAATTGTAGAATTTATTTTTCACCTATACTTCAGCAATTTCTGTCAGTCATAAAGGCTGACTATAATTGTGAGAGGATACCTTAGTTATGAAAACTTATACTCACTCCTTAACGTTTTGCATAAAATATGTTTAAATGAAGCATTTCAGTTTTGCGTATAAGTATTACAGCAATTACTTGGTTCTTCAAAAATTTAATTGTATAAAATTTTTGTTAGCCCTTTCATTAGTATTAACTGTCAGCCACAGAAGCTGATTTATTTTTATGAAACTGTTAAAATATGCAATTTTCTGAATAAAATTGATATTTTATACTTATCCTGACTCATAATAAATAATGTACTTCAGAATTAAGGAAATAAGAGCTTAAAAAACATCACTTTTGATTTTGTCCAAGTCTGCCTGACTAAGGCATTTAGTTTACTATCCAAGCTAAATCCCAAGTCCAATGTATGTACTTACTGGGAAATGCATGTTGTGGAGGCAGTTGAAGCTGCTGGCTGCACAGGTCACCCCCACGACTCGCACTCCGCCTAGTTTCTGTATAGAGTAAAACCCACCTTGAACAATATCGCATGGAGTTGAAAACGACACGGTTGTCAGCAGCCTATAGCTGAACAGACTGTTATTATATTAATTAGAGGCTGTGAATTTACCATTTGGGGGTGGGTGGGTAGGTGAATGAGGGGACCCTGGGATTTCGAACGAGACCGAATATTTTCCTGTCAGCACTTCAAGACATACATCGCGTTCCATGAAGGGAGGAACCAAATTCTTTTCACAACTAAAATAGTCCGTTGCCTGAGCCTTGAAAACTTTCTTTCAATCCAGTATGCTTTTTTCAATAAAAGCCCATACAAAACACAAAGATGTACAGGAAATGATGTCAAGTGACAGGGACAGACTAGCGGACTGAAAAGGTTGTGGAACAGACTGTGTCCAGTGAATTTGTTTTCTGTTGTAAAAGCTTTCTGTTGTAAATTACTTTCTGCACAAATGCCAGACACTCTTATATATCAGCTGTATATAATATTTTGGAACTTCAGGATTACCATGCACCTACCTTCTTGTTTTCTCCAAGTCTGTGCTTTTCTATGCTCTTACGCACCAGCCTGAAGATACAAAGGCAGCACTAATACAGCTACTACAAACTTGACAATGACACACTGGACTGTATGTGATGATCACAGAATTCACATTGATATTTTAATACCTGGTAACATCATGGAATCTATCATAAGACAAAACATTTCAAACAAGGTAACAAAAAAAATAAAAATAAATAAAATAAAATAAAATAAAAATACCAGCGCCTTGAGCATGTATGCTATATGTGGGCTGTATAAATATCCTAAATAAAAATAAATAAATAAATGTTGTTGTCATATCCAAGACTGTACAGCAGTAACAACCAATGCATGCCCACAAATCAGCTGTAACTCAACAAGCTAAGGCTAAAATTGAGTATTTCAATTTTAGTGCTTGGATTGCTGTCTGAAACAAGACCCTGGTAACCTTAATATTAGAGGCAACATAACCTGCACCTACTGTTTGTCCCCTGGGGGGATGTCACTACGTAGCATCTCCTGCAGATCCTTCAGCTCCTGGCTGTCTGACCCCGAGGCATGGACACTGGAAGAGAACCCAAGAACTAAACATGCTAAGAGCAAATGCTCTTATCCTCTCACCCTATGTATGCTTGACATATGCAGTACAACTCTACCATGTGCAGTTTGGAGGTCACACAATATCAAACTTTTCCAATGCACAACTAGCCTGTGGAACACTATTTATATTACCTGAATCTCTGTCTGGAAGCCTCCTGTAACTGTGACAGCACATACAACAGAACCTTCTTACAGTGCTCAGTGATTTCATGAAAATAAATAACCCTGCATATTTAGAAACTTTGAGAATTTTAGCTACAAACTGTTGCCATTACTCTTTGCAAGGTATAGGTGATAATAATTTTTCTTTATTATATACCTATATGGTAGGACAGGCTTTGCAATTTTCTTCACACTTCCAACACGAATGAAATCTTCAAATCCAAGATTGAGCAAACTGAAATGAAGAGTTCATATCATTATCAATGACACATGAATGAATACTATTCAATTATTATATGAATTTTAATACACTATGTTCCTCATCACCTACTCTGAGTTCCCAGAGTTCCATGACACAGGCAGCCACCATCTGAGGATTCATCGCATCTTAGATTCCAGTCAAGATATTGTTTTTCATCTGTTTCATTTTTGACAAGTTTTAACATGTAGATAACCATATGGGATAGATTGGTTAAGTTTTATTGAGAAAATATCCTTAAAGGTGAAATATTATTTTCTTTAGCGTAATCATCAATAATTATTGTTTGCCATGGTTGTATGGCTCGGTGTTCTTTCACTGAAGCCCTACAGAGAGAAAGCGATAGTCACTTTTATGACTGACTGACTGAGTTTGGTTTTACGCCGCTTTTAGCAATATTCCAGCAACATCACGGCGAGGGACACCAGAAATGGCCTTCACACATTGTACCCATGTGGGGATTCGAACAATGTCTAATCTTGTCGTAAGTCAGTCAAATGAAGTGAGGTTGGATTGGTACAGGTCTTTGGCTGTGACGAGCCAACGCTTTAATCATTAGGCTACCCCACTGCCCCCTCACTTTTATGAACATATATGGATTGCCATGTACCTCACTGTCGCAGAATATCTATGTAATTATGCAAACCAATATGTGGTGAGGTGAGGTGAAATGGGGTTTAACGTTGCACTTAAGAATATTTGCATGTGTATGTGTGGCTGCTTGTACTAGCCCAGACTGAAGCTGGTTTTATAGTGCTAGCTCACTGAGATACCATGCCGCAGTTAAGCATGAATACCCCACTCAGACACATTATACTGACTCCGAGCTGACTAGTCCTTGTTGTACCCATTAATGCCGAGCGCCAGGCAGGGACCAACAAGTACCATATTTTAACGAATTTTAGTATGACGCGGTCGGGGATCGAACCCATGACCTCCTGCTCTCCAGGCGGACACTCTAACCACTAAACCACGGAGGTGGTCCTAAACCAATAAGGAAAGTCTTCCATGAGGCCAGTTTGTTAATAGAAGAAGCATGTTTGTTTACAAACAAGAGAAAAGTATAGTCACATGTTATGCAAATTAGCCTGTGAAAGTGATGATAAGCTAAGTCATAACTGTGTGGAGTTAGAAATATACGTCCATTAGACCCCTATTGCTGAGTACTGGTCTCTGTTTAGGCATGTGTGATTTTCTAAGTACATCTCGCAAAATAACCTTGCAAAGCTATTCCTGCTGTTATTAATGTTGATGTGCAAAGACTATCAAAATATTGTACATACCCCATGAGCACTCTGTCCACTGCCACATTAGTTGTTGAGGAGATAAGCAGTTTCCATGGAAATGGAACATCCGGTGAGTATGAGTCATTCTTGTCAAAAACATCCACAAGGAACCTGATGATGACTGACAGCAGGAAGCTCTTCCCGGCCCCAAACACACCTGATATGAAGGATGTCTCAGATTATACATGACATCTGAACTGCATGACAAAATTACTATGTGCAACAGATTAATCATGTTTTAGGGCTAGTTCTGCAACTAACCCCACAGCAACCTAGGTCTCAACTATAATGGCTGACCATAACATTTAAAAATTAACCATGTCATACTAAGAATACAAAAAGGGAGACAAACACTAAAAAAGAACACATTTCAGAAAATATTCACAAGTTTTGTATTTGAATCTGATCAAGGGAGGTAATTCATTGAGAGGGGGGGAAGAGAGAGAGAGAGAGATGTTTTAGAGTAACCTACCATAAGGGGAGATAAGTCTTGTTGGACTTGCTTTTCTATGTCATTTATGCCTCAGGGTCACTGTAATTTTCATTATTTTTTTTGTACATGTCATCATTGTTAATAACCGCCATGTTTGCAGTTGTGAAGGCTAATAAATATGCTTCAATTAGTTTTAGAACCACCCTCTCTTTCCTGAAGGGTTACCTTGCAGTCATGTTGTTAGGTTCCTGTCATTTCATGTTAACTTGTCATAACAAAGGTTTAAATTATAGTAATATCAAATGTTTAAATTCTCAAGCAAACAATCGATATGTATTATTTTGATAATCAGCAGTTAACTGTTGTCTGTGAATTTGAACTGACCATGAATCAACAGGACAGGTTCTGACGAGGCAGCATCCTTGTTCATCATGGCAGCCACCCTCCACAGGGCCTCTGACTGATCCTTGTTCAGCTGGAACCGACTCAGGTACTCCTCTGCCAGCTTCATCTGCAGCATAAAGCCAGGCCCCATCACGCACACACAAGGGGTACACTCATGAGTTACTGTAACACTAGCAGGTAGTATAAGCTAGGGTATCTACCCGATCTGGCTACTGTAGGTCTCTAGCATTTGGGATTTCACTAGCATGAAGTATAGTGTTGGGAAGATTATAAGCAAGGGGTAGGATAAGTATAAACTAGGGTAACTACCCAGCCCTATCTGGAAACTACTGTAGGTCTCTTCAGTATGGTACAACATTTCTGACTGGAAATTGTATCACTGGAGCTCTTGCAAAAAACATTTTGATGTAAGGCCAGACCAATTTTATTTCTTGTTTTACGGATCCACCTGTCATATTTTTTCAAGAATAAGAACAATTAAATTTCCCCGCTCAAAAAATAAATCATAATGTTTTTATTGGCAAAAAATGTAAACTTACAAGAAATTATTTTTTTAGATTGTTTTTTGCCTCATATACACTTCATAAATTGCCAAAAGTAAAATACTTTGAGTATTTAGAAGGAATATCACTTTGACTGGTGATTTTATTTTTATTTTTTTTCCCCTCCTGCCTTTACGTTTTCTGAGGACAAAAATCCATAAAATAAGAAATAAAATTGGTCTGGCCTAAAGAGGGAAAGTTTCTGGACGTCAGCTCCTATGATGTGAGGTACAATGAATGACATTTAGGAGTGATACACGTAAAAAGGGAAAGTTTTTGGAAGTCAGTGGTGAGTTTATGAACGTTTATGGAGAGTGTTCCTCACATTACAGAAGTTGACATCAAGTAACTATCCCTGTTTGTGTGTATCACTCCTAAATGCCATTCAAAAACAGCTTCAGCATACATATGTAACATACTGATCATGTAGTTTACAGACTGTGGGGTGTACTCACTATGAAGTGGCCTGGGGTGCACAGCCTGGTATGGGAGGGTGCTGCCAGTCTTTGTCGCTGATCATCTTCAACTCTGATACATTGAAACAAACAATTACATCATTACCAATAACATTAGCAGTCAGGCCACAGGGCTGGTTAGATGTATGAAACTCCAAAAAAGTTCAGCCAGACCACAGGGCATCATCCAATTGGAATTCAACATTTATTCTTATGAGTGAATTAATAATGATCTATTATCTTGAAATATGATGAATATCTCCATGTATATGTCTAAATTTTAACCTGGCCGTCGGGCAGGAGAATTTGAGAATCTGGCAGTCCGTGTTGAAAATAACCCGTCCCGTCCCGCAGTCAGGCTGGCAGGTATTTTGAACGCTGGCAATAAGTAATATAACTGACATTTGCTGCAGGCTTTGGGCTAAATATCATCCAGTAGTATAGATAGATGAGCATGATCCAAAGTGAACGTCCTACCTGTCCAAGGATGTAGGGCAGTACGGGGAGACAGGACAGCTGCACGTGCTCCTCCAGATTCCCCAGGCAGGCCAGCTCAGTTGATGCGTTCCCCGTCAACATGGCATGACACTCACCTACAGACAAAAGGTCATAATAATTCTCAGTCTGGGACTCAAACCCACATTCCCAAGATCCTGCATCACTTAACCTGTAAGCTATAACTCTTTAAACCTGTATATCATAATCTTGCCAAACCTGGATTAGAAAAGGAGATTTTGGCAGCTAAGGGAGGTAACTCTACACACAGAAGTGACAACAGGGCAACTCAAATCCAATTAGATATAACAGAAACACATTTTTTTTTAAATGTCAACCTTTAAGTCAATTGCTCTCACTATTCACTAGCCAATATCTTAAACAAACCTTGAGGAGTGAATGATAATATACTGACATTCTACGCTGTTATCATAAAAACTCACGCATGTAAGATTATAGTGACTCACAGTTGTTGGTCCAGTTGGAAGGGGAGAATCCAGATATTGGTTCTATCTCCACCTCATTGCCAGAGTTGGGTCCAAAGTAGACACTGCGAGCGATGAACGTCTTCCTGGGTTCAAACATCAGGGACTGTGACACCACCCATATGTCATCTGGAGAAACATATAGTAGGTTATATGGCGTGGTAGTGGTGAAGAGAGGAGAAGAAAGAGGAGAGGAGAGAGGAGAGGTGTGGAGCGGTGTGGAGTGGAGAGGGGAGGAGTGTAGAGGAGAGGAGTAGAGAGGTGTGGAGTGGAGCAGAGCGGAGTGAAGAGGTATGGAGCGGAGCGGAATAGAAAGGAGAGGTGTGGAGAGGAGAGGAGTGGAGAGGTGTGGATTGGAGAGGTGTGCAGTGGAGTGGAGTGGAGCGGAGCAGTGAGCAGAGAGGTGGAGCAGGAGCCAGGAGTGGAGAGAGAGGTGTGGGAGCGGAGAGGGAGAGGGAGAGAGGTGGAGAGGGTGAGGTGTGGAGTGGAGAGGTGTGGAGGTGGGAGTGGAGTGGAGAGGAGAGGAGGAGAGGAGCCGGAGCGGAGGGAGGAGGAGGAGCAGAGGAGGAGTGGAGGGAGTGGAGAGGTGTGGAGAGGAGAGGTGTGGTGGAGCCGGAGAGGTGGTGTGGAGAGGAGAGGGGTGGAGAGGTGTGGAGTGGAGAGAGGTGGGAGAGGAGAGGAGAGGAGAGTGAGTGTATAGAGGAGAGAAGCCAAGGAACCAGAAACAAGCTAGGTATCAAGTTGGGTTGCTGTGAAATAACTATTTGAATGACAAACTCTGTGATGACAAACCCTTAGCGTAGTAGGAGGATGCATCCTTCTTGCTGAGCTTGATGTACATACTCTTCTTCCTGGTCTCCTCCTGTCTCTGTCTCACCCAGGCCTACAACCAAACCAGACACATTCAACCAGGAGTTGTAACACTCAATACTACAGTGTATCAGTTGTGTGTCAGTAAAAGGGTAATGTGGACCAAAGAGAAGACCTAAAGATTTGAACCAACAACCAGCTAACCCTGTCTAAGGGACATAGCTCTACTGCAAGTTCTAGATGATATCCTAGTAGAGGTAATGTGTTTACAGACCAAAGAGAACCCTGTCTAAGATTTGATGACCAACAAAGCCTAGTGTCTAAGACATAGCTCTTGACAGCAAGTTCTAGATGATATCCTAGTAGAGGTAGAACCCTGGTAATGTGTTTACAGACCAAAGAGAACCTAAGATTTGAACCAACAACCAGCTAACCCTGTCTAAGGGACATAGCTCTTGACAGCAAGTTCTAGATGATATCCTAGTAGAGGTAATGTGTTTACAGACCAAAGAGAACCTAAGATTTGAACCAACAGCCAGCTAACCCTGTCTAAGGGACATAGCTCTTGACAGCAAGTTCTAGATGATATCCTTAGCACAGATATTGTGTTTACAGACCTAAGACGGGCTTTTCTGACACAGGAAGTGAATCTTCAGGAGTCTTGTTCATAGGTGTAAGGAAGGGAAGCTAAGGGAAGCTAACTTTTGCCTTGCATCTCACATTACTTCTCAAGTTACAAGAAGACCAGCATTGTGTGGAGATCATTCCTATGCTGGATACTCAGCCCTGGATACTAGACCATGGTTGTAGTGAGGTGAATGTTACCATCTCAGTCTCTAGTGCCATAGTTCTTGCTTTTGTACTATACGTCTTTTGAATTTGTACTGCTGCTCTATTTTGTACTGGAAATCATGCAGATGTCATTTATTGCTGAAAGAAAACAAACTTACTGGGATGCCCTTCCTGTGCTTGTTGTAGTTGTCCCTGTATTTGTGTAGATACAGACACTGACAGTAGAAGGTGACGGAGTGGCCGCGGATGTAGGCGGTGATGCTGTCAGGGCTACCCAGGGTGGCTCGGGTCACACCTGCAGCAGATGCGGTCTTATCCCCTCCTGTCCTGCTGGGCTGGTCCATCCACTGGAAGAACTGAGAGCACAGGCAAACACTGAATGGGCAGATGGGTATGTGTGAGTCAGTCACAGGGTGGGTATGTGTGAGTCAGTCACAGGGTGGGTATGTGTGAGTCAGTCACAGGGTGGGTATGTGTGAGACAGTCACTGGGTGGGTATGTGTGAGTCAGTGGCTGGGTATGTGTGAGTCAGTGGCTGGGTATGTGTGAGTGGATGAGTATATTTCAGTAGAGGGTGCAAGACATACACAAATTCTACAAGGCATGCTTCATCTACAAGTGTCATCTTGACTCATGTCCTACTCCTCAGAGAGAGCAGCACCAAGTTCATTGAGAGTGGTGTATGGACTTTAAGTTAACGTCCCAGACCTGTCGGTTATGGAGCTAAGGGCAGGACTGAGTGCCACAGCATGCCTTTGATATTTTGCTGTTGGAAGAAATGGGTCACAATCCTGTCCCTCATGATGAATATGACAAAGTGACATCTAACACACTCATTAGACTTTACCTTGCACTGCTGGTTTCGGGGAGCCTCACAGGCATAGAAGAAGCGTCCCTTGTTGGGTCCCTCCTTCCGGACCTGCACCAGCTTGGAGGGGATGCCACACCTACATGGAGGATTGGAGCTGGTGGCGGACATGCCGGGCAGCTTGCTGCTTCCTCCTACCACACACAAATACAAGAATCACTGAATGTGGAATGTTTTTTAAAATTCATCATTGAAGAATCTGTCATCCATGAATACTTATGGCCGCCATATAGCTGGAATATTGCTGAGTGCGGCGTAAAACTCAACTCAACTTATGGCTGCTTAACATAGGCAGGTTTCTTAAGAACAAGACCCACTATAGTTCAAGACTATTTCAATCACTCTAGACAAATTGGATAAGGCCACCCTAAAGAGAGAAGATTTCATACTTTTGTTAAATTTCTTTAACTGGCAACATATCAATATCTCAATCGTGTGATGGATCTGGCTTAGATGAGCAAAATATCAAATATCAGAAATGAATGAGAGGTTGCTGCATCATCATTCAAAACAAAGAGACACTGAACATAAAATCTTTACAGAACCCTCAAGAAAGTCATTAATCAGTTGTGTGTGCCAGCAGCCATCTTACCATCTCCGGAGTACTGTGTTACGTCCACTTTGCCCAGAGCACTGTGATAAATCTTCGACAGCTCAAACAACGTAATATTCAAGTGTTCTGCAAACAAGTTAAAATGATTATTTACATATAATGACACTCTGCCCAAGAGCTCTATGTTAGCATGATATTGGAAGGATGTGAATTGCTAAATGACTTCCCCAAAGAAATATTAGTTAAATTCAGTGTCAGCATGACATAATTGACAACAACTGCTTTTCGTTCGGAAAGGATAAAATTGTCCTTTGCACTAGTTTGACCAGCTACAGACTTGCCATCTACCTGAACTAGTGGGAACTCTCGATAAGATTGTAGGTTCCCAGCAATCTGAGCAAGTCTCAAGAAAAGATCAAGTGATGAGGCTTGCTGACTTGATTGATGCCACTCGAATCCTTATTGTGTGATTGAGGCTCTTGATGTCAATCACTGGTTTATGGATATTGGAATGTGGAATACTTGTACACTACATACAGGCAGCAAAGTAGTCTAAGGGTTGCCGATATCTAGTCAAGTGTAGCTTCCCTTGGCTGTACCAGGATATGCAGGTCATGGGGATAAAACCCCCAATTTGCCCAGATTATTATCTTCACCATACCACCTCCTCCTGGCTTTTACCCAAGAGTGATACTTTCAAATGTCATTCACAAGCTGAAACAACTCCAACAGTCCACAGCTGTTCCTGAACTACAACCTGTTATCAATAATATGCTCAAAAAGGACAGATTGCCTCTTCGAGAGAAATTCTGTGAGGAAATTTGGATTAACAATGAAGACCTTTGCCACAGCAAGGCCAAGGTCATATCAATAATCCTGGGCTGAACTCACAGCTTAATGGACATCTAAATAGAAAAACTCAACTACAGCAAAACAAAGCTACAAACAATTAGCAAAACAGTCAAAACAGCACAACAAAAACCGAAAAACAACAAAAAACGAACAGGGCAAAACCATACTTCAAATGGGACCCACAAACTTTAACAGTGACAAACCCAAATTGAGAAAAAATCCCACAGGCCACTGCCCTCATTATCTTATAGCGGACGATACAGCAAAGATATTCTAATGTAAACACTACAATACAAGGCAACAGGCAAAATTATTACTATAGTTCAACAACTCTCCACTCAATCATCCATCTATTACCACTTACCAAACTCGGCAATAACCTCATAAATACAAATTAATGGTAGGATCTAGGTACCCTAGCCCTTAACATCCAACACCACCATTTTCACATAAAGACAATTCCAGGTAATTCTTGCCAGTAAACTTCCAATTCCAAATATCCTCACTACGGTTGTGTACTTTACTCCCCCTACCAACCCTTTAAACCCTTTGCATTTTTTAAACTGGTTTGGGCAACATTAAATCATTTTTAATTGCTTCGTTTAACATGTTTCTTGGTATGCCCCAAATAATATGGTAAAGTGAAACAAGGGTCCTCCAGGAGTGCTCTATAGATCTAAAACTTCACTGACATCATTTTTTTCATATCGTCTGAACAGTATTGATAAGAGAATCTGTTTTATATTGATCTTCCATGAGTGAGTGAATGAACATAGTTCTGTGCTGCTTTTAGCAATATATTACAGCAATATCATGATGGGGAACACCAGAAATGGACTTCACACATTGTACCTATGAAGGCAATCAAACATGACATGCTTTAACCACAAGGCTACACCACCGCCACAATATATAATATTACATGTGTGGAGATTGTCAGTGATTGACACTAACGCCCTGATTACCAGTGACACAACTTTCAATTGTCTGTGTTTAAGCTGTGGTTAGCTGACAACAATGGGGAGTTACCTAATTGTAGCTTGGCTATCTCTCTTTTTTAAGCTGGTTGAACACAAAGTGTTCAGTTCCCAGGTCGGGTATGGATATGAGGAACGGGTGTGTGTGGGAGTGTGTGTGTGTGTATGTGTTTGCCATATCGTCAGTGCATGAAACTTGAACTGAATATGTCACGTCAGCATAATGTGAATAAAGTACTTTGTGCCTTAAACTTCATTATGATGGATTTATGTGAAGTGATGATATTCAGTGGATCTTCTTGGGACATGAAACATGATTTTATCAAGAAGTAGGACCTTTTAATTGTTTTTCAATGATACTTGCTTTTTGCTTTTGTACCTCATGTAAAAGACAGTAGTTAACTGTTCTTAAATTGTTGTGTGATCTGTCTTTGTTCGGTATGGAGACAGTATTGTGGATCTTAAGGTTTATCACTGACCGACTGAGTTTTGGTTTTATGCCAGCTTTTAGCAATATTCCAGCAACATCACGCAGGGGACACCAGAAATAGGCTTCACACAAAGGTTTATCAGTAATGTGAAGGCATACATATAGCTTGACACAAGGTTTGATTAGACTCGCATATAGCTTCAGAAATATAATCATCTTATTTAAATTATACATATAAATATAAATATACATATACATATATACAGAAGAAATCCGAAAGGAGCTCAAAACAATACTAGAGCTGAAAGTGGTCTGAAAGACCACTCTGGTGAAAACCATAAGCACAGGCATATTCATGACTAAACTTGAAAAATAATGTGGACAAACTGGGAGTTAAAACCATGATTATAGTGCGTTTGACTTCATTTTTGACCGATGAATTGTTCACTAACACAAAATGTAATCATTGCAACAAAACCAAATTGTGCACAGTCACATGAAATCGTCAGACCAACTCTGATGATTTGTCTCATAATTTTGGACACCTGAATAAAAAGGTTGTTTAAGAAATGATCATTATTTTGTTGTCACTTTTCTCTATTTCTTACGAGGGAGGACCACTTGCTGGTAGAACAGCCAGGTGTGCGAGTTGTACGTGTGAAATTGAACTTTCACTACACACGCTTGTTGATTACCTGTTGCAAGTATTAGATTTTGTGTTAGTGAGCAATTCATCGGTCTAAAATGAAGTCAAACGGACTATACACACTCCTAGAGCATCTAAGGGACACAACTCTGCAGCAAATTGCAGTGAATTGGGAACTGTGACTGTCCACTGCTGGATGTTCCATGTACTATAAGACTGACAAGCTGGGTACCTCTGAGAGCGGCTGTGATGATCTGCTTGTAAGTCTGGAGGTTCTGGAACCTGGCTGGGATGACCACTTGGCGGCTGGGTGTCACACTGGCCTCCACCTCGGAGTGGCTGGGGAACTGTAGCTCCCCACACAGGCTCCTCTACACAACACACAGGAGAAGAATACAAGCAGGGAAAGAAGGAAGGATCACATGGTGGGCCAATGTAGGCTTCTCTACACACAACACACAGGAGAAGAATACAAGCAGGCAAAGAAGGAAGGATCACATGGTGGGCCAATGTAGGCTGTAGGCTCTCTACACACAAAACACAGGAGAAGAATACAAGCAGGCAAAGAAGGAAGGATCACATGGTGGGCCAATGTAGGCTTCTCTACACACAACACACAGGAGAAGAATACAAGCAGGCAAAGAAGGAAGGATCACATGGTGGGCCAATGTAGGCTTCTCTACACACAACACACAGGAGAAGAATACAAGCAGGCAAAGAAGGAAGGATCACATGGTGGGCCAATGTAGGCTTCTCTACACACAACACACAGGAGAAGAATACAAGCAGGCAAAGAAGGAAGGATCACATGGTGGGCCAATGTAGGCTTCTCTACACACAACACACACAGGAGAGGAGAAGAATACAAGCAGGCAAAGAAGGAAGGATCACATGGTGGGCCAATGTAGGCTTCTCTACACACAACACACAGGAGAAGAATACAAGCAGGCAAAGAAGGAAGGATCACATGGTGGGCCAATGTAGGCTTCTCTACACACAACACAGAGGAGAAGAATACAAGCAGGCAAAGAAGGAAGGATCACATGGTGGGCCAATGTAGGCTTCTCTACACACAACACACATGGTGGAGCCAATGTAGGCTTCTCTACACACAACACACAGGAGAAGAATACAAGCAGGCAAAGAAGGAAGGATCACATGGTGGGCCAATGTGGAAGCTGCCACCTCACATCTGAAGCAGCTTAAAATATCTTGGTTAATCAAGGTAAAAAATGTGTAATTTTCAAAACAATTAATCATATCATTATTTGCTATTGATGGTTTTGATTGCCTTTTATCATCAAATTTCTACAACTTCTTCCCATCACAAGATAGAACTGTAGATCATTAATCGATTCTATCATGAATCTGCAAAGTACTCAATTCTGAATGCAACTTGCGAAGATTGTAGATCATGATGTTGATCACTGGTGCCCACAAGTTTGTATTTTGTCAAGCTTGAATGAGGATAAACATGCTTTAATTAGTGAGTGAATGAGTTTAGTTTTATGCCATAATCAGCAATATTCCAGCTATATGGTGGCGGTCTGTAAATAATTGAATCTGGACCAGACAATCCAGTGATCAACATCATGAGCATTGATCTAGGCAATTGGGATATGATGACATGTGTCAACCAAGTCCATGAGCCTGACCACCGATCCTGCTAGTCGCCTCTTACGACAAGCATGGGTTACTGAAGATCAATTCTAACCCGGTTCTTCACTAGGTTAACTGTACATGTAACCAGGCTGTATGTAACACCTGAAACCCCACGCTCATGGGGAAAAAACAACTTCAGCAAAATGTCAAATAGGAAGTAGGAAGTAAAATACGAAGAGGGATTTTGAGGAATATGGACTTGGCATAATTTGTTGCACTTTAAAGTTTATGATACATTTTCAAATGGTTCTAATCAAAGTAGTTTAAAATATTTATTCCTATTGACAGGAATAGTAAATGAGTTGTATTTGTAACTTTTACATATTTCTGATGGGAAGAATGACATTTTAATATTTAAAATTAGATGCTAGTTTTTATTTTCAAACTTCATTTTAGGTGAGTTGGCACTTTCTTAAACCAAAGTTTTAATATTATCCAGCCTAAAATTAGGGTTGGCTCCTCTGATCTATCCCACGGAAGTCCGCTACATGAAGGCAGCTAGGACGGCCAGTAGCTGATCATGCTACAATGATCCAGGTTATCACTATCTCTCAGGTCACACAGTGTAACCACTTGATCTCTCTCAGCATGGGTACTGGCTAGCCCAGAATCAACACTGGAGATTATTGACAAGAATGGACAGGCAGTGAATGGTATTTTGTTAAGTCAGCAATCATCAGTGACCCAACAGACACATATGCTTTCACAGAAAGTACAAGGCTTTTTCACATAAATATAAAAAGACGAAATACCTTTACACATCCAAATGACCATATCTCTAGACATCTGAAGAGCTTTCAAGTCCATTGTAGAATAATATGCAAATGGAATGACTTTATGTTTTACATTTTCCCAATTTCATGAGATGTTTATCAAAATGTTGACTTTTAAAAATCAAATCGTTGATGTGTAATTTTGTTACATTGTCTGAATAAGGAGTGACAAATACCTCTGGCCTGTGACAGACGTACTAGGCTGACTGCAAGGAAATCTGGTAGGAAAGTGTCGTCTGCTCATACACTACACCCTTGTGGCCATTGTCGTAAGATACAAGTAAAATGGATAAGGAGTTTAGATTTGATTGACCGTTTGTACTCATACCCTGAAGTCATGGATCGCTGTAATAACAAAAGTTTGTGTCTGGCCTGATTAAATGTTTTACAGACCGTCATCATACGATTGGAATATTGCTGAGAGTGGTCTGTAAACCGAGGGCATAATACGATTGGAATATTAAGATATTAAGTGGCATTACTGTAAACTTAGAAATATTCATGAAAATACAGTTAAGGTGACATATATTTATCAAATCAAACTTTCTCTTAACCAAATGTGAAAACCATGACCAGTCAACAAAATTTGTCGGTCGACATATAGTACATATTAAGAAAATGTAAATGTATGAACATCAAGAATATACTTAGACATCTTGCATTCATGAAAAATACACAGGACAAATTTGAAGTAAAATCACAACTAATAAAAATTGCTGAAATTCAGGTTAACATGAAATCTTCAAAGATCTCTGTGACCTTGAAAATTAAGTGAATCACCAAAATCGATGAATTCATAGAACTTTCAAATATGAAGAAAATTCACCGAATATCTTGAGATGAACATGCAGTTACAGCCTTCTTGTAAAATTAAGGTCAAGGTCACCAAACCTGTTCTTTTTGCTTTCTTTCCCCACTGTGATGATTATAGGTTACCAATTAAGAAAGAATCTACATCAAGAATATCTTAGACATATTCCATGAAACCGTGACGGACTTTTGTTTCTAACTATATCCCTTTGTGTAACGCTGAGGCGGGGATAACAAAATAGATGTATATTACGCGCATAACTTCCGCTTACCTCGTTTATGAGGGTATGTTTTTCGTGAGGGTACGTTATTGTGTATGTTTTAACTAGATCGCCGGGAAACGTGTACACAGCTGATTGCTATTTCCGGCTCTATATACAAGACAAATACACACGGTAAACTTAATCCCTGCAAATAATACAATGCTCAGCAAAAACAACTTAGAACTGAGTTTATACTGTTGAGATCAAAGGGATTAATAAGAAACTTGACATCCTGTATCCCTGAAACCTGCATCCCTTTGTAAGAAGCAATGTAGTTTTAGTTAACAATGTTGTTTTTGCAAAGCCTACTACTCCCGCAAAAATAATACGTTGCAGAACAGGTTGGGAGTACGCTGACGCAAAATTTTCAAGGCGCAGAATATTTCCGGTTTACAGGATACAGAAACTACACATTCACTACAACACTGAACACAAAGAAATCAACCAACCTGTGATCCCTTGAGGGTGCTGCTTGAGAAAGACATCACCGGATTCCTGAACTTGCCGAGTCCGATCTTCCTAGTGATCTGCACACTGGTACTTCCTCCTGAGTTGACACACATTGGCCTGTTGAACTTTTTACACACAGAATTTGTACTCTGTTCTTGTGTTATGAACAGATCTGGTGATAATGATGAATCAGTGTTTCTAATGTATTCAGAACCTCTGCGTTGAGAATGTTTTACATTTTCTGTCTGTGTTGCACATTTCAGTTTATATGTCTCTTCCATTGACAGCATAGCCTTGTGTTCCTGCAAACAGTCCTCATCAAAACTATCGTCAAATTCATCTGCATACTTGCCTGTCGTCCTGGCATCACCACCATCAACAACAGCATCACATGAGGAGTTGTGTGACTGCTGTTGTACAGAGTTAGGAACACAGTTTAATCCTCTACCAAAGAAGTTATCACAGTTAGAATCAAGGACCTTGTACAACAAGGAGTCATCAGATTGTTTCTCAGTTGATGCTACACCTCTATCTTTGTTCCACAACTTATACTTCTGATCAGAAGCAGTGTTTCCTGAAGGATCACCAGAAGATGCCATATCATGAGACTTGGGAGCCGGTCTGCTGTTCCCAACATCCTCCATATTGAGGTATCTTCCCCATCGGGATGTCTTCATCTTCACCTTCTCCTCCTGTTCTTCCCAGATCTGACCCTGCTGCCTCTGCAGCCAACCAGCTGATCCACTATACCTATACACCCCATCCCCAGACCGGTCACTCAGGTCATTTCTTGACTCCTTCTGAACCTGGATGTGACCCTGCTGCCAACCAGCTGATCCACTATACCTATACACCCCATCCCCAGACTGGTCAGTCAGGTCACTCCCACCACCTTCTGGACCTGGATGTGTCCCTGCTGCCAACCAGCTGACCCCGGTACCGCGACACCCCCTCCCTAGACTGATTTGTCAGGTCACTCCCCGACTCCTTCTTGATCGGGATGTTTCCTGGCTGCCAACCAGCTGACCCCCGGTACCGCAACACCCCTCCCTAGACTGATTTGTCAGGTCACTCCCTGACTCCTTCGTGATCGGGATGTTTCCTGGCTGCCAACCAACTGGCCCCTGGTGCCTAGACATCCCCTCCCCAGACCGAACATCACTTGACCCATACAAGTCAGAGTCCACTGTGGGTTTCCTCAACATATGTGACGAGGCCTCTGGGTCAGGCATGGCTGAACATTGACTAATGACAATCCTCTTTTCAAGCACATTACTCATCTTCTGTTGAGATTCACCCACATCGTTAAGCCTCTTTAATCCTTCTCTGCAATATTTAATCTGTTCCTGACCCAGATGTCTACTTGACCGCCCATGCAGCTGATCACTATCTACTGTACCAGTAGAGCCAGTACCTCCTCCATATGATTCCTCCCTCGTCCACCTGCCACCTGTCTCGGTCTCACCTGAAGATTCCAGGTAAGTGTCATACCCTTCCACCTGTTTCCCATCTGTAGATGGGTTGGTCTTGATAGGTTTCCTCCTCTGTTGTGAAACTAATGGCAGCATGTGCATCCCACTAGGCTGGGTTGTATCAACTGACTCCTCCAATCTTGGACATAATACAGCCTTCCTTAAATCACCTGTTATGAATAGAAAACACTTTGGCAAACTGAACCTCACACTACACTAAGCTGTATCAAGTACTATTTCCAACCTTTTTTTACATTCTGAGCAAAAATGGCTGTGTAATAACCATAAAAAGATTTTTCAATATGGCCGCCATTTGAACACTCTTAAAATTTCTGTATCATCACTGGTCGGAACCAGCATATGAGCCAGCTCCGGTACTGGCTACCAAAAATACTAGTACTGCCATACAATCACTTTTTACTTTTACTAGTCTGCCAAACTGTTATGCTAAAAAGCTGTCACAATACATGCACTCTTCAGCATATAGGAGTGAGTGAGTGTATGGTTTTACACCGCTTTTAACGTGATATTCCAGTAATATCACGTTAACGGGGGACACCAGAAATGGGGTTCGCATATTGTGCCCATGTGGGAATCGAACCCAGGTCTTCATGCTGACGGATGACGAGCGAATGCTTTAACCACTAGGCTACTCCATCGCCCCTCAGCATATAGGATAATTATATTATACTTTTGTTCATTTTCACAAATCTGAACATCCTCTGTACTTCCAGACCTGGCTATATTGTAGCATTGACGTACAATCGCTTTTTACTTTCACCAGTCTGCCAAACTGTCATGATAGAGAGCTGCGATAGGGTAAAGGGGGTACCTGGTAGTTCACAAAGAGAAGTCACTCCCTCAATTATACCTACTTAAAAACCAGCAGATTTATATCAAGTTTTCACACACAAACAGTACTGCAACAGACATATACTTACTATCTAGATCCGGCACCACATGGTTGTTGATGGGACTGGAACCGGTTGAGGAGGAGGAGTGGATCCTCTTAGAAACTGTGGTACATTCTGTGTATCTTGAGAACTGCCTAGCTGTAAGGTAATTTACACATTAGACACGGTTCACATTTTCAGCAGCAGTTCTGTCATGAATACCAGTACAGGGCCTCGTTCAACAAAGCGATTGTAGCGCTACAACAGTTGGAAGTATATAGTATGGGAGTTATGTCCATCTTAGTGTTACGATCATTTTGTGAAATGGTACCACACCACCTACAATTGTCCTAAAGGTCAACCTGTGAACATCCAGGTTAGAATTGGTCTTCAGTAACATATGTTTGTCGTAGAGGCAACTGACGGGATCGAGTGGTCAGGCTCACTGACGTGGTTGGTTATTTACAGACTGTAGCCATATAGCTGGAATCTTGCTGAGTGCGGCATTAAACCACAAACCAACCAACCAACCTAAAGGGGGACTAAATGGATCACATGGGCAGACTCTGTGACTTAGTTGATTGAAATCAACGTATCCCATTCCAGTGGACTGTTGTTTGGGATAAATTCCCAATAGTTTAGCCCCCTAGATAACATGCTGATCACCTGTTCAAACAATGTGAGATGTAACAACTTGCAGTGATTTAACAACACGATAATGATTTCATGTGCCAGTGATGTCATATGAATTGAGGTCATACATGCAACAAGTGCAACCTATGTGTATGTGCGGCTGCTTGTACTAGCCCAGACTTAAGCTGGTTTTATAGTGCTAGCCCATTGAGATACCACTGAGATACCATGCCGGTGAAGCATGAATACCCCACTCAGACACATTATACTGACTCCGAGCCAACCAGCCCTTGTTGTACCCATTAATGCCGAGCGCCAGGCAGGGACCAACAAGTACCATATTTTAACGTCTTTTGGTATGACGCGGTCGGGGATCGAACCCGCGACCTTCCACTCTTCGGGCGGATGCTCTAACCACTACACCACAGAGGCGGTCGATAAAATACTATAAGTTGTAGCATTGTGATGAGGGGTATTCAGGGTTTTATGCATCCTGTGTTAGGTTAGATGGATAAAAACTAACGAGGAATACATAAAACCCTGTTTACCCCAAATCATAATGCTACAACCAATTTATCTTACTGAATGTATAAATCTCTCATAATGTAAATATAACATTAAAACAAACTGAAATCCAGTCATATATTTTACTAACATGGTACTGACTAGTCGATCCGAACCAGTGGTTCACTGTTCACTGACTGCCGTGTATGCATGCTTTTTCCATGGGGTGGGGTATAAATGATTTATTATTCCTTGCAAAGATATATAACCCGCTTGGGCTGGGTATAGCAGTGCACCGGGAAACATGGTCATTTGTTCAAGGTCACGCGACCAATCAGAGATGGACATTCTTACATGAGGAAGGATAAATTGATTTACAAACCCTGTATGGCAGTACAAGCCCAAAATGAAGCAAGTCTTGATTTCGCTTAGGTTCAGGATCTCCCATCTCACTGGGGCTCAGTTTAATTTGAGTTGTTTGTTCCTATCAAAAGCATGTACTTTGGAGGAGAAGCATTAGATTCAAACATTGAGAGCATCATATTTATGACAAATGCCGCGACAGTGTAACCAAACCTTAATGCTGCCTTCTTCCATGTTGTACGGCCTTGACACCATCTTCGGCTTTCCCTCATTCCAGTCGATGTAGAATTCCTCATCAGTATCTGCTGGCGATAATGTGTCTACAGGATAGAAAGAAACTGATGCCACTGGCTATTCTCTAGAATGTCTCCAGAAAATCTGGCGGAGGTAAAATATTGCTGCCTCTTTACAAAAAGCTATTTACTGAGCACTTATTAGTATGATATTACACATTTTGTTATTGTGCAATATTCCAGCAACATTATATTTAGAGACACAAGACATAAGCTTTAGATGTTGAGGCTATGTTAGGAATCAAACTGAGGCTATTCATGACAGAAGTCATTCTATTGAGACCTATACCAATCATATCTAAAGTTGGTAGTTATAGAGACATCTTACCAAAGGGTAGCTTCTGAAGTGGTTCTGACTTGAGAAGGGCAGTAATACTGGGCACATGCCCCAGCTCAGGCTGTGGTTCTGCTGTAGATGTGGAGGACTGGCTATCGTTCACTAACCAATGGTCATCAGATGTGGCTCTATGCCCGGCAACAAGCAAAGAAGGTGCTGGACTTGAAACAAAATCTCTGTGAAAATCATTTCTTTTCATTAAAGGAAACTGTCCCACCGAACCGATCCTGAGCTTGAACTGTTCGGGTGATGAGTCTCGTTTCACTTGGCACAGCTGAAACTGAGAACTGAGTAGATCACTGAGTTCGGGAGAAGTCTGACAGTCAGTTTGCTTGCCATCAGAAGACACCTTCTCTAGTGCAGCCTTTAGTTGAATCTGTGTGACTGTGCCTGTCCTCCCATATGGCCTGGTGCATCCAGTGAAGGAGGGGCCCCCAAGAGGATCCTCTGGCAAGTCCTGCGTGGATGTTCTCAGTGGATCATCCCTCCTCACAACTCCACTTGATACCATCCCCTTCACTGAGTAGCCATCAAGCTTACGACTAATCTGCTCAAATAATCACGATCAACCACTTAATTATTGGCTTCCATTAAAACATCAGTTACAAAAAACAACATAGTCAGAATATGGGTGGAATAAATTGAATATCTAAAGGGATGACATACTTTTACCATGTTTTATAGAAACAATGATTAAACATGCTGAAATCTACATCCTTTTAATTTCAACATGCTAAAAAAAGCAAAAGTTAATTTATTTTAATATATCCTAAAATATGAAATAAATAAACATGAATAAATATTTGAAAAATGTAATTTTTTTAGAGTAAAATTGATATTTTATACTTATCCTGACTCATGCTCTTTTTGCTTGTCTTCTTCTTCTTGCGAACATAGTGGAACACTTGTATCTCCTTAATTGAAGCTCCCTTCAATGTAAAATCACTAATTGGTACTCACCAAGAGTTGCCTCCCTTGCCCTTTTGGCGGGAACAGGTGTGCCACCCTCTGCCCTCATGCTTCACTCTCTCCTGATTTTGCAGGCCCAACACTTGAATTTACAGGGAAATCCAAAGTGTTATGTGGGGAGGATGGGAGGGCCTAACCTCATGAGTCAGGATAAGTATAAAATATCAATTTTACTCTAAAATTACATATTTTTCCCTTATCCTGACTCATGCTCTTTACTTGTAGAATCCTCACGGAAACGGAGGTGGGCAAAACAGAATACTTTGGATTTATAGAATTAGTGATTTATATAGATATAACTGTAATAACCCCCTCACGGAACTTCATAAAGGCATAGACTTAGGATATTTCCTCTATTATAAGCCATAGGTTATATTTTGCCATACTGGGGTATTTACAATAATAATATACTGTGATATTATCCAATAACAATATCAAAGCGATTTGATAGAGAAGCTATACAACTGAACATAATCATCAGTAAAAAGCTTAAGGGTGAGTAGACCTAAGCTAAGTATATACATAGTGCTAGAACTCCGTGAGAGTTATAAGCTAGATAATGCATGTATCAATTATGCATATTAAACTCGTAAATGACTACATGTTAACGTTATTTCTGAGGGACTGTCAACTGCTGTGCGAGGACCAAGGGACCGAAATGGTGAATACCTGAGACGTCCTCGTGGTGATATCTCCTCGGATAGTGATTAGCAAACACCATGTTAGATTTCCAAAAGCATCCTTCCATAATTGTATTCAATGAACAGTTACCGTGTAGGGCGAAGTGGGAAGCCAATGCCCTGATCTCATGGGGATTTGATGCTGTTGGAGGGTCCAGTCCTGCTGCCTTGTAGGCTGGTATGACAGTTCTTATCCATATAGATATGGTGAATATGCGAGACTTCTGTCTGAGTTGTTTGCCGACAAAGGGAATGAATAATCGTTTGAGAAATCTTAGCCTTGTTTTGGAGCGTCGTAAATAGATTTTTGAGAGCTCTGACTGGGCATAGAGATAAGTCCAGTGTATCTTGAGATCGAGAATCGAGGATAGTGCAGGGATATGGAATAACCTGTCTGGTTGACCTGGTAGTTGATTTTTGGCGATGAAATCCCGTCTTAGTCCCAGGTGTGCTGTGTTTTGATTGTCATCAAACTGTATCCTCTCATAATCTAGTCGTTGAATTTCTGACATCCTGGCTGCTGTGGCTAGAGATAACAGGAAAAGCGTTTTCTGTGAGAGAAATTCAAAAAGTTGTTGATTCCAGCGGTTCATAAAGCCTCACTTGTGAGGTGTTGTAACACTATATTCAGATCCCAAGCTGGAAGTGGAACTTCAGCTTTTGGTCCCTCAATCGGAAAGCACGTAGTAAGGCCAGTAACTCTGGAGTTTTAGTCAATTTGACACCCGTTCTCATAGTAATCCCACAGAACTAAGCCGCGGCAAGATATGTTGACAATGTCGAGCCTTTTAAATGTTTGTTTTGCCGTAAGTAACACAAATAATCTGCCACTTGTGGATGAGTAGCATCTCTCGCTGTAAATCCCTTATTTGCTCGCGTAATTTTTCAAAACTGTGCCACTTATTAAAGTCGTTACAAGTTCGTGTAGAATTAAGTAAGGCAAAGCGTGACCGCTTTTGCAGCCCTGGTAGAATATCCTCTCTTGTTTAAACACATTTTAATACAGTCCATCATTGAAGTTGGAATACTTCTGGGCTTCCGTGCACCTGTTTGGTGTGTGGATGTATTAATAGATTTGGCTTGGGTAGCTCTAGTGTTGGTTGACCGATTTCTTGAATTAGAATGGGAAACCACGTTCTGGCTGGCCAGTAGAGGCGACCAAAGTGAGTTGGAGGCTCTGTGTTTGTCTGATTTTCTGTAACACTTGAGGTATTATTGCTGGCGGCGGAAACGCTGCGTCACGCATGAGGCCTTCCAGGATATGCTTAAGAGCGTCAAGTTGCCCATGCTTGTGGGTCTGGGACTGGTGACACGAATGTCGGTAGCTGATTGTTGAAGCGTGTGGCGAATAGATCTACTAGGGGCTCCTATTTGCTTGATTATCTGTGCAAATATTTCTGTATTGAGCATCCATTCTGTCGGTGACGGTTGATGTGGCGAGAGAGTCGTCTGCTAGTACATTCTTGGCTCCGGGAATGTGACATGCTCTGACATGTAGGTTTAGATCGTGGATTAGATCGAACAGTTTAAAGCTTAAAGTCAATAGGTTCAGTGATCTCGTTGAGCCTTGTTTGTTCACATAGAACGCCACTGTCAAGTTGTCGGTATGAATCATTAAGTCGCATTCTGTAGAATGGTGCTCCAAAGAAGTATGGCGTTGATTACAGCTTTCATCTCTAACCTGTTTATATGGAGCTTGCTCTTGCTGATTCCATAACCCTGATGCCGTCGGTTTGGCGAGATAGCTCCCCAATCTTGGAGCGTAGCGTCTACATATAGATGGGTTTTGAATTCCTGCTCTGCTAAACAAATACCTTCGCAGACATTCGACCTCCTGGTCCACCATAGTAGATGAGGTCTGAGATGTTTCGGTAGACTGAATGGTTGTAGGTCGTCAAGATGTGCATTGATGAAGACCTGTAACGAGGCGTGAACTGTAATCTGCCTCTGACTGTCATGTCTTGGGCTGATGTGAGGAGACCCAACAGGCTCTGCCATTGTCGTCGAGTGGTAGCGGAGAGAGTAGAGCTGGCGGAATGGTCTGTTGGATCTTGAGCCAGCGGTCTTCTGGTAATGACGATACGGGTTGAGATTAAGTGATAAATCGAATGCCTAGGAACTGCAGATCTTCACGATGGTACTAGGTCCGACTTGAGTAAGTTTACTAACCATCCTAGCTGTGTTAGTAGCTTTATGATGTAGTTTAACTGTAGTTTGAGGCGCTGTGGATCTTGATCTACTTGTATCCCGTCGAGGTAGAACGCACTCGCGTAGCCCTAGACGATGTAGATATGTGACAATAGGTTTACGTTATCCTCGCGAATAGCCAGGGGCTGATGATATTCAATGGGAGTACTTTCCATTGGTAATGTAGCCCGTCCTAGTGTAAATCTGAGATATTTCCTGGATTCGGATGTATCGGGATGTGTAGATATATCGTCTTGCAGATCTATACTGGCCATGTAATCCATGGGGTGAATCAACTGCCGTGAATCTGGGGAGTAGGTGTATCATGCTTAAACTTTGGTGGTTTAGTAGATATAATTCCTGTTGAAAAAGCTCATGTTGTAAATGAGTCTGTATTTCTCCCCTTGAGTTTTCTTGGGTACTAGGAAAACTGGGGAGTAGAAGCCTGGTTCGATGTTTACTTGATCTAGTACTTCTATGGTCTGCTTGGTTATGAGTGATGTAACAGCCTCTCTTAACTTTGGTAGTTATTGTGCCTGTAAGTCGAACTTGTGAGGGTTGACTGTCAGCGTGGCGTGGCCTGTAGTGGGATACAAAAACTCCGTGTTGAAGAATGTTGGAGACATAAGGGTCTTGTAACATTCCCCAGTTCTCCCAGTGTAGTTGAGGCGCCCACCCACTTGTGACGGTTGTACTGGAACGGCTGGGGTGGAAGACTCCAGTCGCTTCGAACCTGTCTTTCAGCCGCTTATAGTTGCGAACCTCTGGGCGTCCTGCCTCTTCCTGACCCTCCTCCTCTATAGTTGCCATATGGGCTAATTTTAAAGAATCTTTTCCTGGGCGCTTGGCTATCTTCCTATCCCGTGCTTTCTGTAGTCCCGAGAACTTAGATCTTCCTGAGTATCTTTGTGAAGTCTGCCTGATGACGCTGGCTAAGCGGTCCATCGACTTGATCATAAGGACTTCTCTGGAGTCCTTAGTGACTTCCTTTGGAGACTTTGTCTATTCCTCCGTCAAAAGATGGATGGGGAAGACCACAGGGCTGTATAGAGTGGAGCTGTAAAGTTCTCACCCCAGCTGCAGGAAGCGAGGAGGCCTTGACGACGAGCTAAGGTCAGCTGCTGAGACAGATGTGAGATGATCTGTAAGGAACTGCTGGTCCTTCTTTTGCATCAGTAGGGCCGAGTAGATCATCCTATCATCTTCAGAGGTCGTATTAATGAAAATCTGGTGATAAGTGTCTCATTGATCGTTCTAGATCTATTTAGGCCAAAACATGCGCCTCGCCATGGTTTCTATCTGCACCAGCTTGCGCATCGCCAATCTTGTAGTTCTTGTTCTTAACAATGCTGATCAGCTTGTAGTTGTCATCGATGTCTTGTGCCTTCAGGAAGGGGTCCATGTTGTCGCGTGGAGAACTTCTTAGCTGGAAAGTTCGGTAGGTGTGTGGCGCCTGCACTTTCGCGGGCTTTATGGAAGGCTGTATCTAGATTCTGTGGCACCGCAGCAATCGGGTCGATCGGAGGTAGGGTGACGACGCCTGCATCGCCTTCCTCCATCAGGTATGTCTGGCGCTGAGTTGCCACTCTTGGACGGTGAAGATAAATCTAGGTTATTTACCATCCAATATCTTATCTCAGCGCCTGAGAAAATGATGCCTCCATCATCTTCTGTACCAGCATCGGTGATGAGGAGGTTGATGCTCTTCTGATGGTGAACTGTGTGCTGCTATCTCTATGTCGGGTGACGCTTTGGGAGACCTGACTGTAGACTTGTGTGCAGACTTGTGTGGTGACTCTGCGCAGGTGATCGACGTGGTGATGTAATGCTGAGATCGGGCGTGGTGAACGGGCGGAGATCGCCTTAGGTGATCTGGCGTCTATGGGATGACCTTCTCGGAGATCTGCGAGGAGAATGTTGATAGCTTCGCTAAGCTCTTGAGTAGTCCCTCGGCGCCCTTCTGGACGATGACGATCTGTGTGTGGACGGCCTTTCGTGAAGCTTCCTCTGCGTCCGACCTGGGAGCGGCGCTTGACCTCCGTGGACGGCTTCCGCGATGTCTGGTGGTCTGAGTCCGTGATCTGAGGATGAGGCCGAGGACGGTGACTATTCTCCCGCCTTCGCTAAGGCCTTCAACGGAAGACTGTACATCTGGGTCCTTCGCCGAGGTGGTCTGTGACTTCCTTCTCGAAGGCTGCTTCGTCGTGGCTGCTACGCTGACTGGGGGTGCCTCTGGGGTGTCGCTCTGCGCTTGCTCAGGCCCTGGGCTGGCTGCTTCTCCCGCCTGTAGTGGCCCTCCATCATGGTCATGATCTGCCGCAACAGCTCGCCTGGGATGGTCTGCGACGAAGTAGTCGGCTCTCTCTCTGCGATGACAGCAGCTGAGCCCTCAGGGAAGTCGCCTGACATCAGTGTAGAGACATCAGGCTGCATGGCGATCTCTGCTAATGTCACTGTAGCTGTCACCGCCGCTTCTTTGTGGCGTCGCCAGGGATGATGATCGGCTGATCATCGTAGAGGCCCAGTTCGGGCGGCTGGAACGATCTCGGCTGAGAAAGTTCTTGACGACTTCGTAGACTTCCCCTTTGAGGTCGACGCTGCCCTGGGGGTCCGAAGTCGCGCTTGAGAAGACGCCGAGGCCCTCTTGACTTTGGCTGCGATGACGGGACGCCTGGGGAGGCAGGACGCTTCTTAGAGGTGGCGGACTGCATCCCACGCTCTCTCCGACGGGTCTCTAGCGGAACACCAGACGGGAGGGGGTCGATCGACAGCAGCTGACTGGATGGGGAACTGGCGTATCGGGCCATGTCTAACCCTTTTGCTTATGCGTGGACCTATTCTGCGTACGCCTCAAGACGCAAAGATATTTATGAAAAGCAGAATTAGATAGAATAATGCAGTAACTGCAACGCGGAATCAAACGCACAAGGCGAAGCACAACTAGGGCATAATACATGGGGTCAGCAACAGAAAACGTAAACTGCAAATAGTACAGATTTTCATCAACGTAATACTAGCTGAACAATCACTTAACTCAATGCTGAATAAACAGTAGAAATACAATTAATTATCAATGCAAATTAATGAAGGATACTAGCTATACCTCTATAGTAACCTATAAGACGTAATAAACTAAGAAAAACCAAAGGATATAGTGTGTAAGGAGACACAGGCGCTCTCACATCCTGCTCACTGGGCGAAGAAGGAGAGAGTGAAGCATGAGGCCAGAGAGTGGCGACACCTGTTCCCGCCAAAAGGACAAGGGAGGCAACTCTTGGTGAGTACCAATTAGTGATTTTACATTGAAGGGAGCTTCAATTAAGGAGATACAAGTGTTCCACTATGTTCGCAAGAAGAAGAAGACAAGCAAAAGAGCATGAGTCAGGATAAGGAAAAAATTATATATATTAAAAGCAAGACATGATAATTCCTAGCAGAAGCAGCCATTTTGGTTTTGTAGCATAGATCTCAAACGCAATCTGGAGGAAATAAAATGCAACAATGTACTTGTATAACTTGCCCATGTTTTCCCTTCAACTCACCTGACATCGTACATCCTGATGTTGATGAGGGTTCCATGTGTCCCCCTGCCTCTGTCTGCTGGGGGGAGACAGGGGAGGTGCTGCATCCACTCCTTCAGTCCCTGGAAACAAGAGAGTGCTCTAGCTTGTACACTTGGTAGAGATTCATGGAGAATGAGGAGGTTTAGTGGGTCATATCATGTAAATTATTGTAAGAAAAGGTTACTGCGATTTGAAAGTCCTGATTGAACAATCAGAAAAGAGGATATTTGAAAGGGTAGAATTATTTTCACTGAAAGAAGATGCCCTATTTAGAGTAAATCAATTCATAAGTTGACCCACATCAAAATATTTGCAGAAGTATGAAACAAAATTTAGCCTCAAACCCCTAACAGTCTGATGTCTTAGAGTGGTTCTGCTGATTCAAACTTTATTATGAGTTCTCAGACTAAAGTGTCATTCAGGCACTCTATACAATGCTTGAACCAAAACTGGAAATGGGTGCTCCACGAAGCTTTTCACCAGTTTTAGATTCAGTTGGAAAAGATTGAACACAAAAGAACAACAAGAAGCAACACACGTTACCTTCTTGTCTCTGAACACAGGAATCATCCTCAGCCTCAGACTGTCTCAATGCTGCTTGTCCATCAGGAATACCACAGTTTTGTCTCTGCCGTTGACGTCCATGAATGGCAAGGTCATGCCTATGCTGGTGATGTCCATCGGAATTTGCAGGATTAAGTCTCAGATGTCCTTTAGCAGCAGAAGGGATGTGTTTCAGTGTATGTCCATCTGCTTGAAGGACAAATGCTTCCTGGTCTGGACTACTGACTTTCAGTAGACACTCACGTTGGGGCCGACCTCGCATTGAAATCATACTGTCAGACGTCAAGTACTGTCTCTGTATAGAGGACACAGTCTCTGGCAACGTCCTCTGAAATGCCCGGGTACTTGACAAGGGACTTTCACCTGAAGAATGGTTACTGACATCCTGAGGATACTCCAGCATTGTATCCTGTGATGTCTGACTGCCGGACATGGGTATATTTGGAGTATCAGGAATAGGGAACGACTTGTCAGAATCAACAGAGAGGACCATCCTGCCCTCATTGGCAAGTCCCGACTGACCAACATCACCACCTAACATAGTTGATACCACAGACTCACTGGAAGATGGAAATCTGTACTCAATGTCATTTTTCCTTGAAGGAGACGAAAACATGTCACCAAAAGAATCTAGTTCTGTGTGAGCATTTTGATTATTTATGCACTGCTTTGAGTCAGCAATGTTTACAAATTCAGGTTTAGATATAGAATATGTTTGTTTCTCTTGATGGAAGGATGTATCAACCGAGGAATATGGTTTGAAGTCTTGAAGGTGCTGCTCAGACTGTCTGTGTTCCTGTTGAGGGATTTCAGAGCAATGGTCACCTTCATTTGAAGGCTGACTGCTTAGAAGAGGTTCAGAATTATTATCTGGGGTATTTGTGACATCATTCTGATAACTGATTCCAACACCTTGCTGTGCATTTGATGATTTCAATATATTTTGTGGGTCCTCACATTCATGAGTGTTGTGTCTACCAGTTTCTACACTCAAAGATGACTTGTTCTGTACCCTTGAGAAGTCATCGCCAGTTTCTTCGGGCTGCATATGACACAATTCTGACTGCTTGGTCACTTGCAGAGGTAGACATTCTCTGTGAAAACCAGATTGTCTGGACTGATTGTCATCAAAAAGCAGAATAAGATGGGCATATGAGAGAGGAGGAAGACAATTTCCCATTCCTATCAGACCCTGCTGAAGCAGCATTAAGTTTCCCAAGGAAGCCAGACTGTGAGAACTGGGACAACGAACTGTTCAGGTCCAAACTGTCAGGGCTGAACTGGAGATTGCTCAAGGGGTTTATGCTATTGTGAATCTCTGGAGATGCATGCACTGATATTTGAGAACAGTTTTGTTCCAGAGTTTCAGTTGGATATGACTCTGTATGGCCCATCTTATATGTAGGTGTACCATAGTCCCCGCCAGTAACTGGAATGGATCTGCTGGTTTCTAGGTTGCCATTAGGACAACCATTATCCGTAAACTTCCTCTCATGTCTATCTGAACACTGACTATCTATATTTTCAGGTTTATCATCCTTGATTCTCCTGGAAACTGTCAATTCTTGTGTATCCTGCAACATTTTTATATTACCTTGAATAAGATCTGCTTTAGAGTCTGTCTCACTGAGTTGAATTACACCACTGTCTACAGACCCAACATCATCCAAAGTGGATACATTCAACAAAAGATCTTCTTTCTCAACAGACATGATGGCAGATTCACCCAATGATTGCCCTGCTTCCTCTCCCACCCCAGAGGACTCTTTTGTCAGTTCCACAGGAGCTGCTTCTTTAGGTGTGGCACCTGCAGCACCCTCTGACATAAACTGAGGATTGTCCTCTGATGTTGCCTGCCTTGCATCTTGTTCTGTTCCAGAAAGACTCTCCAACTGTTTCACAGGATCTGCACCTAAGGGACTACAGACTGTAGCATCTGCTACTAGACAGTATTGATTGTCCTCTGCTATTTCCTGCTGTCCATTCTCTTCTTTTCCAGAAATATCACCAGCTTCTTGGAAATATTCTGATGTGGCGCACTCTGCAGTATAATGTTGATTGTTTTCTGCTAATGACTGCCTTGCATCCAGTTCTTTTCCAGAAGGATTCTTCGCCTGTTCTATAACAGATGATGCTGGTGGATTATCTGTTGTAACACATCCTACTATACCGTGTACATTCTCATCTGTCATTTTCTGCCTAACACCTGGTGCTCTTCCAGGACTTTCACCCCGTGTTACAGCAGATGCTTCATGATGCCTACCTTCAGTAGTAGCTCCTGCTAAACAGTCCTGATCTTTCAGATCCGTCTGCTCATCCTCATCACTGGATGACACGTGAGACAGAGGAGAGAAGTCAATGTCAAATGTAGCATCAGACAACTCAAATGGGTTAATGGCATAATCTTCTTCGTTTTTATTATTTTCATCTGAACATTCATGACTGTCAGATGCAGGAACCATTTTAATGCTTTTTGCCACACGTGCAACTGAGAGATCATCAGTTCCTGGGATATCAAGTAATCCAGCTCCGTCAGCAGACTCCTCCATTCTAAAGTCAGAACTGTTATTATCTTGAACTACTTCTTCGAAGATATCACTTTTTGGTAACTCATGTTTTGGTGTCATATCTACCGATTTGACATTTTCACTAATGTTTGGCACAGTCTTGTGCTTCAATAGTGCCATTATCTGACTGGTGGACCTCTTGGTTGAGGCTGCAAAGTTTGTTTGACTTCCGTTGACAGAATACTTAATATGACTGCTAGACCCTAATCTAACACAGTTTCTGTCACCTTCAGTTTGAATCATCTCAGTTTCGTTACATTTATCATTCATAGGTTTGAAAGCTGAATGATTTGTTATAAACGTTTTTGTTTTGTTTTGTTCTTGAGAGCTTTCATCACTGGTCTGGCTTCCTTGAGAATCTGAATTAGATCTTGAGCCAAATGTTCTCCATGGATTACATTTTAACCTCTTGCGCTCTTGCCCTGAAGGACTTCTCTCCCTGCTGCCCCTTCTACCATGCAGCATGGACACAAAGCTGGTGAGTTGAGGGGAGATGTCAGAGTCTTCACGACCAATCCCCTGACTCTCTGTAGACAGTCCAGGGCCTCTCCGATCTGTTCTACCTGGGTTCCAAAGGCTGCCTGGTTGGTCACTTCTGCACAGAGATGCCGTTTCTTTGGGAAATGCTCCTGTCCTATCTAGAGAGCCTGCTGTAAGGACTCCTAAAGATGTCTGATCCTGACCCTGAGTGTTCCGGGAATAGAGGTTCATGATGCTGGCCTTGTAGCTGGTCATCCCCTGGAGGGGGCTGAGTCTGGTGGTGCTACCCTGTTGGGTACTGAAGGAGGGCAAGTCAGCAGCGGCTTGATCAGCCTCCACTTGTTTACAAATTCTCGGTGGTACAAATCCCTGGAAGAAATATGTCTCTTATCAGTCTACAGTTGGGTAACTTCTCATTACTGCACAACCTTTAAATATGAAATATGATTTTATGTTAATATTCACAGTAAGAAGTCAATTAGAAGGATTCTAACTGTCTTACTGTTATTTTTCCTGCATTATATAACACATCTTGTCATGAATGGTCAATTACAAGGATAAAACTGTCAACAGGTATGCCGTGTGATAATGTTGATTGTAAGGACAAACATGAAACCTCATGTAAGTTCTCTGATAGTTTGTTGTTTAATGTTGCTTCAGTCAGCTATAATCCGGTCGTATGAGAGTGGTATGTAAACACCCTCTTAATCAAGTCTAACCAGGAAAACCAGTGATTTCAATCTACACAAATGGGATACAATGACATGCAAGTCTGTGAGTTTGACATCCCCAATCCTGTAAGTCTCGTCATGGGTTGGTGCAGATCAGTTCAGATCTAAAATAGGGATCAGATGGTAATTATGTGACATGCCACACTATGTATCCTCACACCTCTAAGGTATGTAGTATTGCCATCAATCACAGGTTTGTCTGGTCAATATGTAGTCATTGTGATACTGACGCCATTGCCAAATGCTGCATAAGACAACATTCATTCATTCCTCAGTCCACCACAAGACTCACCTTTCTCTTCCCCCTCCTGAGTCCCAGTCCTGGGGCAGTTGGGACCTTGCTGCAACCCACAGGTCGACCCAAAGATGACGAGGAGGTGGCTGAGGGGACATGGGAGGATGTGGAAGTCTTGGCATCTTGAGATCGCTTCTCCTCGATGAGGATGAGGTATCGGTCACTCTCAATCTGTTCCCCTGGGTGCACGTCTGCTGCCTTCACAAACAGTGTGTCCAGACGAGTCTTCTTGTCATCGTACAACACTGCCTGTTGCAGTACATGAACAGGCAATTATAAAGTATTCATTACCAATGAAACATTTAGTAATAATATTACAAAGTCTCCAGCTATCTAATCTGTGAATACACAAATTGTTTTAAATGCAATTGATCCTGTCCTGTGAAGAAGGTAAAAATACTCAAATTCTGATAATGATGAATGTAATATAAAACCATTCAATATGAGTGGTTGGTTGGTTGGTTGGTTGGTTGGTTGGTGTTTAATGCCAGCAATAATCCAACTATATGGTCTGTAAATAATAGAGTCTGGATCAGACAATCCAGTGATCAACATCATGAACATCGATCTATGCAATTGGGAAACATGAGTGTCTTCACTGTCTGTTGCTGATGTTACGTTAGCTAGTGAGTGAGCGAGTGAGTGAGTTTAGTTTTATGCTGCTTTTAGCAATATTCCAGCAATATCAAGGTGGAGGTGGAGGGCTTTACACCAGAAATGGGCTTCACATATTTAGTTTTCGCCCATGTAGAGCAATATCAACACCAGAAATGGGCTTCACATATTGTACCCATGTAGGGAATCGAACCCGGTCTTCGGCGTGACGAACGAACACCTTAGCAACAAGGTTACCCCAGCGCCCCCCTTCTTTGAGATATAAGGACACTCATATAGTACTGATGTCTTACACATCAGAAGCAATTAGATTCGCTAAGGTCAGGTTGAAAACGAGTGACAGACAGTGTCAATGCTTTCTCAGTTAGAACTCTATGTCGTAAATATACAGCAAACAAGACCCATTTAACTTTAAAAAAGAAAGCAGTGGAAATGCAATAAGCTGTCTGTGACATCTGTGTACTTAAAGATTAAACACAGAAAACTGAAGTTGACTGCATCTGTACCAACTTAAGGAAACCCATCAAAACTTGACACAGATGCAGCAAAATGTCAATGTCAATCACCACCACCACCATCACCATCACCATCACCACCACCACCACCATTGTCATTGTCATCGTCATCGTCATCATCATCATTGTTTTCAAGGCCAAATGATCCATTATTCATACAAATATATACAGAAAGCAGACATGAGAACATCAAAGCACAAAAAACTCTGAAAATTTAGCAAGGTATCTTGGGGGTCTTTTATTACAGATTTACATCGATCTTAAAAACGTTCAAACTGAAACAAAAATCCTGGAAACCCGCAGAAAATTCTCATATCTGAGAAAGATCTGCATATGCTAACCACCTGTATTGAGATAGCATTAGGCAGTTAAAGACACCCCTGCAGACTGGATTATTTACAGACAGCCACCATATAGCTGGAATATTGCTGAATGTGGTGTTAAACAACTAAACCCCTAAGGAAGTGAGAGAATGACTTCAATTTTACATTGCTCTTAACAACACTAATTGTGTAACTGAACATGAAGTCAATGTGCTGGAGAAAATCATGTCAGTTGCCATGGCAATCCGAAGTAAGAGAAACATCAAGGACAGATAACTCTGTGGGTAACTTACTTCTAGGGAGGAATCAGGTGAGCAGTTTTAACAGTGGTATAAATATGGAAGATAAGCAAACCGCACTGTCATACAAGGATACTAATAATATATACTGACATTGACAAGGGCAGAAATCTAGAACCTTTCAGAGCCAGTGGAGTGTTTACTTAGAATCGTAAGTCACACACAGTAACGGTCACTGACAGTAGCTGGCAAACTACATCGCGTGGGGTCAGGAACGTAGGAGTGTCTCTCAGGCTTGTTGCCTTTTGTCACTGAACAAATAGACATGATTTGTGTCTATATATATAGTACCATACAAGATTTTGCACTTGACACACGTTTCGAGGACACGTGTTTATCTGTTTGTCCTCAGGAACATTTCTCGAGGGTAAGCAATAAGGCTTTCCTGGAAGTGATCTGATTGGCTAACATGTAGGCAGATATCATCTCTGGAAGTGATCTGATTGGCTAACATGTAGGCAGATATCATCTCTGGAAGTGATCTGATTGGCTAACATGTAGGCTGATATCATCCCTGGAAGTGATCTGATTGGTAACATGTAGGAAGATATCATCTCTGGAAGAGATCTGATTGGCTAACATGTAGGCAGATATCATCTCTGGAAGTGATCTGATTGGCTAACATGTAGGCAGATATCATCTCCGGAAGTGATCTGAAATGTAGGCAGATATCATCTCTGGAAGTGATCTGATTGGCTACCATGTAGGCAGATATCATCTCTGGAAGTGATCTGATTGGCTAACATGTAGTCAGATATCATCTTTGGAAGAGATCTGATTGGTAAATATAGGCAGATATCATCTTTGGAAAAGATCAGATTTTTGTTCAATTATCTTGAATAAATCTTTCATACTTTGGTTACAATTAAATAGAAAAAATGTACATGCCAATTTTCGTTGAAATAAGTTGACAGGTTTTCCAACTGTGAACCGGAAACAACCCTACCCTCATCTGAGACTTAGTTGAAATTATATCAAACGTAATTGTTGTTCTTTTTTAACAATATCAATGTAACAAAAGCTCCAAAATAAGCTGATGAGCAATGTTTATACCAAGTTTTGTTGAAAAACATAGACTTGTTTTCAAGTTATGGCTTGGAATAGGATGGGAATGCACGTCAGCACTAACAAATTGGAACTGAGCCAAAAACAAATTGACTCCCCTCCCATGTTGGGGAGACATAATGATGAAAGACTTCCTGTTCTTGACCCTAAAACATTAAACTCCCTGTATACGACTGTCCATCCCTCCTGCGTCATCGGACTGACGACACACACCATGTTGACTCGCCCCTCACAGTTTAACGCTCCACATCTTGTACCAATGTTAAAGAGGTTAGGAGTTGTTTTTAATAACACTCAAAAGACTCCGGGAGGTTGAACCGCAGGTACATAAGGCTTCACAGTTTGTTATGGAGGCAATGGCCGTCATAAACTTGTCAATTTCTCCCGACCTAAATCGCAATTGAAGGGGACTGTCAACTAGACTGAACCGGTTCCATATTTCACAATCATGTTATGTCATAAAAAAATCAAACTTAACCTTGTAATAATTGGATATCGCCATGGCACCAATATTGATATGGGAATATTGCGAATATTTCGGTTTATTAAACATTTCGGTAATAATCGATATCGACACAAAATACGTTTCCTTAGAAACGTGATCATCTAGAATGAAACAAATTGTCTGTTGGGACTGAAGACAAACTACATTTATCTCATGGTATGTTCCTGTTCATAACTGACACTAATGAAATTCCGTAAATATGGTAAACACAACTGGTTCCGACATGAAAGAAGCCTCAATATGTAGTGGTACCTAAACAAATCAATAACCTTTCTGTATTCAACTGTTACGAAAGGACTTATGAATGAGAATTACCTTCGACAATAAGTACCAGTACTGGGACATAAAAAACACACTAAAAATAAACCAGGCAAAACATAAGTACTGGTAATAACGTATACCTCAAGAGACTTTTTCACAAAAAGTATACACTTTTGATGTAGGAAACTGTTACTCACAGAGACATATTCTCCTTGATAAGTCAATTTATAAATTTATCTAATGCAACTCTTTCATACTCTGAGTGTTTTTGAATGAGTGAGTATGGTTTTACACAGGAAAAGAAATCCCACCAGAAATGGGCTTCATACATAGTACCCATGTGGGGAATCCAACCCGGGTCTTCGGCATGACGAGCGAACGCTTTAACCATTAGGCTACCCCACCGCCCCTGAGTGTTTTTAAACTAAGGGAGGTTAAAAAGCCGCAAGGTTTTGGCCTATCCTGTTGCAGATCCAGGTTTAAATCCCCATCATCAGTTAATGTGTGAATAACATTTTAGGTGTTACCCAGGCCTATTATTGCTGGAATGTTGAGTAAAGCAAAGCAAAACTATCTCTGCTCACTCATTCAGGTCAGCTGACAATGTAAAATAAGATGGACTGCTCAGTTAAAGTGGGACTACTTGGGCTAACGAACATGATAAGTCTCATACATGTTATTTAAGGGACCGTTCATGATTTATGGCAAGGGGGTGGGGGGTGATGATGATGATTTGTATGGTTAAGCATGTACAATGTGAGTGACCCCCCCTAAAATTTATGTACAAAGTCAGTGACCACCCTCCCTCTTCCCATATTTTTTAAGCATAATTGTTTTAAAAATTTTGTGTACAAAATTTATGACACACCCCACCCCACCCCCCACCTCCCTAGAACAAAATGGGTGACCCCTCCTTAAAATCATCAAAACCCCATAAACAGCACTTTTGTAGGCCCATCCCTCAAAAAGCGGAAGGTCGCGGTTTTGATCCCCCACATCATACCAAAAGACGTTAAAATATGATACTTGTTGGTCTCTGCCTGGCGCTCGGCATTACTGGTACAAGGACTGGTTGGCTCGGAGTCAGTATAATGTGTCTGAGTGGGGTATTCACGCTTAACTGCGGCATGGTATCTCAGTGGGCTAGCACTATAAAAAACAGCTTAAGTCTCGACTAGTACAAGCAGCCACACATACACGCGCATGCACGTCATCATATGAGCGAAATATTCTCAAGTGCGACGTTAAACCCCATTTCACCTCACCTCAAATTTTCCAGGGAATTCTTTCCCAGAGGTTGCTTCATGGTACTAAGTCTGCAGCATATGTCAGCAAATATTCCTGGTGCAAGTAAGACTAATAACAAGGTTGTACTTCGTAATATTGGGTTGCACCAGTGCAAGTAACAAAGCACTCAATCGAGCCCTGCAATGTGGGGAATCAAACTTGGGTCTTCAGCATGACAAGTGGATGCTTTAACCATTAGACTAACCCAAACCACCCTCAACTTCCAGTAAAATATGTTCAGTTCAGAAACTAAATGTTAGTTTTTATAAATCCGTGTTAAAAATGGTCTTCTAACTTGGTTGACACATGTCATTGTATCCCATTTGCGTAGAGCGATGCTCATGCTGTTGATCACTGGATTGTCTGATCCAGACTCGATTATATACAGTCCGCCGTCATATAGCTGGAATTTTGCTGAGTGCGTCATTCAACAACAACCAAACCAAACTTTATGAATCATGGTTGTATGATTTACTGATGAACACAACTATAAAGTTTCAACATCTGGGCCTTGACCAACAATATGGAAGACACTGTGTCGATGCAAGACAAACATAATAAAGGAAACCATTTACAACATTGTACAGGTTGGAGAGTGAGATCATCCAAGTCATTGTGCTGCATTCAGCACTTACAGTTTGCAAAAAAATATCGCAATAAAGGTTTGTCTCGGATTGGGCCTCTTAGACTCTCCTTCAAGTTACAAACTGATTGCCGTTGTCATAAATCACTTCTCCGAGATACCGCGTGTTCCAGTATTTTAAGAATGATCATGTGACAGTTTATTTACAATTTGGGCATACAGACGCGACCATCACAGGTAACCAGGTGACACGGAAAAGAGATATCTAGCATCAAATTTACAGCACACAGTTGCAAGATTGGGATATTTAAAGTGCCCGTAAATAATTGCTTTGGCATTACAAAGTATTGACACTCTCGATACCTGCCTGTCTGGATGTAAGTGAGTGATGATCACCGATAAGATGTATTGAACTTGATACAGGTAAGATAGACGTGGTCTGAGTTATGTGTAGTTTATTGTCGTACATTTTCAGCTCTTGAGGGTTGATTTTTAGCAGTTAGAAATGTTTTTGTCATAAACACCCGAATGCACTAAGTGTGTTGTACTGATACTCCATTTTTTCACTAGTTGACGTCAAGAAATCATATTTCACTTCATGGTTCTTTAACTGACAAATGATAACCATTTTATTCTATTTTTACTATCAGTTCAAAAAAAAAAAGTGAATTAAACTGTGGTTTAAACTGGTTTCATTATTATAATGTGATTTAGATCAGAAGGCTGTTGGTTAGAATCAAGGCCCCGAAAAGTTTTCGCTTGTTGACAGTGTATGTATTAGCTAGAACAAAACATGGTGGAATTGTCTAACCAGATGCCAATTTAAACCAAGCAAGTTAGTTGATGGGGAAGGTTAAGGGTCTTTTTAGGTCAGGTGTAGATATGAAACTTTCATGTTGTGGAAGACTTGGAAATATACGTCATTAGTGATCAGACATGTTCTCATGGTCTTTTGAATTTTGTGTACATGTAAAATGGTGCACTTGATATGATCAAACACATGTAGACTGATACAGTGAGTTTCAAAGGTTGATTTTGAGGTGGAGGTTGACTTGAAAACAATATATGAACATGTGTTGTTTCACCATATGTTTGTGCTGTTTATCTACCCTCTCTGGGTGAAACCCGTGAAGGTCCGGTTTTGAATATTGATCTTCAGTAACCCATGCTTGTCATAAGAGGCGACTAACGGGATTGGGTGGCCAGGCTCGCTTACTTGTTTGACACATGTCATCGGTTCCCAATTGCTCAGATCGATGCTCATGCTGTTGATCACTGGATTGTCTGGTCCAGACTCGATTATTTACAGACAGCCGTCATATAGCTGGAATATTGCTGAGTGTGGCGTCAAACTAAACTCACTCACTCACCTCTCTGGGTGAAATCAGCCCCAGATTCCAAAGTAAGTGCTCATGGCAAGACTGAGAATAAGTATGTTATTTTGTCCAAAACAAGTATATTTAATTTCCCTGTTTTACTACATTCAGAGCACTACCATTGAAGTTTGCACTGCATTCAATACAATATTGCTAAATTCATGAAAAGAAGACAGTGATACCAAATTTAGTGCTCTTAGCATGTTAGATAGGAAACATAATTTTTGTTCAATTTTCTAAAGCTTTTTGTACCTTCAGATATTATACAGGGATTTACGGGACAGATTTCCTACGTCCTATATGCATGAAAACTGACAACGGACGCAACGAAATTTATAAGCGCATCCACAGGGACACAGAAAAAAGTCCAAATACTTTTTGAAAAAATTTCGATTGAGCAATAATAAGTTATCACTGAGTTTATTACTATGGTATCATTTGCAATTTAATTACTGTAAACAATGTGATGATCATGATACACAATACAATAACAGTAACACAGTACAATTACAACAGTATTACAACATAGTATTAATAATAATATTTAAGTGTCTGGGACTCCCATTTTGTAGTCCAGGCCCCCTGATAATTAAGAGTATGAGTCCCAAGCCCCCTCAAATATATGACTGTGGGTAAATCCCTGTATTATAGCATTGTATTTTAACACTGCATTGAATACAACAATGTAAAAATAAGCACTGGAGCTTCCTTCTCTTTACTGGCCTTTACTTGTAAAATACAAATCAAATTGATCAAGCCATCATTAACTTCATTAACACGAATTGGAAAAGATTGTGACATTTTGCTAACATTTGCTGCAAACTTGGGATTGAACATTGACCTAAGAGCAGATTTAGATAAATCTCTGGAAGATCTGACATTTGTATCCAACTCCTTGGTCCATGGATGTCTCTTGTTTGTCTCACAATCCTGAACCATAACATTTTACATTTCACCTAGCTCTTTCTGTAATGGAAAGTCTAAGTGAAGCAAGTCTGGATATTCCTCTGGTTCAGTTCTCGATCTCCCATCTCATTGGGGCACTTCCAAGTTCAAAACTATATATTTTCAGACACTAGGCATAAGTCTAGGATGTCTTACCTTGGATGCTACAGAGGAGACCTTCAGCATCCCATCATGCCAGGTCTTAGCTTTCTTCGTCTTCTGAGCCGTGTATAAAATCTGAAGAAATATGATATCATTGTCAAACCATGTCTTTTAGAAGACAACATCCGTTGTATGGTGCTATTGTTTTGTCACTGTAATATTGGTTGGTTGGTTGGTTTGTTGTTTAACGCAGCTCTCAGCAATATTCCAGCTATATGGCGGTGGTCTGTAAATAATCGAGTCTGAACCAGACAATCAAGTGATCAACAGCATGAGCATCGTACTGCGCATTTGGGATACAATGACATGTGTCAACAAAGTCAGCGAGCCTGACCACCCGATCCCGTTAGTTGCCTCTTACGACAAGCATGGGTTACTGAACCCAGGTCTTCATGGGTCCACTGTAATACTGCCTATAGCTTTCATTAAATGATTTAATAAAATAGTGCTACGCCACCGTAGCTCACTTAGTTGTGTAATATTCTGCAATATCTGTGAATAATCTGTCAATTTGAAAATAATCAAGTCTGTACCCAGGGTATGAAACTCAGTTTCAGCCAGACCACAGGGCTGGTTAGATGTAAAACTTGCCAGCCCTGACCAAAACTTACCTGCCCACAAAATATCTTCATATACATGTCTAAATTTTAACCCGACCGTTGGGCAGGTGAATTTGAGAATCTGGCAGTCCGTGTTGAAAATAACCTGTCCTGGGCGGTTGGGCAAGCAGGTATTTCGAACGCTGCTGTACCAGACAATCCAGTGATTGACATCATGAGCTTCAGTCCACTCAGTTGGGTATATGACGACATATATCAACCAAGTCAGCCAGTCTGACCACATGATCCTTTCAGTCACCTCTGGGGCGGTGGGGTAGCCTAGTGGTTAAAGCGTTGGCTCGTCACGCCAAGGATCCGGGTTCGATCCCCCACATGGGCACAATGTGTTACGCCCATTTCTGGTGTCCCCCGCCGTGATATTGCTGGAATATTGCTAAAAGCGGCGTAAAACTAAACTCAGTCAGTCAGTCAGTCTTAGTTTAGTTGCTGTGGACATACCCAGATCTTCACAGGTGTTTAAGAAGAAGTACAGGAGTTGTACTCATGAAATAATTAAGAAATGCTGAGAAAATGCACACTTACAACAAATTCTTCTCCCTCTGCCATTGTTAATCATGGATTTCATATCTGATGCAAATACCTTCAGCTGAAACACAAATGAGAAACTACCTTTTACATATGACCAATTAACCAAAGATGATATAACATTACACAATATATTAACATTCATATAATCATAATTCTCAGGATGAGGTTGTGATAATTTCTTAGTTTATGAATTTTATCTTAAAAAAAAAAAGAAGACATTTACACATGTTCAAGGTTCCTCAAAAGTGTTTATGAATAAGTATCAAAGTATATGTTGTTAGTTGAGTTTGTATCATTAGTTAAGGAGAGAGAGAGAGAGAGAGTAAAGAGAGAGAGAGAGAGAGAGAGAGAGAGAGAGAGAGAAGAGAGAGAGAGAGAGAGAGAGAGAGAGAGAGAAGAGAGAGAGAGAGAGAAGAGAGAGAGAGAGAGAAAGAGAGAGAGAGAGAGAGAGAGAGAGAGAAGAGAGAGAAAGAGAGAGTAAAGAGAGAGAGAGAGAGAGAGAGAGAGAGAGAGAGAGAGAGATCTGAGAGTGAGCTGTAGAGAGAGAAAGAAAGAGATGTTTACGAAAAAGAGAGAGTGAGAGAAGAAGAGAGTTAGAAAGAGAGCCAGAGAGAAAGAGAGCAAAGAGAGAGAGAGAGAAGAGAGAGAGAGAGAAAGAGAGAGAGAGAGCAAAGAGAGAAAGAGAGCAAAGAGAGAAAGAGAGCAGAGAGAGAGAGAGAAAAGAGAGAAGAGAGAAGAGAGAAAAAGAAAGAGAAGAGAGAAAGAGAGAAGAGAGAGAGAGAGAGAGAGAGAGAGAGAGAGAGAGTTTTATTAGTGAGCTTTGTCCTGTTATGTTTCACAAACACGCAGGGATGCACATGTCAATGAAACAGCGGGTCCTGTCTCCCACATCAGGTGCATTGGGTGTATCTTGGTGCTTACGTACTTGTTCAAATTATGTCTCTATTCAACCAGTGAACGGGTAGCTGGTAGGCTGAGATAGTCAAGTGACTGTTAATATTCTAGCATCTGACAGGCAACTTGGGTTGTATCCGCTCTTGGGTAGCTGAGAATGAAACTTAAATGCACATTGATCAGGGGGTAATAATGTTTTTTTGCAAGTCTAGATTTCCTCAGGTTCAGGAATCTCCAGTCCCACTTTGGTTCCTTTTCAATTTAAAAGGAACTAGTTGTTCTATATATTCAGAGGTTAAGCAACAGTCTAATTTCCAGCATGCATCAATGGATGGCATATATTGCATCACAAATATCCTTTTATCATTTATTTAAATCATTTGTAAATATTTTGCTTTTCAGATTTTTTTTCACCCACTTTCACAATCAGAAAATCTCAATTACTTACAAAATAACAATGTCATAAAGATCAATTTTCTTTCAAAGCCAAAAGAATAATTTGCAACTAGGCTGGCTGAAACGATCCATAAACAGAAATACTGTTGATCAGAAGAATTATTACAGATTATTGATACAGTAACAGTGTCTATCTGAATGAAATATAGTTTAAATTTACACAAAATTATGTCTTTACTCATGGGCCCCTCCTAATATTGTTCAAAAAGCTGTTCTTGTTAGTAATCCATGCATTAATCTGTTACCACTCACAAATGCTGTTGAATATATTGATTTCTTTCAGACTTATTTTGCATGTTTGCTAAAAGTTACATTTCTGGAACTGATCAACAATCAACTGATATTCAGTTAACGATTATCGGTTTCCATGGCTTCACATACATAGCCAACCTGAGTTACAATTCCATCTAACATGTTCAAAGAACAAAATCAATATTTTGTAGATTTCCCATTTTAACCTATCCATATGATCAAATCACTTAGTTATCCAAACATATTTTATAACATAAAATAATAGGGGCACAGGTGGCCCTGCCGTCTGATTCACTGTGTAGATTTTTCATCCCTTTGGCATTTCAGAAACATGATTCATACATGTGTCTCACCTTAGGCAAGTGAGTTTGTTCGAAATTGCCTCTGTTCACCCAGCAGGAAAATGGGTACCCGGTGGAAAAAGTCATGTGACTATAACCTTCGAGCTCCTAACAGGCAGCTTGGGTTATCTGGGGTAATAATGTGCTGTGCCTTGATTGTTAGTGCTATGGGCATACCTAGTGTGGAGTTTGGCGCTATATAAATGGACACATTATTATTATTACCATACCCTTGCATATGGGGTAGCCTGTGGTTGTGCGGTTTCAAATAAATGTGTGAAGCCCATTTCTGGTGTCCCCTGCCATGATGTTGCTGGAAATGTTTAAAACCTGCATTCCTTCAAATAAGGCTTTCCTCCATTAATTAAACAGACCTGCCATGATATAACAGCGGTATTATTAAAAGTGCAAGAAACCTGATTCACTCACACACTCATGATCAAACACAAATTACCTAAACTATTCCTAAAACAAATGATAAAATATAATCATTTCTTACATGACTACATGAAGTACATTTAACTCTCAATGAACATCTGAGCATATGTTTTTAACAATAACCCAAGGTCAAATGTTTTTAGGTTTCAACGACAGGCTAATTGACACCACTAAGGTGGACAATAAATCTGTTTAACCAATGCTGGTTATCTGGAGTGGTATAGTAGGTCAAAATTAGCCTGAGATAAAATCACCACTCCTAGGTGCTTGTACTATCAACAAAACCAGTAAATCTTCCTAAAATGTGTACCAAAGGGAATCAGATTAGCGGTAAGTCGAAAACATATTACAACTTCTACAGCGTTTCAAAACTGTAAATCATCAATTCTGAACCAAATGTAAGAATCATTGGCCCTATGTTTGCAGACTCTCCACAACAAACAGCAGAGAAACAAATCACACAACCTTACCTACTAAAATAGCATCAGAAAACAATAAATCTTGTGTTTCCCTTCTATCTTTCAGATAGGCTAATTGTCTCATGTTTACGGCATCAATATATCTGTCTGTGGGCCAGTTGGAGTCTATGCGGGGATGTCATCATCAGCTGCGTCTGAAGAGTCTACTATATCACATGGTGGGGTACATATCGGGATTTGGAGAGTCCCTCTCCCCACTCCGGCCCCGACCACCTCGTCAGACTGGGTACAGAATGCCAGTGTTAACAACGCATCCGACATGCTTCTTGGTCACTCGCACCTGGAGTCAGACAACACCAATGTCCGACATGATGGTACGGACTTGGACTTAACGGCAGGGAAACTTGTGTTTGTGATTTTCATGTTCCTTCTGAACATCTTCATGGTTGTTGGAAATACCATCTCAATTGTAACCATAGCCAAGACACCCAATCTGAGGAGCAGGACTTACTACTGGCTGGTGCTAAATCTTGCTATTGTGGATCTGTTTAATTCGCTCACAGTTGTTCCAATCAACACGATATGGGAACTCTATGGAATCTGGCCCTTTAGTATGGACTTTTGCAACATCACGATCTGCGCAGATCTTGCGTTCAGTGCAATCGCAAGTTATTCCACGGTTCTTGTGTCTATTGACAAATACCTGTACATCACTAAGCCCTTCCTTTACCACAGCATCTCGGCACCATGTGTAGCTCTTGGATCCATGATAGCAGTGTGGGTCATATGGATCACCTTCTCCGCTGTGTCCGTATTTGGAGACTTTGCTCGCAACCCACATCCGAATGAAACCATCTACAACGGATTGGACGTATGTAACTTCGTCATGACAGACTTATACGCAGTCCTCAGCGCTATAGTATCTTTTATAGTCCCGTTCTGTATACTCCTCTTCACAAGTCTTAAAATTCTCTGTGTGGCCAGGAAACACATTTGCCGCATTGCCGCCAATCATGAAAGTGTGCAGCAGTCCGAATCCCAGTCTGTTCAGTTAGCCGTCAACTCATCGCGACGAAACACAGATGCCAATACAACCAGTCTGCCTCGAACCTCCATCTGGACTACCAGCTCTACATCCACAACACAAACATCAAGCAAAAGCAGCCGAGAGGAAAATGGGTCCATAAAAAGGAAATTTCCACGAGACAGTTGTCGAGCTTTTGGAACTGTGATGATCGTAGTTTTGTTCTTTATCATCATGTTTGCTCCATACTGGTTTGCCTCTGTTGTGGATGTTGGGTGCAGCTGTATAGCGCGCCGTGGGTGTACGAGGATTACCTCTCTGTGTTTTATTATAGTCACTCCCTGGTAAACCCTTTTATCTACATGTTTACAGACAGGAGGTATAAAAAAGCTTTAAGAGAGCTTTTCAGAAAAAAAAGGAACCGAAAAGTTTCTCAAAGTCATATTAGATCCATGAGTGCACTACAGGATAAATAAAAGTAGTTGTGATACCAATGTTATGGACACTGCAGGAGACATGGTTTAGTACATGGCACCAGTAGTTGCCAAACATAGTGTTGTTTGAAATAAAGAATGACAATCAAAGTGTTCTTGTCATAACTCTAGTGTCAAACGTTTAATGGTCCCTGGATTAAAAAACTACAGGAGCCAACCAAGCCCACAGGTCAAATCTGGACAATGTTACGTGACTAGTATCTGGACACAGTTATGTGACAAGTATCTGGACACTGTTATGTGACTAGTATCTGGACACTGTTGTGTGACAAGCATCTGGACACTGTTGTGTGACTAGCATCTGGACAATGTTGTGTGACTAGTATCTGGACACTGTTGTGTGACAAGCATCTGGACACTGTTATGTGACAAGCATCTGGACACTGTTATGTGACTAGTATCTGGACACTGTTATGTGACTAGCATCTGACTGTAATGTGGCTAGCATCTGACACTGTCATGACTAGCACAGGACACTGTTGTGACAATCATCTGACACTGTTATGTGACTAGCATCTGGACACTGTTGTGTGACTAGTATCTGGACACTGTTGTGTGACAAGCATCTGGACACTGTTTTGTGACAAGTATCTGGACACTGTAATGTGACTAGTATCTGGACACTGTTGTGTGACAAGCATCTGGACACTGTTATGTGACTAGTATCTGGACACTGTTGTGTGACAAGCATCTGGACACTGTTATCTGAAAAGTATCTGGACACTGTAATGTGACAAGTATCTGGACAATGTTACGTGACTAGTATCTGTACACTGTTATGTGACAAGTATCTGGACACTGTTACGTGACTAGTATCTGTACACTGTTACGTGACTAGTATCTGGACAATGTTACGTGACAAGCATCTGGACAATGTTATGTGACAAGTATCTGGGCAATGTTACGTGACAAGCATCTGGACAATGTTACGTGACAAGTATCTGGACACTGTTATGTGACTAGTATCTGGGCAATGTTACGTGACTAGTATCTCGACACTGTTATGTGACAAGTATCTGGACAATGTTACGTGACAAGCATCTGGACAATGTTATGTGACTAGTATCTGGACAATGTTACGTGACAAGCATCTGGACAATGTAACGTGACTAGTATCTGGACAATGTTACGTGACTAGTATCTGGACAATGTTACGTGACTAGTATCTGGACAATGTTACGTGACCAGTATCTGGACAATGTAACGTGACTAGTATCTGGACAATGTTACGTGACTAGTAACTGGACAATGTTACGTGACTAGTATCTGGACAATGTTATGTGACTAGTATGTGGACAATGTTACGTGACAAGTATCTGGACAATGTTACGTGACCAGTATCTGGACAATGTTATGTGACTAGTATCTGGACAATGTTACATGACAAGTATCTGGACAATGTTATGTGACTAGTATCTGGACAATGTTACGTGACAAGCATCTGGACAATGTAACGTGACTAGTATCTGGACAATGTTATGTGACTAGTATCTGGACAATGTTACGTGACTAGTATCTGGACAATGTTACGTGACTAGTATCTGGACAATGTTATGTGACTAGTATGTGGACAATGTTACGTGACCAGTATCTGGACAATGTTACGTGACCAGTATCTGGACAATGTTATGTGACTAGTATCTGGACAATGTTACGTGACAAGTATCTGGACAATGTTACGTGACCAGTATCTGGACAATGTTATGTGACTAGTATCTGGACAATGTTACGTGACTAGTATCTGGACAATGTTATGTGACAAGTATCTGGACAATGTTACGTGACAAGCATCTGGACAATGTTACGTGACCAGTATTTGGACACTTCTGTGACTAACACTGTTAGATATTCTTCATAAGTATTAAGTGTATTTCTGTTGTGACTTGTATTGTGATTAGTGGTGTGCTATCAGCTGAATTCAGTAAATCAAGAAGTGTTTCATCATCAGTGTGAGGATGTAGTGTGTGTTTATGTTATGTGACTAACATTTTTATTGGTGACATGCTTTTTGCTTCATGAAGTAAATGGAGAAGTGTTTCATCATTGGTGGGGGTGTTGTATGGGTACCTCATGAATGGCACACCAGATTCAATCAAGAAAGCAGTGACTAATTGGTTTCAGGTGTATTTATTAACACATAGATATTCATCAATATGAGCCTTGGGACTATTTCACAACCTTAACAGAAAGCTATACTACTCACACTTTGCTAAGGATCACAAAAATTCACAACTTTACTTAAACGTAAATTCATAATTTGAAATTGTATCCATTTAAAACTGGATAAATAATAATATGGTTACCCCTCTTTAGGCAAACAGTCACTTTAATCTAACCTTATGCACCTGATACATGAGTAACCATAAAAATGGTTTTCATGGCACCAATCAACCATTTTTCAAATCATGGAACGAGTCATTGACAAGTACATAACACCTGTCAATAGCAGGTATGGGATCCGTAAGATGAAATGACATGCTGAAACCGAGGATCCATGCTTACAATAAGCTTAGATATTTAAATCCAATTTGACCCCACATCATTCTTTTGAATCAATGATTTGATCCTTAGCAAAGTGTGAATAGTATACTTTACACTATGACTTGATGAGTCTGCCACAAATTAGAGAATACTGATCATGCTGATGGCCGTACAAAGTACTTAGAACATTGACTTGAGTTTGTCAGATCAGTAGGGCTGTAACAATGCATTGAACTATTGATGGATTGCAATTGTTGAGTTTCCAAGAGCAATTAATCGATCGTAGAAATGAAAAACGATCGATTGACTTCCACTGATAAATGCACAGTGCAAAATACAGGATGTTTGGGTTCACACTTGCAGCTTCATTGAGTTTATGTTTTAACTGTTTACTTGATCTGGGTTTCAAGTTTCTTGTCAGTTAAAAAGAGACTGAAACTACTTCAACTTGTATTCAATAGTATTGCAATAGTTGGTCGCAGTAGTATGCTGCAATAGACTTTCACTATTGCAATAGTCTTTTCCCCCTCAATAGTCGCCCCAACATATTAGCAGGGATCAATCTACCCCTGCGTCCCATGTCTCTGACGCAATAAATTCTGGCAGTACTCATATTTTTTTAACATGTGCGTCCTCTTGGACGCAAGCTTTTGATGAAACACTGATGTTAATTTTTGTAGAGAGACAATATCACCGTTATCTATGAATATAGATGGCTAATAATGTGTGCATGATCAAACAAACGTCTCTTCAATCGATCTACGTACACCTGGAAAATATGTGTCTAAAATGAGTCATTTTCTTCAAAATGTGACAGCTGATTGCCTGACAATAAGTAAGCAGCCAGTTGGAAGCAAGCTTGTATACGACCTAGTTTTCTGTTCTGTTATTATTATAATATAGCAGTCGACATGCTGCCCAGGAAGATGCTAAAGTTGTCAAGTTTGCAAAATATATTTACTTCTATGTTTGGTCAAGGTGACACATACAAAGATACAACTGAGACATGTGAATGTCTGCCAACACAAAGTTAGGACATTTCAGTCAAGTTGACTGAATACTCATCGGTCATGTTAATAATTATAGTCAACAGTACCATGTGCAGCCTTGGTAAACTAACATGACTTGTGCTACTGCAGGGCTAGTACATATTCAATTCTCCGAGATGCCAACCCTGAATCTAAGAAAAACGGAGTTATGACTGGCTGAAAGTGATTACGACAGGGAAAGTGATTTCATGTTTTGAAACTATGTACTGAAAATGGTTAAGAAAATGGTACGATACAAGATGCTAAATACAGAAATTTTCAAAATACAACTTTGACCAGACATCTTAATCATAATGATCATAAACTGTCCGTTCAAGCTCCAAAACTTTGTGGTGATTGTATGTATATATGAAAAACAAGACAAAGCAGCTGTCGCCTTGATGAAATCTGTTGATTTGTTAGCTTGTGAAAATATCTGACTGACAAGGTTTAAAACTTTTGTTGACTTTCTACATGAATTTGAAACCGAAAGACATTGAAATTCTCAAGGAAGGTAAAATAACTATAGTATGACCAGAAATTATTGAGAATTTTAGGAATATGTATAAACAATCTTGATCAGCTATCAAGTGCTTGGTTTTATTTAAGAGAGACAACTCCGTTAATCCTTTTTCATTAGTTTGTGAAGAGTTATCCCCCTTTGTTTACTTGCTAGCAGACGACATTTTCAGTGATCCTCAGTATGGATGATTTAGAGAAGAGGAAGTTGATTTTAGAGTATTATAACAAGGACATCAGATCAGCTAAAGTGATTTCAAGTAGAACAGGCATCCCTTTGTCCACTGTTTATCGTGTTTTGCAAATGGATATGGCATTGAGCACCAGGGAGGCACAGGTAGGCCCAGAAAAAAGACTGTTGGTGACTGGAGGCGGCTTGGTTTTCTTGATTCTAAGGCTAGATATGATTGATAGAGGAACTGTGGCTGTCTGTAAGGAGACAATTAGAACTGAGCTGCATGCAATGGGTTGGCAGAAAAGTCGAGGAACTCCATCCCCGATCATGAAACCTGAACAAAAGGAGCAAAGGTTGAACTGGTGCTTACAGCATAGAAATTTTAACTGGGACAATGTGATTTTCTCACATGAAAGTTCTGTGTGGCTGTTTCCTAATACACTGAAATTCTGGACCAAACAGAGAAACCTTTGTATCAGCGCCGAAGTACAGTCCGAAATTTAACGTGTGGGGTGGCATATCTGTGTTAGGGGCAACGCCCCTCTGTGTATTTGAAGGGAAAATGAACAGTGAGCAGTACACAGATATTCTCGAGGGACATTTACTTCCATCTGCTCACGTGTTCTATGGAAATTTTTTGTATTTTCCAGC